TAGGGGTTTACAGAAAAAAATGAGCAGGGTGGGTGTGGGTCCTGTTCCAACATGACTGACCCCCACCCCCCTTGAAAAATTGAAGTTGAATTCCTTGCATCTGAGGCCATATTTGAACGAAATGTACCGGGTATTCTTTTAAATGTATAGGCTGTCGTTTGTAGGGGTTTACAGAAAAAAATGAGCAGGGTGGGGGTGGGTGTGGGTCCTGTTCCAACATGACTGACCCCCCCCCACCCCCCTTGAAAATTTGAAGTTGAATTCCTTGCATCTGAGGCCATATTTGAACGAAATGTACCGGGTATTCTTTTAAATGTATAGGCTCTCTCTCCTAGGTCTTCCTTCTATAGGCTCCACATCAGCTGAGGGGGCGTGACCCTCTGGCCCCCTCCCCCCCTGGACATGCACCAGCACTGAATGAATTTGTATAGCTTGTTACTTTTTGGGGGTATAAATTTGGTTGGTTGATCTAATGTGCGTACTTTAAAGATCATACATGTAAGGTCTGTCATTGAGTCAAGTGGTGTAGTTTTGATTCTCTGTTGGTACTTGGTAAGGAGTAGGGTTGCCTGTCCAACCCACTGTTAATGACCTATGCCGATCAAATTATTGAATCATATGTTTGTCCCAAAATAACCTTGTTTTGTGTTGAGTGGACATTAAACCCCATTTCTCTCTCTCTTCTTGGGTATAAATTGAATATAACTGCTGTTTGAACTTAATCTTTTTCTGGACTCCCAATACTTTCTATCCCACTCTGGTATATTTTGTTTTAAGAATTGGCTCTTAATACTTGATTACATGTCTATAGATATATATAGGGTCAAGTGATGTCAGCCTGAATCATGATGAACTTTAACTTTTTAGAAATAATTAGATTAATATGATATTAATATTGTAGTCTGACACAAGTCAAACAATTTTCATTTCAATTTATAATTTCATATCATACGATTTTTCGAGAACGTTGCCTTTTGCCATTTATAATTGTAATCTGTGTCTGTGTAAATGTCAAAAGACGGGCTCTGATTTTAGTTTATGATAAAGTGTAAAACGAAGCACATCAGAGGTAAACCAGTGATGTACATGTATTATTATAATTTAGTTATGTGATTATTATTACCATTTTTATGAAGGAATGTAGTTGGATTCTGTGGCTTGAACATACCGTATTGATCAGTAAAGTAACATTTTTATACATGTCTTTATTATTTGATGCTATATTCTAAAACTGCTCAGGCTGTCAATATATTGAGTTAAAACTTTCAGACATGGTAAATAGACTTTTCTTTGCATTTTGATGTTTGATTTGCATATATATGTCATGTGAAATCTTGGACTGCTCCTTTAAATAAATTTCTTATTACACAATAAAGTCAACTGCACCTTTGTGTTGATATGCGCCCATTGCAAAGGAATGGCTTTTACTTGTCATAAGCATACTGTTTACTATGTAAATATGTATGACTTATGATTAAAGGGTATGGAAGAGAATTCGACTAGGAACTAGGACATGAAGAAAACATGTTTCATGTTAGTTGTTATAAAATGATACAATGCCTTGCAAATTGGAAAAGTTTACCAATTTTGATTGTTTTTCAGATATCCAACTTGAATATGTCATATCGTACGTCATAAGGCATAATTCTATTTTAATGAGTACTGGTATTGAAAGACTTTATTGTTTTATAATCTCCATAAATAACTATAATAAAATAATTCTCCCTGACAAGACATTGTCAGTTTCTATAAAAGTTATAATATTCAGTTAATATTCCAGTCTTAGAGTATAATTTGAGTGAAATAAAATTAAAAAATCCATTTAAATATAATTTTTTTGATTGTATATTTTGATATATTGAGTATAGTATATCTGATATCAGTTTAGTTCATCATTTAAATTTTATCTTTTTTCTGGAAACCTACAGTTGGGCTACGTGGGAGTTACTTTTTCTTAAATTAGGTCTACTTCACCTGTGTTTCTGCTGTGTATAAATTAGGTTGATGGTGGTATTCATAAAATTATAGGAAATAAGTGCACTTTCCTTATTTCATGAACAATTAATTTCTATCAAGTATATAAATATGAATGATTAAATGTATTGATTTATAGAAATGTCTCATAAAGAGTTATATGTAGGTAAAATACACATCTACAGACATACCTGACTATGTAACCTATGACTCATACTTTAATATGTAACAGTAAATAAATGACATATAGGTACAGCCAATACTTATATAAGCTGACATAATCAGTTAGAATTCAAATCAAACAATCTTGGTCGTGTGTTAAGGCGAGTTTCATGTTTGTGTTCAGGATTTAATAAGCTTATTAATTTGGATTAAAACATTGTTGTCATTGGAATAGTGGTTCAGGTATCTTATGGTAATGTAAATTTTTATTTGGCACATGAACAGTTTATTATCAAGATAAATATAAATACGTTTTGAAACCTTGTTCACATTTTATTTCATAATCAAATGAAGTGTTTGCAAACAACTAACTTCAAAATATTCTACAGGCCTTTGTTCTAAAGGCATGACCTAAAAACCTAAAATGACCTATAAATGGAGATAATGGTCTTGATATTGTCATTTCTTCATTCTTGGTGAAGTTCAAAGAGGAAAACACTCCAATTCAATTCAGTTTTTCTGAAGATAATCTTACTGAAAGTGGATTCCTCTTAAATCTGGAATTGATTATTTCTTCTCTCTAGATTTTTTTATTTCGTCACATTGAACTTTCAACATTTAGCTTTTCTTTTTAAAAAAAAATACTGGAAACTCATTTTGTGTGGTGATATATTTTCTGGTTATCAATTGTGTACGTTTTCCAATACCAAATACTGGTTCAAAGATGATCATGAATTCTTGATCATGGGAACCTAGTATGTTCACAGTGTTCGGCCAGCATCCGTCTGCCAGCAGTTGGACGATATGATTAGAAATATTATTTAATCAATAAACATTGACCGTATAGCATAAACGTTCTAGACTAATACATAATCATAGAAATAGTTAACCAGTATAAACATATTATACAAATAACTTTCTTTTCTTATAATTTATATCAATTGAGATCCATTGATTTCCTCGTTGGGGTTTATTGAACTGGGAAACTAGTATTTGAATGAAGTTTTGATAGTGTCTGTATTGGTATTGAGTCAGTGGGTACGTTTAATTTATTTGGATAGACCATCACCATTCGGTAAATACACAGTAAATTACTCAAATTGAGTTGAATGGTTAATTTGTAATATTGGTACTTTCATCTATTTCATCTCTAATTACCTTGGTTTAATAGAAAACGACTGACTGGCTTTATTTGGGTCCTGTTACATTAAACATCAGATTTTGATCCTTTATTGTAAAATTGCTAGTCAACATAAGGAAATTTAGAAAATAAAATAAAGTCTGTTTAAAGTAGCAATACTGTTTTTAATTTATATAAACCACCGACATCTAGTCTAGACATAATATATTATGGTTATCATCAAACTTTTGATTTACAAGTCACCTATTTCTCAAATATAATGTTTGATAACTATAATTCTTCAATAACTAAAATGATGTTTATTTACAATAGGCTACACTGGCAGGATAAACAATAGGAATCATTAAAAAAATGTTGAATTCACAGCACTACAGAGCAAGAGTCTGTCACAATTTCTAATTGTGGATATTCAACAGTTAGTATTATTAAAAAGCCGATTAGTGAAGACAAATTATTCTAGCTTGCATATACTTATTGCTACTTATAGTAGAGGATTTTCCAGATGCAATATTTACCAAGAATGTTCTTTATTGTTTAGAGTGAGCATTTCCAAATTTTAAGGAAAAAGTTTGTTGAAAAGTCTTTTTTGTGCCTGGATAAATTTACAAACATCTTTCCAGGAAAACAATGTTTGAATTACGAAAAAATGGACGTGTGTTCTGTACCGGTATTCTCATGTACTCCAATATAGGTGTTTTATAAACTTTTAGCTTTATTTTTGCCTTCTATCTACTGTCCACAATCCGTTGTATACCTATGGATTTGATAAGCTAAATATATCTTATCTGACCATTTGACCAATAATCCATCTCATCCCTGTTGGTTTTAATTCAGTTTCTACTGATAGATGGCTTCCTTGTTAGGTTGGAGATATTTTCCATGCTAATTTCTATTGATAACTACATGTATGCTTTAAAATGATTGGTGGTATTGCCACCGAATAATGATTTATAGGAAAGGAAAAGTCTGTTGTTGTTTTATGGGCAACTGGCATCAAATCCTCAGAAAATCTTGACCTTTTTTCAGTAAAACAACCCCACAGACTTGAGTTCAAGCTGTCCTAAAACAGATTCACAAAGGTTTTTGTGTTCATACAAAGACTTACATTCATTACATGGTTTGTACACACACCAATACATTTTGTCAAGGTCTTTAAAAGCACAACTGATATAAAGAAGGGCATTATGGGCTAGGGAGTTTTGCTAAGTAACAGCTGTTAATTTCTCATAGGTCAGAAATCTACTTTAACCTGGTACTATAGTCTTCTTTTTACCTAAAGTAGTACAGATGGTTCTCTTACTCTTAGTCACTATTAAACAAGTCAAGAGGTATTTAGCTGTAATTGCCACTTTAAACAGAAAATAAATAAGCACCTTTATTTGAAACTGTTTACAGAATCTGAATACATTATCTGAGCAACAATATCAGTCGCCTTCTTCCAAACATAAGAAGAAATTTTTCAGTGTTAATTATTTGTACGTAGTCCATATCCCAACATCTTGTTTCAAGTTTCAAGTTTATATTTTGAACTTTAGTTGATCTAATGGGGTGGTAGGGGTTGTAATCATCAATAAGCCCATTGTCTTGACTACCACACTAAGCCTTGTGATAACTTTGTCAAGCGAGGTAACATAATCTTGCGCAAATTGTGTATTTGTATCAAAAGCCAAAGGTAAATTTTACTCAGAATGAAGAACTAATCGAATGCATTGTGTCCTTTCAGGAAGCTGGTAGACAACAATTTACTGACTATGGTTGCCTCAAGAGTAAACAAATAATGAACGTTCAGTAAGCAAATGATTGTTTACTAAAGTTGGAAGACAACTCATTTGATGTTTGTTGATAGATTGATGTGATATGACAAGCGCACAGCCAACTCCAGGGACCAGCACACCCTCATCCAGTATGGAGGATACAACGGGACCCAACATTTTTACATACAACTCCACTCCCTGGATCCCTCCGGAACCTGATATTTGCCACCATATTGATACAAATTACAGCATTGCTCCAGCCATAATAGTTGTAATGTGTTTTATTTTTGGGATCTTGTATACATTTTTTGGTAAGAAAATTGGATGATTTAAAATTAAAAAATTATTTAACATTTTAATTGCATGCCTAATTACCCTCTAATTAACATATGATTTTATTTTTATGCTTCTAACTTCTCATGCTCTAGTATGTATTATTTAACCCGATCATCAAACTTAATTCTTAATGCTAAAACATAATTTTTGTCATTATTTGATTAGAGAGAAAAATTGAATAATTATTATATTATGTAAGAAATTTTTCTTGAAATATTTCTCAAAATTTCTAATACATGTACAAGTATTGCTTTAATAATCCTAGGACAATTTATGTATTTTGAAATTACTTGGGTTGACATAAAATATTTGTAACTGTCCTGTTAATTTTTCTACTGTTTTCTTGTATTCATTCATTCATTCATTCATTAATTTGTTGATTTATTCTGTCTTGTCATGTCTTTGATTCATTCTGTCATTTCATGTCTTTGATTCATGCATGCATCACAAGTCTTTGTTTTATTTCATTGAAATATTATGTGTGTTGTTTGTGTTCTATAATATCAAGTATTGTTTATTGGTATATGGTATATAATTTGTGTTGAGTGCATGGTAAGTTTTTATTTTGCCTTTCTCATTTACTGTCATGTGAGTATTTCTTACAAATATTTGTCTTGTCTATTGTGCATGTTTGCTTGTTAAAATACCATGTTATCATGTCTTGATGTTATGGTGTTATCTTTGCTTTATTATATATCCATCTAACAATTAACATATCACTAGATCTTAAAGCAATTTTATGATTGGAAAGTGTTTCAGGCCACCAACAGGCAGTTGTTAAAAATAGAGCATATTTTCATTGAAAGATAGTTACTTTAAAGACTGTAGTTTTGCTGTAGTTCTGAAATATTTGATGAAAATGTTGTGAATTCTTAATCCAATGTTTTATGAAAAAATGAACTCAAAATTGCCCAATTTGTCATTTAAGGGCTAAGAATATGATTTGATGCCACAGATTGTACAATCTATATGTTCATGATGTTTTTATTACGTTAATATATAGATGGCTATTTATTATTTAGAATGGAGGAATGTTTAACATGCTGTTTTGATTCAGAAAAACTGTGAATGAATCGGAAGTGCCAAATTAGTTGTAGATTATATCTCATAATTGTCAATCAGCTGTATTTAGCAATATATGTAGAATTGTTTGTAGCTGAGTAAATTCCTAATGATTTTTCAGTGTAGTTTCCCCTTGTCAGTGGTGCATGGTGGATGGTGTCTAGTCATATGAATAGGATGAAAAAATGATGTTGCATGTAAATGTGGGTGTGCACATAAAATAACCCTGACACAGTTTGAATTCACAATAAGAGTAGGCCATCGCTCCGCTGTCCAGGCAATACTGACTTTCCCCCATCTTCATTAGCCTGTCTGTTGTAGAAAAGTAGAACATTAAACCTCATTTCATTTCAGAATATGAAAAATCGCAAGTTGACAGGCTAGTGAAGTTGCTTAATAAGGTTTAATCATTTGCAAATTTGTACTTGAGAGCTTAGTTTAATTTTTCTGGTCCATGAAAATTTATGAACAGCGGGACCCTATACTAAAAACAAGCTCCCTCTCGACATATCTATCAATCTATCAAGTTTGTTTCGCTAGGAGTCCAAGTTGTGGAGTTGTCATAATTATTACCAACAATAAACCATTAGGTAGTGAATAATATTCCTCACCACAGGGAACACAATTTTTGCTGGTACTGTAAATGGACTTGTGTAGTTTGCTTTATAGATATGGCATTTTAAAAGTGTGTAGGCCTGCATACATGTATGTATCACCAATATCAAAAGATATTTTGAAAATGTGTTTATATTACCTCATTTGGATAAATTTCCGACTACATGTAATATGTATTGAGGAAATTCTTTTGAAATTCAATTAGCTTTTTTCAGGAAATAAGTTGTGTAGATTTTCTGTTTGATTTTGAAATCCTTTTGATGACACTATTCTAATATTATCAATTTATTTTTGTAGGGTACAGATTATTTAAAGCTGTTATGTTCCTGACAGGATTTATATTTGGATCTGTGTTAGTGTATATGATTTGCTTAGAGGAAGACATTTTACCCCCAGAAGGAAATGCTGGAGTAGCCATTGGCGCAGGAATACTGTGTGGACTAATTACAATGCTTGTGCAATATGTAGGACTATTTTTAACAGGATTTCACCTTGGAATAGCAGTAGCAGTTGGGGTCTTAATTGTTATAGAACAATTTTATCACCCTGAAACAAAATGGATTCCAATTGGAATACTCGTTGGACTTGGATTATTGTTGGCTGTGTTAATTTTAAAATTCCAGAAAAGTATGACAATTCTTGGAACCAGTATTTTCGGAGGAGCTCTAATGATTGCTTGCCTGGACTATTTTATCGAGAAATTCCTTATCGTGATGTATGTATGGGACCGTATTAAAGGCAATGTGTCTGGTCCTGTGTGTTGGTATAGTTGGCTAATACTAAGTTGTTGGCCATTTTGTTTTTTGGTTGGAACTTTAACTCAGTGGAAAATAACTGGACAAGGAGTGGACCACAGACAAGGTAATTTACACACAATTATCAGTATTGGGATTACAGATTTTAAACTGAAATTTACTTTGGAAATGGCTGATATAAATTAATCCATATATCAAAACAAAGCTGTGATTGGTCAAAATATCACCTTTCATTAACAAGTCTTATTAGCCTCAAAATGAACTTTGTGAAAGCGGTGTATAGTTTTATACAGTAAAAATGTATCTCGGAATTCACCTTTAGCCACTCTTATGTGACTTACCATAAAATAGTACTGGCTACTTTCGGTTTACTTGTATGACTTTGGTAATTCACAAAGTTTATTTTTTTCAGAGAAATAAAATATGTTTTTCACTCTTAATATTAATATTAGCAATGTGCAAGCAAAGTCTGGATCTGAACAAAGGAAAAAGTAATTTTGTAAAATATGCCGGATTTGACCTTCCCCACTAATGATATACATTGTATGATTAAAACACACATTGTCTAAATAACTTTAATTTTTAAAAACATTTTTCTATTTTCATTGTAGCTCTTCATATGAAAAGGGCAAAGAAAATAAACCTTCAAAGAGCCCGGGCAAAGCAGAGAAGAGATGCTCAACAATCACGTTATCGTCATCTTTATCAAGTACGAAGGGTAAATGGGGATGTTATTTCACAGGTTAGTAATTTCAAAATCGTCCATCCCTACCTTTAGTATTCTTGAAATCAATCCGAGCATCTATTGATACCTTAGCATTATCAAGCTGACAAGTTTTTTATTCATTTTCACCCCAGATACATGTATTTCTAAACAATCACTGTCTTGACTTTTTTAATCAAATTTTCCACACAAAAAAAATAAAGTTTATAATTTATTTACTAAAAATATATCTTTGTAAAATTAAATAAAACAAAACAATTCAACATTTAGCTAAAGACAATTAACATTGTTAAATTTTAGAAATGACTATATTGTATCTTAGTCATGTGTTTGTGTCTCCGTTGCAGCTAATTAATTTCTTCACTGCAAGAATAATATTTATTTTTCTTTACTACTGACAAATATAATTCTCACCTCTGCACCATTTAAAAATAAATTCCTTTTCTTAAAATCCCTCTTTGAAATTTTATGACACTTTGTTTAGCCAGACTATTTGAAGACTTGCTATCCTTTGAAGTTGTGCATACAAAACAAATTTGATGATTTGCAGGGCTGCTTAATACTGTTTACTGTGTGTTTAGTTTTAAAAAATGTGAATTTTTTAGCTGTACATTTTGGCTATAGATAAAAACAAGCCAAGAAATTTACACAAATACATGTATCTTGTTGAAAAATATCTCTAGAATCAATATTGACATCTTGTCTGACTTAAAACTAATGGAGGTATCTAGTCACCTCAGCAGACAGGCAGTTCTAAAAAAAAAGACTTAACAGAGCATTATTATTTGGTTATAAAAATATTGCACTAAGGCAAAACCAATATAATTTTTAGTTCTTCATGGTCGTGATCAATAAATAACCCACTCAATTCTTATGGGCGGTGTTTTATTAAAATTTCTAAACTTTAATATTTTGAGCTAAAAGCTTTTGAGAAGATTCGAGCAACTAAACAGAAATGGAAATTGGTTTGGCCTAATAATAATGTGTCTTCCATTCTAATTTTTTTTTTCACTAAAACAATTGAAACGTTCATAAATAAAACTTTCAAGTGATTTTGTTCTTGCATTCTTTACTAGCAAATTTACAAATCAGTATTTTTCCAGTCTTGATTGTTATCCATTTCATAATGTAATAATAAATACTGTATCAAAATCTAAATCCGTACAAAACGCTACCACATTTTCAAACCATTCACAATAGAAGCGACTATTTTGGGCGATGTACTACATGGAAATAATGAAATAATGTTTGTCTGATACATGTATATTGTATAAAGTTGGTTTAATAAAAACAGTTACAAACAATGATGCCATACAAAAATCTGCCCCTTTTCAAATCACCATTAACAATAGAAGTGACTATTTGGGACGATGTACTAATGTACATAATGAGATAATGTATGTCTGATACATGTATATAGTTTAATAAAAGCAGTTATAGACAAAAAATGATGCCATACAAAAATTTTCCCCTTTTCAAATTACCATTTATGATAGAAGGGTTCTCTTGGGTGATGTAGTCACTAGAGATACTAAATATACATAATGAATGGTGTGTCTATCTGATACATATATATACTTTGACACTTTAGTAAACCTGTTGTAAGACTAGAGGCAGTAAAAAAATCTTGTATGGTTTCCTCTGATGATGATATTGCCTAAATACTAGCAATGAATTTGAGAAAAATTAAACATAAAACACATTGTTTCTTTACATTTAATAAAATATTCTTTTCCTTTCCCTTTTCAGAGTTACATTCAGAGTGTCCAGAGCAAGTTATCACCAGCCATGCGAAGTTTAACACAACTACACGGGGAAAATCCTAGTGAACTCGAAAGTGCTAACACAACTTTAACGCAAGTGCCATAGTGTACACAAAGAACACCTCAAATACTCAAGGATTTTAGTCGTTCGGAAATATACAAAATGTATTATTAAAGCTCTGAAGGGTAGTTCAGCTATTTGGTGATATGCAAAAGTTTGGTGCTTTTAACTTTGGTGGAGAATTATTAGAAATTTCTAGTGACAAAATGGAGTTCCCCTGCTTTTATGTTAAACAAAAATCACACTCAATTTAATACTCAAAAGGTTTTAATGTATATTTTCGGCTGTGAGAAATTGAATGTTAGGAAAAGGACGGACAAAAAATTGCTTTAAAATTCCATATTTTGTAATGTGTACAATTTATTTATTTTTTTTAATGGTTAGTGTTTATTGAATATCTTTATGTTATTTTTGTATACATGATTGTGTTGTTTTTAAATCATGTTTAAAAACATTTTGTGCATAATGGTTTACTTAAAAACCATTAATTAGGATATTGAAAATTAAAACTGATGTCATATTATAGAAGAATGTATATTTTGAAATTGAATAGGTCCATATGAAAAAAAATTCTGGTTCTCTGCTGAGTAATTTACAAAGAGCTGGTTTTATGTTCATAATATCCTGTGTTAAAGGGGGGTAACTCTTTTAAACATTTCATGTTGAATTTGAAATGTCAGTTATTGGCAGTCATAAACAGCACTTGACAATTGTAAATTAACTCATTGTTATTAGGAAATGGCAACAATATTTCATTTGCTTAATTATATAATTCTTAAATATCTATGAAGTCCATTCTTTTATGGATGATAACCACACCTAGTAATAAGAAAGAAGCTGCTGAAATTATACTCCATGGAGATGGAAGGAGCAGCATTCACATTAGAACTACAAAGTCTGTGCTTAGAATTAGTAGTTATGTAGAATTAGTAGTTATGCAGCATACAGTAACAGTAAAGGTTGAATATGTAAAATGCGAATTAATAATTATGTAAGTGAATTCCTTTAAAATTTATACAGCATGAATAAACAAATCGTGAGATAAATTCAGAGCCAAGAAATGTTATGTTTTAGACAAGTCATTCAACCACATGATCCTTTGACAGAATAAAAACACAAATATAAACCCTCCTTTTGAAGGAATGTCGAGAACCAGAATACATTTGGAATTGCCTAGTGTGTAATTTCAGTGCCTAGTCTGTAAATTGTTTTATCTTACTCTTGGAAAAGTTGAAAAGTGTTATTTTCTGTGGTCTATGAGATAATATAGTCTTTAATACAGTTACCTCCCTTAACTTTCAACTACAATTGCAAAATTCTAAGACAATTGTTGAGACCAATGCATGTTATATATAAAAATATTTAGTTCAGTAATTAGTTAAAATTTTATCTTTTGTATTTGATTATGGTATTGTTGATATAAATTTAAATGAGCTTATTTTATTCCTGTCCTTTATGTTGTGATTTTTATAAACCTGTGAAATTCCCAGATTGTGTAATGATATTTCCATCCAGATACAGTGATCTCGGAATCCATGTGCCATTATATAAAGGAATATAGATCATGTCACATTATTAATTACACGTACCTATGACATTACAACATTCAATGATTTTCAAGTTTAAAGATGCATTATGTAAGATTTAGATAAAGAGCTGACCACTCTTGCTATAATAGTTCAAAAATAAATATATTGAAACTTTCAAATTACTTTATTTTGAGCATAGTTATGGGTGTTGAAGATTTGTCAATTACAATTGCAATGAGAATACACAGTCTTGACTGTCCGTCTTTTTTATTGAGCGACATGCATTTTAACGTTAACCGATTATATGGTATGTAGTCTAAGCCATTCAATAGTTTAGAGTTGATAATGGTCTTGTCATGTGAAAAGATGTTTAATTAATAATTTATATAACATTTGAAGACAGAAAAAAAACTGCAATAGGCAGATTTAGCTCTTGCATAATGCATCTTGAACAATTTTCCCCCCTTTTTTTTAATCCACTTTTCATAATATCCTATTTTCTTAAATTTTGTCACCTACTTTACTAGTCATCAAATTGTATTTTATTTATGATTTTCTTTTATTTCTTTGAATTTTGTCTAAATGTCTACTAAACTTTTCTTCATTAGTTACAGACAGTGGTGAAATTTAACATAAATGGAAGATTATTGGAAAGTCATTTGTTAATATCGATCTATGAACATTCATGATAGACTTCTCAGTAAAACAGTTATGGGTATTTGTATTGGATCTTACAATCGATTGAATTATTAGTTGAAATGTTTTGTGTTTTCAATGAAGACAGTTTTAAGTCTTGATGTATTGACATCAGCCATTATAATTTTTAAACCTCAAAATGAAAATGTCAGCTTTGTATTTTGGTATTTATGTACGTTTGTGTAGACATTGTTAATTATATTATGTAAGTTCTCAATGAAAAGTCAAGTAGCTCCTTAAAGACTTCACACACATATCACAACTAGTCACATATCATATAATGGATAATATGTAATTGATTCAGAATTGTGTTAATATGATAACCATAAACATTTATAATCACATTTTGAATAATTTTGATAAACATCCTCATAACTGCCTCTTTTTTTAAAAATGAAATATTGACTGGGATCTCCATTTTACAAATCCAATCCATTCTTGTCATAGATATATGATAAATTATTTACATTATAGTGTTATAAAATAGAAATGTAATAGGTATTTGGTAATAATTGTTTCTGTTACTAAATGCATCTTACATGTTAATTAATAACCTGGCTAATTTTTTTTAAGCTCCTGAGGTTGTTTGTATGATTTTAAACCCTTAAGGGTATAATCTTTTTTTGTTTTCCTCCACATAATAGAGCAGATGGGGCATAGTTCCAAAGGGTTGTTTAAGGCCAGTGCTAAAATATACAAGGCTGGATCTGGGAAAGAGGTCAGTGAACTTATGTGAGCAAGAATTGCTCATCCTTTGCTTTAAGCCAAATTATAAAATTGCATGAACAGAATAGCTGATAATATACTAGAATAAGTATAACCTTTGAACTATTTAAATTTAATCTTCATAGTTTGTAGTAAGGCTCTCATTTCAAACATATTTGCCAGTCCTGAATGACTGGCATTGAAATCGACAGCCTATGTATTTTATTGTCTGTCAAATTACATGATATCAATTAAAAATAAATTAAAGTTGACAGTGTCTACTTGGTAACATATTGAAGTGAGACCCCTATAGCCACTGTTTATTCAAATATTTTAATTATAACTGTACAAATGTAGTATAAGATATTTTATAGTAAATAATAAAAATCTAGATTTATGATAAATAGTTACAAGTTTGTTGCCATATATCTGTTGCTGCTGTTTATTACCTATTCAGTGTTGTTTGTTATTAATATACATTTAATGATATTAAATGTATATCTTGTTTATTTGTATATTACATTGTACATGTATTTCTTTCTTTGTAAATAACTTGATGAAGCTTTTCAATAAAGTATTTCTCAAATTTTATGTCTGATATTTGATATTTTAAACTCAATAAACTGCTCCTCATCATTGCCACACATTTGAATTTGGACTTCTAGCACTGTTCAGATGCCATAGCAGGAGAGAACTCATGTGATGGTGCCCTGAGTTGATAGGTTATGGTTGTAGCCATAGAGACCAGTCTAAATTATCAACATGTATATTAACACTTTAACCAACTGTGCTCCCCAAACCACCCACAAGATTAACTGTAACGCCCTAAGAACTAGTACACACAGTTCTGTAATACACAAAGCTATTCACATAACTTGGTTTTGGGCTGTCCGATGATATACCCGTATGAACTCTTATCACTTTTCACCGATTTTCTTCTCAAGAAACCTGAGGTAGTCAATATTCACATTTACCAAGCGTTAAATGGTTAATAGAGGGTAGTATTGAACACAAATTCAAGTTGAAATATCAATGGATTTTACTAGATTTGGGATAATCATGTCACTTTACATATACCGTAAAATATATTTTTTTATAAAGCAGAAACCAATCAACAAATTACTTTCACACTGCTAATCATCACTCTCATTGACCCAATTAGAATTAAAATGCTTGTCATCGAACTTAGTCACGACATTCACCTAATGAACATCTGCCTCAAATAGAAACCGAGTTATTGCGTTCCAGAGCATAAACAAAGCAGAAAATACTACCTAATGAACATCTGCACCAAGATTTAAACATTTTACCTGAATTAGAATGGAGTTACTGTGCTCCAAAAGGTATGACTGACTGAAAGACGATTGAAACTCTTTGAATGGTCCCTGATTTCTCTGAAAAATGGGGGATAAAATAAAATCTCCAGTTTTGCAATGGCAGAATATGAATTATTAGTTCACAACTGATCGAAGTAAACAGTCACGATTAGCCTATTTCCCCACGATTAGCCTATTTCCCCGAGGGAAAAGGAAAGTAAGTACCCACTTATCAGTTTTTCTAGTACAGGCAGGCATACCAACTAAATTAAATGATAGTGCAACAGGCCTATATACTATTTAGTTTGGTATTTGATTCCCCATTATTGTCATTATGAGGACAACTTTATTGGACTCTAATACACAATAGTTAAAATCAGGGTGTTGGGTCTAACCTATTAGTTATAATGCGTGTGCTTTACATCATCAGGTCTGTCATTGAGTCTGTTGGCGTGGTTTAGTTCCGGCACTTGTACGTAACATGGAATATGGCCTCCTGTCTATGCTATATAATTAACTCCTGGGTTTTCTCAGCGTAGGCCTAATTTAACCTTTTCTTGACACTGATAATCACCCATACGAGCAAGCGAATTATTGAAATAAAATTTAACAAATTTAAATTATGTTAGCCCAGAACTAGACCTAGTTTTGAGTGGCATTTATTATGAAATCAAGTTTATATCCAGTTCCTCCCGTACTGACTGACATGCCATAAAACTCCATTTCATTTCATTTATCCGCACTGACCATGGAGCCCATTAAAAATTAATTAAATTAATTAAACCTAATTTAATTAGGCCCGGCTACACACTGATAATTTTTGAATTAACGTCTGGCACATCCAATTTTCGCATCAAACATTATATTCTTTATTACAGAAACAGAGAGGAATAAGGGCTGAGGGGGAATATTGCTTTTCGATGGTAAAATCCATTGATGGTAAAATCCCTGAATATTACAAGTCCCTGTGAACGAGAACAAAATTTCTCCTGGATCGAAATCGAACGGCTTACTCGTTCCGACAATTTTACGGAAAGGAAACACAATTATTTTTATTCAAAAATTTCTTGTTTGGGTCACCTGTGGTAAAATACTGTACATTAACTGTAGCTGCATTTTGAACTTTGGTGTAAATTTAATTATCTTAAGAATCTTAAAATCTAAGGATTTATTACTTCGTTCCGTTGAAGTAAAACCGGAAATTGATCATTTTAGATGCAACATATTTGTTTCAAAATGGCTGATTTTTTCTGTGTATAACAAGAAATCTGAATGAATGTTTAATATTTAGGCGTATTTTTACACAAATCTACACCAAAATGGAAGCAGCTTTTGTGGAAGGGATTGCTGCATCGCTTGTGCGAGAATATTTAAGCAGAAAGGTATGAGTTAGTTAAAATTTAAAAAATATACATGACTATTATGCCTACCGGTACTCGACAAGGCAAGCCTACCCATGACACTACTACACACTACTAGTACTAGGCCCACAAACGTCCTGTCACTGTAAGTGTAATGACTATATAGACGAGAACGTAGCTAAACACGTTGAGGTATACTGTGATGTGTTTGTTTTTAGCTATGATTGGGTGCATTTATTAGTTTCACCTGATAAACTTAATTTCTTTTAACTTTTATTAATGCATAACTATTAACATCTTAAAACTAAAAAAAGTAAGTTAATATATAATAATAATTGTATATGTAACAGGCATTACCTGAGTAGTAGAGTGAAGATGATTTTTGTCAAATATAAAACCTTCATAATTAAGTTTATGAAAAAGTGTGAGAATTACTTTCATTGACGTCATATATGATATATTATGCGACGCCATTATTAATTTGGTTAGATGCGTAATCTTGCTTGGATGAGATTTAATAGAGGGGAGATAACTCTGGCTACGTTGACATGCACATTGCCTGCTTTTCCCAGTGCCAGTCTGGATTTTTTTTAAACCAACACTATGACATTGTTACCGGAAAAGAGCTTTGCTCAAGTACCACACTTTGCACAATGCCTTAGAGCATCATTATGCTCCATATTAGGACTAATTAAACATACCCAGCTCAATGTACTGATCAACTTTCGTTCATCTGTAAATACATTGTATTGTCAGTAAAGTGAACCAAGCAGTGTTTTTATCAAAATTGATGTTGACATTCATAATTACTGTGTCTGTATCCAGGGGCGGATTGGGGCCAGAAACCCGCCCGGGCTCCCATGTCCGAGCGGCCTCTTTTACTGACCACGGAACCCGGACGGGGGGTCCAGGGGATTTCCGCCGGGAAAATTTTGAAAAATGAACCCCAAATATGTGATTTGGTGGCATATCTTCTCTGTCAAATAATATATCTCATAAATCAATTAATTTAGGCCAAAATCCCGACCTGCAAGTAATTTACAACCATCAACCTGTGAAATTATAATATCGTCATATTATGCAGGATTCCGAATTCCGGCCCACACCCAGCACACCCGGCCCAGAAAGTCTATTATACCACCAGCCCATTCCAGACTTCAGTGATGGCGTGGCGGCCCGTTAAAGCCACCGGCCACATACATGATCATCATCGCTCCATGGCCGGTCCAATCCCCCCCTCCCTCCCCCATATAATGTTCAGCAGAAAAAGGTTTTTTAGACGAATTGGACAAAATTATTTTTTTCATTTTTTGTCCGACCGGCCCTTCGGGCGATCGCCCGATGGCCCAATCTGCCCCTGTCTGTATCTCGATATTGGCTGTTGTATATTTAGCCCCGCCTTCATGAGGTTTAAATGTGAGACCTCTCCCGTTTTCAGATCCCAGACAAAGCCAGATATTATTGCTTCGTTTTAAAAGAGATGGTTTGTATCTGTATCAGGTAGTTGGGGTGGCAGAAATGTAATAAATAACAATAATTAATTGTTGTTTTGAATAAAAAAAAACTGACAGTACCGTCTGATTAGCATCGTACTTTGACAGGTGAAACTATATAGTACCATCTCTTATCTCGAAACATAGAATTTGTGGAAGTTAGTTAACTCGTCCACAGTCAAACTCGTCAACAGTTAAGCTGCCCACAAACATTGGTTGAGTCGTCCACATGGTATTGGTTATGTCGTCCACACCTAATAGTTGACTCGTACATACATTATTCGTATGGAATGAATCAATCTTATAATAAATCAAGCTAAAATCTGTCCATTGATTTCCATGCTGCAGAGATTTTTTTCATTTGCCTGACTGGAAAGTGAATATTGATCGATGCCAACTTTGACTTGTCCTCTAGCACGAATAGTAATAATATTCACCCAAAACTACATGTAGCAAATATTAGTAATTGTTATATCTATTTCATTTTAAAAGGGATTGCGATCAACTTTAAAAATCATGGATGAAGAAATGCCCAGATCATCTGATAGTATAAGTAATCGACATGCCTTGATGCAAGAACTTCATATTGAAAGAGCCATGAAGAGAAATAAAGTAAGTACATATATATGTAGATCAAAAATTCAAGTCAACCCCAATGATTTATAAAAGTATTTTATTTTGCATGTGAAGAATAATTATATGATAAAAGATACCTACTTTTTATTGATTTTTGTGTAGTTTAGGAACCGAGTGCCTAAAACCTGAAAATATGTAGCAATGATGTAAAATTTTATACAGACTTGTAATGCCAATCGTACAATATTTTTAAACAAACTTAATTGTGTCACCCGCCTTTTAAAAAAAGCAGGGAACTATTAAAATGGGTCAGCCCGTCTGTCTGTCACACCTTTTGGGACACAATAACTCTCCTTCTAATTGAGCTCGAATGTTCAAACTTGGTGTAGGTGTTTATTAGGTGAATGCATTAATGGAGTTTGAATATGACCATTTTCTGCTGAGGCTAAGCAGAGATAAGCAATTTGATTGATTGATGCTTTAGGACACAATAACTTTGAAGTGATGAAACTTGGTGTATAGTTTCATTACATTAATACCTTGACTAAGTCCGACAATGGGCATTTTATGCTAAAGCTAAGCAGAGCTAAGCAATTTCATTGGTTGATCCTTTGGAACAAGACAACTTTGATTATAACTTGAGTGATGAAACTTAATGTAGACTTTCACTACCAGGTACTGTACTTAAAAACGTTGACTGAGTTCTATTTATTTTGGGATTGTGGTGGGGGACATCAGCCTCACTGTAGGCTTATTTTTTCAGGAAAAGGACCATCCATTACGAGCTATGATAGAAGTTATTGCTGAATATCATATTTTACAATTAGAAAACGAGGATTCTCTATCGCCATCTTATTATCCACAAACGGATGTTCCTAGTCCAATTATTGACAAACCAAAGCATGCTGCACCAAAATTATATGATTCCTCAAAAGCAACAGAGTATCCATCATCACCAAAATACAGACCTAAAACTGCTGGTCAGCTTGCTTCATCAAAATCAAGTAGGGAACTCAATAACATGTTATTCTTTTTTTCAGATATAAATTTGTATGACAGTAACAGACAAATTATGATGCAAAATGTCATATATTTGGATCATGAGCTCTTCCTTTAGCTCATACTTTAGTGATTTCAAACTATTCTTGATATTATTTATTTGTAAATATTACTTAATGAGAATTAACATATTTGACATTCAATGATTTTTAATAATTTGCTCTTTTCACTCAGCTTGAATACTAAAATAGGAATTTTTTCCCCTCAGGTAAAATCCATGCCAACTCTGATCTTGTTATAGAAGATAATTTAGAAAGTGAAACTTTATTGGGTGACGGTAAATCAGGTGTATTTAACTCTGATATAAATGATACCAGTGATGTTATTTCTAAAACGAGACAAGCACGTTTAATCAATTCTAAACCTAGAGGATTCTCTGCTGCTGTTATCAGTAATACAGAGGTAAATTTATTATAGTATATCATGAATTTAATTTCATATCTAAGACATCTTGGTGATGACTGGGTGTAGGCTGCAGTTGTTTTGTAGTAAGGTTGACTGAACTCTTTTAACTAAAAGATGCCAGGTTTAAAATTCTGCTTGGCTGGGCTTATTTGATAGTGTACATGTATGTATAAAATTCCTTGGCAGTTGAAAGAAATCCCTTTCTCTTGGCAAAATTCTCCCTCTTGTATATGTAGCTACAGAAAATAGTTATAAAAAAAATGTTAGTCTATCAGTGACCAAGGTATTAAAATATCAACCCCTATCCTTCAGTAAAAATATTTGTAAATTCAAATCAAAATATCTGTGACTCCAAAGTTATTAAATGTGAATAATATAATGATGTATTCAATGAGAGATCTATTTGTCTTGCAATAGACCTGGGCTATTGATTGTATGCAATCAGATGAACGCATGTGCATACTATCTTAAGGTATTCTCTCTAGTACCATTACTATCTGGGGTGAACATGTTGAGGCACTTTTTACACTTAGCATATATTTTTGTAATCTACAAAAACACTGAATCTTTTCTTGGGTTAAGTAAATCTGTTAGATAATGTAATTAAGAGGATAAAGGATATGTAGCTCCTGTAGTTCAGCTCTGAACGCAGGTATCCTTACACTCAGTGCACAGTTCAAGTGTAAGAGTGGAGACCTACGTTCATAGCTGATCTAGAAGCCCTTGGTGCACCAATTTGAGACCATTATGACAAAATTTCTTTTGTTTTATTTCAGGATGCACCTAGAAGAAGAGTTCCTAAATCCCGTCCATTATCTTCTATCAAATCATCTCTGAATACACATTCTACAGAAGTCTCACATACCGGTAGCACTACGCCTGGTAGACATTACCAACATATGGATTCAGACATTGACCTAAGTTCTAGACAACAGTCGAGAACAAACTCTCAAAAATCTCAATTCAGTCTTGAAGAATCACTTCACATCTCAAAAATAACTCCTCAAAAACATGCTGTGAGCATAACAGACATATTAGACAATGCTGAGGCTAAATCTAATGGTTTGAGCCAAAAAATAGAATCTGTTGAAAATAGTAGACGGTACAGTGTGGAGTTGTCAAGTATGGCTGCCGACAGACCTGTCAGTAGAAGTCATAACAAGAAAATTGTGAGGTAATGCTGTAACATTAAAGGATAGATAGTGATATATGAAAATCAGAGTATCGATTTGGGTTAATCTCATGTGTTACATCAAGTTTAGATATAATAGAATGTAGCTCAACTTAACCGATCTTTTATAGGAATTAAATTTATTCAGGGAGAATTTCATGTATCAACAAAAACAATACAGCAGTCAATAGATTCAATTAAATGCAAATTTTTGTTTAATCTTTGCCTTTAAAATTAGACCTATCCAGTCAGTTTACTGTGTAAAGAGAATATTATTGCTAAATATAACTTCTTTATTCTAGAAACCCTCACACTTCTGAAATTAATGATTTTACACCTGTTTTAAAATGTATTTATTGGCTGTTATTTATAAATAATGCATGAAGTTGTGATACAGGTTGTTGGATAAGAGGGGGTTACACATAGAAAAAGAAGATAGGGTAGCAGTTTAAAAAGGTTAAATGGATGGACAAGCGGGATGGTGAACCACCAATATGTCCGTCAGAGATTTTAATTCTATTTATTTATTTGTTTTTTTAAGTGAACCATCAGGTAAAACTGTGGTGGGTGATGTAGAATTTGGTGATGTTGATGATCTAGAAAGTGATCTGAATGATCTTAAACTCCATTCAGTTCAACTACAATCTCCAGTTGTTAGAAATTTAAATAATATTGATAGTCAACCAATAGATACCAAGAAAGCCATAGTAAGTTTATGTAGACACCGGTCTATTCGGAAAAACATGTTGTCTGATTGTATTTATCACCCTTATTGTGATTTAAAGAATGCATAGGCATGCAGGACCCTATTTCACTGTCAAAATTTGTATCTCCAAACATAGCTGCTCAGCTCCCTGCCTTTATAAGTTGAATGCATAAATCAAAAAAAAAAAAAACTTGTATGGAAATCAGAGTGACCAATCAAAAATATGTGGAAAAGTTTTGGTTATATCTTTTATTAGTGCATTCTGATGTACAAATTTAATTTTTAAAACTTGTTTATATGGTGACTTATTTTACTATGCTATACCATATTGTTCTTATAATATTCAGACACAATATGTAGATAAAGCTAGTTGTATTTGAAATGGTGTATTGTTTTGTGTATTTCTGTTTTTTATTCTTTTGTACTATTTCCATTTTGTTTTAATAATATTATGTATGCTTCTCTCAATGGACACATTGATACAGTGATACCTAATCCTATGCTGTTGTTTTGCAGGCTTTACGAACTCTGTTATTTGGCTCGGCATTGACAAGTTTTAATGATGAATGGAAATATCAAAGTCTAAGTTTTTGTGATATACCAAAATTACAGTATGGCATTGTTCAAAAAAAGGTAATATTTCTACCATTATATGATGTGAAGGTGATTGTTTTTCAATAATGATGATGGATCTATTTAGCCCTGATGCTCCACCTACCCTACTCCCCCACCATATTCTTCTTCATTGTACAATATACATCATTAGAAATAAAAGAATGTATCACTGAACTTTTTAAAATTATCTATATTTTGTTGAACAGTTTTTCTGTGCTATTAAATGAACACATTCATTTTGTGTAACAAAAAAAAATGATTTCCTTTTTCTAGTTGTGTAAAATTAGACACTTGTTTTACTTTAGGGTGGTGCATGTGGTGTTTTAGCAGCTATACAGGCATGTATGATACAAGAAATGTTATTTGGTGATAACAAACTATCATCAAATAAATGGTGAGTGTATTCTTACAAATTCTGCTTAAAAAACATGTAGCAATTATGATGAGAATGTCACTTATATTGAACAATCTATAATTGATTTTCAATGGTGAAATTTATGCCTGGACAGTGTCGATAATAAAACCAATTTAAATAGCCAAGAGGGAATATTTCATTAATAAATAATTATTATAGGCCCTACTAATATTTTATATCGTAGTCCAATATATAATTTTTTTTGTGTAAAATAATATAGACACATGAATTCATGATACCTTTCCATAAATAAAAAAACACCATAAAATATGATTTTAAGTTGCAATGTTTCTGTGCATTGTTAGGAAGTAACTTTTTGATTTTCATTTCCATAAAGTAACTTTTTGATTTACATTTCCATAAAGTAACTTTTTGATTTTCATTTCCATACAATAACTTTTTGATTTTCATTTCCATAAAATAACTTGTTGATTTTCATTTCCATATAGTTTTAGTCCAAGTAGAGAAGAAAGATCTAAGTTTTTAGCAGCAGCTTTATGTAAAATATTGTGGAGAGCTGGTGGAAATTCTAAGGCAGTTGTTGCTTTGTACGTATTTCTCATAACTTTGTAAATAGTAATAGTGATGATTAATAGACAATGCAGCTCAAATCACATCTTTCTTCATCCTTGATGTGGGGGGAGGGAGGTGGTCACATGGTCTAACACATGTGCTTTAGATCAAGAGGTCTGTCATTGAGTCAAGTTGTGTCGTTTCACAACCGAGTTGGTAGGGTCGCCTGTCCAGCATTGTGGGTTTTCTCCGGGTCCTCTGGTTTCCTGCCGCTGCTAAAGGCTCATACACTAAAGCAGAGTACCATGTGTCAATCCTGAAATGGCCTAGTTTGTGTCCAATGTATGTTACCCCCCCCCACCACCACCACCACCACCTCTATCTCTCTTAACTTTGATAACAGCAAAGAAGTGAAACAGTGGGGAATGGGCAATGGTTCCATTAACAGACAATGGTTCTTCTGATCAGTCTCTTAATATATGATAAGAGATATCATCTGGAAGTGTAAATAAATGTTTATATTCATTAATTTCAGGCCATCAGGAAAAACTCACGTAATAACCAGCAGTAAATATAAACCTGATAAATTAACAGAAACAGTAAGTTTTTCAATTTTAGTAGAATCTGATCTTAGAATACTGTGTAGCAGGGTTGTCTCTGTATATAGCAAGCACAGCCAGACCTAGTTCCTAGTAAAATGTTTACTTCTGAGACATAATTGGGACATACTTAAATTACATTTTTCACAAAAAAAACTTAGTGGGAATTGTTTGCACAGTATATATAGTACCCTATATAGTCATGGAATACTAGTAAATTCCATTAAACTTGTATTAAATTAATATTGATAATCAATAAATTTTGATCTTAAAGTAGCTATGTCTCTAACTCAATTATCCAAAGTCTTCGACATTGAAAACGCAAATTAGTTGTGAATTTAAATCAACATTGATGTTGTGATCTTACCGGGAAAAGATGGGCTTCTGATACCCTATATTTAAGACAAAATAAACATTTTACCATTGGTACACGAATCGTGTACCATAATGCCTTTCAGTCCAATTTGTAACAAGAAACTCCAATAAGGAGGCTAGACATATTCCACAAGTAATGTCGAATGGTGACGTCATATTCTTATCTGGAGAGTATGAGCAATAAATACTATGTAGACTGGAATAACCAGACATAGAGATTTCCATTGATTGAATGGAAACAATTGAATGTAAATCAGTTTATATAAATTCGTATTACATTATTATATGCGTTGTGATCCATTTATGTCAATTTCCAGGTCCCAAATATTATTGATTTAGCTCCTTTAAGATCCAATGCCCTAATATAATGTAATATAAGGTAAATAGCACTGAGAGAATAGGGCTTGATGTGGACTTGTCTATCCCCTTATCCAAGCCAGTAATTATTGAGATATTCATGAAGGAATGATGACCTTATTTCACGTAACTGATATTTTATATCAATTAATATTCAGACAATTTTCATACTTCTATCACTGCTTTGCTATTTTATTTATCCACAGTTATAAAATCAATTAAAATAAAATATGTATTTGTTATTTTTAGCTGATGTTATATACATTTATTAATTCAGAAGATTTATTAACTTTCTTAAAACAAAATATGTCTCAGGTAAGTAAAAGGTTTGAATTATATGAATAATTATCATAACCTATTTTAAGTAATTCAAAAATATGTCACTTTGATGAGAAGTTATTTTATTTTTGCAGTATTATTTTTCGAGGCTTAATTCTATAATTTGTTTAACTTAAGGGCTTGATGCATTGTTTAGCGCTATAGGAATCAATATCAGTCTAAAAATGGTTCAATTCTATTCAGTATTTACAAAGTTATGATAAATTGAAATTTCATTCAACCATGCTGCTTGTGTGTAACAAGACGCCATCTTTTATCGAATCAAAACCAGGATATGATCTACCGTTTTGAATTTGTTGTCTTAATTAAATGTTGAATAATCAATCTGAATACATATTTAGCTAATGCAGCATTAAGCCTTTAATTGTTAGTTTTTACTGTATTTTATTCTTTAAGAGTCATAAGGAAACACATTTCCTTTATTATTTGATTTAATCTGGTTGTATTAATTTTGTAATGACCTCATGCCAAAATGCTTCACCATAAGTGTAACATATCATATTGTTTTTTTGTTTTTTTAAATTATACATGTACCTAACTATATATTTATTTTGTTGTAGTTTGAAACAGATGGATGTAGTGGAGCTGTTTTAGTTCTGTATTCAGCTATATTAACTAAAGGCATTATCAAGTAAGTTGGGTTTATTTTAAAAAAAAATATAAAAAAAAATTGACATACTGGTACTGTATTAAGTGATTGATCAAGGGAATATACAAAAACGATTATTAACAGGACATGAGCAATTTTTCAAATGCATTAGGCTATGTCTGTTAAGGTTGACCGTAACAGGTGGTTGGGTGGCCAAAGGGTTTAACATGTGCAGTTTAGATACGGTTTGTCATTGACTCAAGTGATGTGGTTTAGATTCCCTGTCTGTTTGTACAGAGTATGGTCGTCTGTCCAATCTCATGGGTTTCTACAGGTCCTCCCACTGGTAAAGATCCCTACATGCAAGCAAATTATTGAAATAAAAGTTGAACCAGTTTGTGTTGAGTGAACTTAAACCCATAACTAACCATAACCAGTGTAAGCATTAGCACTAATTAATATCTGTGGTCTTTAACCTCAGTGGTGTGTTGTTCTCCTGCTTCACTTAATATTTTGTAATATTATTACTTGCAGAGTTATGGGAGATTTTGATGAACCAGGCTTAAAGTTAATGGCAGCTCATGGTTACTGTACACAAGTAAGTTGATATTTCTCAGTTTCAGCATTGGTGAATTTCCTCAATAATGTTTTTATTGTGTGAAATGTTTTTTTCTGGATTTCTTATTTCCAGCAGTTTTTATTAAAGATTTTGCTGGATTCTTTTCAATTTTATTTTGTAGGACTCCTATCGACTTTTACGTTGATCGGATCCTTATTCATTCTGAATACATTTCTGATTTTTAATGAAGCCTTTAATCTCCATCAAAAAGACACTTTTTGGCAATTTATCAAAATGAACCCATTGCCTTAGAGGCTTTAGTTATGATCTAGTTTATGAGCTGTTTGGCTCACAGCTGGTAGTACGATCGAACTGATGGTAGGCATATGTTTCGTTGCCTGGCAACCTATGATTTTTAGATCAAGATTCATGTCATATTTTTGGAAAAGTTAAGAAATTATAAGCCTGTATGAACTTTATGTAATACTAGGAATAAAATGTAATATTGTAGGAAATGGTTAATCTGTTATTAACTGGCAGAGCTGTATCTAATGTATTTAATGATGTAGTGGAACTAGAATCAGGAGGTGTTACAACAACATTAAAGGGGATATCAAGTAGATCAGATATTGGTTTTCTTTCTCTATTTGAGCATTATAAATCTTGTCAGGTGAGACAATTTACTTAGGGCCAGATTAAGGTGAGGGGTGACGAGCCTGCAGCCGAGGGGGCCCCAAATTAATTCAAAAAATTTCTGACAAGGCTGCAGCCGAGGGGCCCCCAAATTAATTTTTTTTTAAATTTTGTACCATAAGTAAATGTCATATGTTACAGTAGAGTTTAACAAGGGGGACATAAAATTTTCGCAGCTATGGTAAAGCAACCAGGGGGCATGTTTCGAAATAAACCCAATTTTCAGTCAGGATCCATATGCAATTGCAAGCTTACTACTTTTGATTGATTATATGTTTTCTTCTCTTAAAGATACATTATGGGAGATTTTTATAGAGAGTTGGTCATTCTTGCTATAACAGTTCAAAAGTAGATGATGAAAGAAGAATATATTGAAAAATTCAGTCAAATTACTTTATTCTGAACATAGTTATCATCGTTGTAATATTTGACTAAAAATGGTAGCGAAATGCGTCTTCACCTTCGCCGATCGTTTGATTGACAGGCGTTAACTCCACCTACATATCTCGATTATCAAGTAAATTTTTCAATGGCATACGGAAACGCTTTACACTCTATCATTTAGCCTCGATCTAACTGACATATTTTCATCAGGTTACCCCTTATTTGATTTAATCAATTAGTGAAATCCTATTTAAATCCGAGCTGTAGCCGAGCCATCTGTGGGTCTACAGAGTTGATTTTGGTCTTGTTGTTTAAATAAAGATCTAATTTATAATTTATATAACATCTGAAGCCTAAATTAAGACTTGCAATGATCAGATTTAGCTCTTGCATAATGCATGTTTAATCAGTAAATTCTAAATTAATGTAGAACTCAAGTAGTTGTTTGGTTTGAGAACTGAGCGCATAAGATGGGATCCTTAGCAGCCGGAAGAGAGATGGAAACAAATTTGTCATTCATGTTTTCATTTTCATAGGTTGGAACTTTTTATAAAACACCTAAATATCCTGTATGGGTGGTGTGTAGTGAGAGCCATTTTAGTGTTTTATTTTCTACAAGAAGAGAATTAGTTAATGATTGGAAAGCTGAAAGACGATTTGATTTATATTATTATGATGGATTAGCTCGTCAACAAGAAGAAATTAAACTTACAATAGGTAATATTCAATGGTAATATTGACTAAGGCCTTAGAGTACTGATTGGTAGATTAGGGGTTCTAGTTACTAGTACCTTAAACTACTGGTTTGGAGATTAGGGGATGTCCAGTAGTCTTGGACTTCAAATTATAATTCTGTCACCTGTTTTGATCCCCTGGTTAAACATTACAAGGGGAAGGGGAACCGACCACATAAGCCCACCCCACTACCACCCCCATTGAGTAGAATAATATATACATAATTTACATTTCATACCAATATAATTATTACTGAGGATATTATAATAAATGATATAGACAGTAGGACTGTTTTTTTGCTGGTTCAAAGAATAGATCATTTTTGCAATCAAATAAAGGTATCATTTTGTGGGTAAAATCTTTAATCTTTTATTTACAGATACAACAAATAGATCATTTAGAGCTCCATCTGATGACGATCTAGTCCCTCCAATAGAACACTGTATTAGAACCAAGTGAGTATACTATTTTCATCATATTTAAAATGGGCATTATTTACACATAGTGGAGTCCAATTTCACAGCCTGCTATCTAAAGTATGTATTAATGTCGGTCTGTAATGTCTTATGAAGTTTAAAGGGCAGAGTTGTCTTGAAAGTTTCTCCAAATTTGGTGATATCTACCAATCTGGTTAAAACACAGATCCTATTTCGTTTTGTTTTTAAAGTTCAAAATTTCGTTTTACTTGTCTTTACTACACTTGGATCTGGAAGAGTTGTTATTTAACTCATGTTCTGAATGGTGTCAGGGATAAGCCAATGAAACGGTCTGTTACGGCGAGCTTTAGGCGTGTTTTTCACGGAACTGTGGGTAATCCACTAGTAACATCAATGCTGATTGGTTAATCAAATGTCTGACATCATAGGGTCATAAGTCAGTCTTTTGACCCCTGACGTGACCTATCGCTATAACTTGGCAGATCTTCATGTAGTGTAGGCCATCGAAAGTATAAAAAACGAAACGAAATATAGAACACGATAGTGAGGGTCATAGAATCTCCATGGTCGCAATTAAATTTATCAGTTTATTTGTAAATACAGTTTTCCTTCAATTTAATTTCAAAGCAAAATTTTTAGGGTACAATAATATATTTTTCAGGTGGGCAGATGCAGAAGTAGATTGGAATGGTTATGAACCAATTTTATAGAATAATATGTATAAGCTATACTGTGATGATAATGTTCAACAACTATTTATTGATATGATGTGTAAGAAATATCACACAACCATCCTTTCATATTGTGATATTATTTACTACAAAATATCAAACAACCATCTTTTCATATGGGGATATGATTTACTAGAAATATCAAATAACCATCCTTTCATATGGTTTGTTATAACTAGGAACAAAATATCCCTTCAGATCATGATATGGTTTGTTAGAACTGTCTAAATAATATTCATTTATTCATATTGTGATATGGTTTGCTAGAACTATCCAATTAATATCCCTTTACATTGTGATATGGCCTGTTAGAACTATCCACCTAATATCCCTTCATATTGTGATATGGTTTACTAGAACTATCCAACTAATATCCCCTTCATATTGTGATATGGCCTGTTAGAACTATCCACCTAATATCCCTTCATATTGTAATATGGTTTACTAGAACTATCCAACTAATATCCCCTTCATATTGTGATATGGCCTGTTAGAACTATCCACCTAATATCCCTTCATATTGTGATATGGTTTACTAGAACTATCCAACTAATATCCATTCATATTGTTATATGGCCTGTTAGAACTATCCACCTAATATCCCTTCATATTGTGATATGGTTTACTAGAACTATCCAATTAATATCCCTTTATATTGTGATATGGCCTGTTAGAACTATCCACCTAATATCCCTTCATATTGTGATATGGTTTACTAGAACTATCCAACTAATATTCCCTTCATATTGTGATATGGCCTGTTAGAACTATCCACCTAATATCCCTTCATATTGTGATATGGTTTACTAGAACTATCCAATTAATATCCCTTCATACTGTGATATGGTTTGCTAGAACTATCCAACTAATATCCATTCATATTGTGATATGATAAGAACCATCTCCATCACATTGTTACAAATTGCAAGTTTCCTTAACAATTAAAACAATCTTTATCGTATTCTTTGTTTAAAGGAGCTAATGAATTGGATTGATGTTATTTGTTATTTTGATTAGTGGGGGGGGGGGGGGCAAGCTCTATATGATTAATTTGTTATTTTGAAAGAGTGTTATAATTTTAGTTAACTGTGTCAACAGAAAGTCAGAATGGTTATATTTTTACACTGGTCTTATCTATGAGCATAAAATTTTCTTCTAAGACAGATGGTCATCCAACAATACAAATCAACAATGAACTAAACAATTTTATATTTGTGTCACAAGTGGTCTAGTCATTTTGAATTCTCATCAGATCAACATAATAATTCTTTTAAATTGGGTTACTGGATCTGTCTGATTATTTCTGTACATTTTTCTGTCCACCTGCTTTGTTTGAGAGAGTGTAGCGCACACGGTTGAGCTTGAGTGCCATAAAATGCCTGCATCTTGATCGAGAAGAGTTTTTTTGATGAGCACCCCAGAATTTCTGTATTTTATTTTAAATATTATTTACAAGTGGTCACCATGTATGCTACTTAGAATTATCTTGACCTTATGAATGAAAGAAATCATCTCGTTGTGAGATAACTCTTTATTTACCAAATCCTTCATGTTCCAGATTTGACTTTTGCAAATTAAGGAGAGCATTTTTCACCTCCCCAGTCAAATATAGAATACAATGGCTAGAGAGCCTTTATTTTGTCATACTCCTTTGTGGGAAAGAAATAGATTTTGATTTGCGGGACAAACAAAATTATGTTTTGTAATCTGTGTGATGGAGACGTTAGGTTATCGATATATATGTATTTATTTTTTTATACTTCAACATTCGATAGGTTATCATATACCAGTATGTTTGTATATTTATTTTCTGTAGATTATGGGTTATTTCTTAAATTTAGATTTATTTTCATCTGCTGATATAGTAAATTATTTTATATATTTTTTTGTATTTCAATCAACATCCATTTTACTCCTATTTTCTACAATAATTTTCTGATAAAAAATTACACAAGAATTAAACACTAAGAAAGGTCAATTTAATTTCTAGCTATTTATTAGGCAGCTGTTCACAGAACACTCATCTTCACTGTGAGTGTCAAGTATGAACAGTATTGTAGCATACTAACTCTTGACTGCAAAAGACCTGTTGAACTTGGGACAAAACTAAGGTGGTTGAGGTTTAATGAATACAATCTTAGGTTCTTCCATAGTTGAACAATCAGGGCACTACTAAGGCTGTTGAGGTTGTATGAATACAATCTTAGGTTTTTCCATAGTTGAACAATCAGAGCACTGTACTCTTGACTAGAATGTCCTGGTTTTAAATCTTGGTGTGAGTTGGGAAAAACCTTAAGGATTTCTAGCGTAATATGAATTCAAGTTTCCTTAATCAATAGTATTTTTGTATTACTTTGACATTATTTTTGGTTCTCAGGAGATTCTGATGAGATGATTATAACCTGTTTAAACTGAACTACGCATTTGTTGTTGAACAATAGAGCATTTGGTGCATTTGCATTACTTTATAGATATTTTCATACCAATGTTTATAATGTTATTTATTTATTAACCTGTAACTGCTGAACGCTGTTATATTCTTCTTAGATTTTGTAATGTGTCAAGCTTCGAAAGAGTTATGATTTGTAATGAATATTTCCTCTATAGACAAATGTTTCTGGGGTTTGTTTTTGAATTATACAAAGTGATATGTCAATAATATCAGCTAGGAAATAATTTCTGAATTTTATGACATTTACCTTATTTGAAATATTAGCACAGAACCTATAATCTCACTTTTATCATTCACCTGATTGAAAGTGCCATATTAATGCACAACTTGATAAGAACCTACATTTCATGAATTGCTTTCAGAGATAATCAATGGATGGCGATTGTTGATTTTTATCACTTGTTAAATTATAAAAATCTGTATATGCTGATCATTAAGTAATTTATAAATAATTTGATACAAACAGTAGTATCAGATGATGTGTATTTTATTGAGATAGATATGTATATGTTTTATTAGTTAATATTATTTATAAATTATAAATCAAATTTTATTATTGAGTCGTATAACTTGTTGTATAAATAGACTAGAGACAATGAAATTATTTTAAATTTATTGACTTATTTTATCTTTAAATAAAAAGACGATATACACATCAATACTATTGTAAACATTTACTATGTAGATAATTCATTCTCTCTCTGGGATATATGCTAGCTCATTCTCTAATCATATTGAGCTTATGAAAACTACATCTAACCCAAGTGTTGGGGGGCCGAATGGTTAGCATGTGCGCACTCTATCATAAGGTCAACTGGCATGGTTTTGATTCCCCAGTTGTACGTGACAAGGAGTAGAGTCGCCTGTCCATCCTTGTGGGTTTTCCCCAGGTCCTCCGGTTTCCTTCCACTGCTAAAGACCCCTACGTGCAAGCGAATTATTGAAATGAAATAAAACCATGTTAAACCCGAAATGACCTGGTTTGTGTCGAGTGGACGTTAAACCCCATTTCTCTCTCTCTGAAGCAAGAATCTAAAGAAACTCAAACGGTTAAGCTGGTGAACCATACTCCTTGCTATGTATTATCAGGGGATTAAATTCATACTTTTGATCTGTGATATAACACCTTCATTCGACCACATAGAAACCAATCCCACTTGACATAAAACTTTAGTTAAAGCGGCATTAGGTAACATTAGAGAAAGAGCGGACAGTTCTCGCTATAATAGTTAAAAAAATAGATAATGAAATGAGAATATGCTGAAAATTTCAGTCAAATTACTTCACTCTGAGTCGAGCTAACGGCGACACAATTTTTGTTTAGCCTCGATTGTAATTACTACCATTGTAGCGATAATAAAAAAAGGTCTCAATTATCCAATTTTATGGTTATATCGGAGCCATCCGACGGCATCAAGAGTTGAATATGGACTTGGTAAGTTAAGTAATGTCTAATTAATAATTTATATAATATTTCAGGCCTAAGAAAGACCTGCAATAGGCAGATTTAGCTGTTGCATAATGCATGTTTAAGTCACTATGCTTTAAAACTTAAGAAAACGGTCTTTAAAAAGGTCAGTGGTGGAACTTTCAGAATTAAATAATAAATGACAACAACAAAAAGATATCACTCTATTTTTTATTTAGTAAACTCTAATCTCATAATTCTTTTCGTTGTTTTTTACCCATTAATTCCTGTTCTTTTAATTGCCACTCTTTCTCTTTAAACAGTTTAATTAAATAGTCATCAGGTTTTAACTTTTTCTCAGCTATTTCATTATAAATTTTATTTAATTGATCCAAGTTCTTTGCCGTTTGAAGCCGTCTGCCGATAAAGTATAATTCAAATTTATCACGTGATATGAGTTGACAGGAATCAACACTGCATAAATTTTTAGTCATGGATTGGTCTAACTTGGGTAACAATGTCAAACCTGTCTTTTCCTCGAGTATTTCTAATGGAACCATGAAGTCTGTGAGTTGTTTATCATAACCTATCGGTTTATTGGGTACAATAAAAGCACCAAGGGCAATAGGTTTATTATTATCAGACTCTGCAATCACAACTTTGTATAAATGGGTAGGAACTGCCACTTGCCTTTTACCTATTAACTGAAATGATTATTAAAAATATATAATTACATGTATACAAAATATTCAAAGTCTTGGCATAATTCTTTTTGAAAGTAGCAGCTCACCTTCAACATAAATGACCCAGAAATACTCTGACTACTGGCAAACATCCCCAAAAAGAAACAGGTGTTAGGAGCAATGGCTCCATCTTCAATAGAATGCTTGATCTCGCTTTAGCTCAGCACATCTTATCAAACCCTTCACGTAATATCACGTCTTGCGCGTTCCAGCTAAAATGTCTACCTGTGATAATCAAGTTGGAAAGCTCAAGGTTTGTTTAATGAAAAGGTTTCCGTGGAGATCACCATGTTTGATTTGAGTGTGTTTGTGTCACAGCCTCTGATTAGACAAAGGGAGATAACGTACCTATAAGTTCAGAAATTTCTGGATGTTGTAAAACTCGCAGTCGTTGCTTCAGGAACATGCAATTGCATGGCTCATACTTTACAGGCCTGTATGTAAATCTGGCGCAGATTAAGATTGATATTTAAAATTTAAAACAGTATTTGCCCTTCAAAGTCTCTCATCCTCATTTGACAGATTGTTAGTTCTTTGCAAATTACGATATTGTGAAAGTTGAATCTCTAAAAGGAATGTCAGTCCATCTGTCCGTTTGTAGATATTATAAGGATAAAGTCAACAAGCCAGCGCCCCTATGTTTTCTCTGAAATCTTTTGATGAGCCTCTTTTTAATATGATTAAATCCAAGCCGGGAGATTATATGTCGTTTATATTTTGATTTCTTAATTTTAATAAGTTTAATTCAAAAATGTTAAATAATGAATCTGCGTACATTTAAGCTGTGAACATTTTCCGAAAAATGCAAGTGATAACTTACTTGATATTTTATAAAGATCTTGTCTTCGGATTCTTCTAAATCAGGTAAAAATACTGGACCAGTAATCACCCTTACATCTTTAAACTTTTTGGTCAGATCACGACAATAGAGTTCAAAACGGTTCCAAAAACCAGCATTATTCTCATAATTTTGTGGAACCACATTGGAGAGATAAAATGAATCATTCATTGCTTTCTGAAACAAAAATACAGATAATAAAAAACAGAACCCCTTTTTTTGGTCCTACTCTCTGCTCTAGTGTAGATAAGGTACAACTGAAACTGGATGTGGGTCTGTTCTGAATGGACATTAAACCCCATTTCTCTGTCTAAGGATGTGCTCGATTTGGCCTTGAAGTTAAAGTAATATCAGATAATGCTTGTAAATCTATTGAAACATAGGTTTCCAGACAAGCCCCTATACATGTAATTGTAATTTATCCAAACAGCATCCATACTACCCTTTAAAGATATCAAAGGGACATAACACATCAAAAATACTTGTTTATATAACATTACATGTACATACAGTATGGTAGGACATCTGGTGGGCATATGCCTTATATGTTTCATTACTAGACAAGTTATTTTTATTGAGGCACTAACTTGGTTATATTTATGGTTTCCAGCAGGTGTCATATGTCCTCTTGACCAGCCACTTTTTAAATAATCATCATTACCAGCATTAAATTTACTATTTAGATTTGGATCAGGCTTAAAATAGGAATGTTTCCGGTTGGCTTCCCCTGTAATATAGAAGAAAAAGCACAAATTTACATATCAGTACTGATGAAATGTTAAGATTTAGGCCCCATAATATTATTAATAACAAAATTATGAAACCCTGGAAGGAGGGATGAATGGTGGAGGATACGTGTGTATGGTAAAGGACAGTATTTCTGTCCATGACTTCTCCAGGAAAGCTAAATCAATTTCAACCAGATTTCATACATGTATGTAGGCCTAGATTGTGGTGGGTTTAGAATATAGTGTTTTCCATTGTGTTTGCTGAAATGGAAATATCAGAATCATTACAAATATCTAACCTTTCAGTTTGTCCTGTGTGATATGCTCTGCAACCCATGATGGTATTTTCCTGGACTGGTCATAATTTAAAACATGATTCTCATAAACATAATATTCAGGTCCTTTATCAGGTATTCCATATTTCAAAATCTTTCTTTGGTTTTCTAATTTTTTCACATCCTCTGAAATCAATAATCATTATTTGAGACACAAAAGTCAAAATAGGTAACAGCTATGTACCAATTTAAATTATATATTAAAGACCTTTAAATTGATATGACTATGACATTTATATTTATCGAAAATCTAAGTAAAAGGCTGGGACTGAGATGTTATTTAATTTAGCTTTGAAAATTGAAGATGGTACACCAACACATAGTTATAGTAATTTTAAGACAAAATTTCATTGCAGGTAGGGTGAATTATTCATTCTCATTCTAGGGAAATTTCGTATCAGTATTACAGATTTTATTGTACTGGTGGTGATTGCACACATAATGTGACATTTTTGAAAATCAAATATGCCTATAGTTTAGGCTATTCGTACGCAGTTAAATCGGTGCCTCAGTCAGTGCCTCAGTCAGACACATGTGGCATAGCTAACCTAACATTGGATCGTCAGAGGAAATTACTACTCTATTCTGTTTTATGATACTTTCTGCATCTTCGGCATGTTTTTTTCTGGCAGTAGAAATTCTTGAATTATACACATAAAAGCACGCCAATGAAGTAAATGCACCAGTCGCAAAACCTTTCACAAAAGTCATGTTTAAAATAGAGTAAAACTGAAAGTAGCAAACTTCCGGGATGTTAATTTCCTAACAACCAGTCATATGAGAAATTAATACCATAAAATAATTGAATTACCTAGTTCTATGCCACCACAAAATCGGATATTCGACCACACTGAAATATAAGAATGTTATGTTATTATATATAGTGCATGCGATAATGTTATATTGATCCACAGTGAATTTTTAGCCCGGAAAGGTATTCGCATCACTAGTATGGAACCATGGAACAGTTTGGTGGTGTTTAAGAAACAAAGCGTCTGGATAAAAAAGGCAAAAGCACCTTGTCTTTCACTGCGCATCGGTCGCTGTCAGAAGTGGTCACGTGATAGTCGTTCTCGGTAGCAGTCGCCATCATGCAGGCGGTCAAACAAGCGTGTGTTGGATTTGCCAGGGCTTCAAAATGTGTCCTTACCTCACCCACCGTCCCCCAGACAGCAGCCAAAACATTACCAACGTACTTTAGCTCACGTATGTATTGATGTCTTTGTGTGAAATGAAATATGTGTTCCTAAAACTTCAAGGGCATTGCAGCTAATGATACCGGTTGATTTCAGCTCTCGACTCGTCAAGAACACGACCTTGCGTGTTCGTTTCATAAAGCAAACCGAAAAACAATTTCACACCATGACAATGTTATATCAAATTGATTACTAAATATAATTTAATAATTAAATAATTTGCATTGATTTCTTGCAGATGTATGTGGGCTGTCCTTGTATTCTAAAATTTACTGCAGAGATCATTGGCCGGCAGACGTCCTTGCAAAATCCTTCATTTCATGGCTTCAATCAATTTCACTTCAGTCATTGGACATTTCAAGCAAAGAGTAGTTATTTTATTTATGACATCACATTTTCCATAACATAATTAAGGTTATGGTTAATTTTTCCAAAAGGTGTATATGTCTGTTCAATATTTGGGGTTATCGAAAATGATTATAATTATTAACATTAGGTCTACTATAAATACTTGTTAAATCTGAATCAGACTCTGGTTGCCATTTCAAATTACAAATCCATTTATTTACAGTAAAATAATCTATATTCCATGCCATAGATTGTGTGCTACATTTTTCAGGTGTAGGCCCATCGTTTCAAATTGCAACTATAAGCTTACCTCTAGGTTCAATAAGCAACTTTAAGTAAGCTAAAGAAATGCTCTCGAAATAAAAGGTGTCGGTTGGAGTTAGATAATTCTATATGCATTATAGATGTTTATGATGTTAATATACATGAATAACTGAAGATTTTGTATTTTTCTGTTTTCTGACGACGTAAACTGGATGTTACAAATTAGAAAATAAAAGTAAAACATCCAACTTGTTGGATTAAAATATGGTATGCTGCTAAAAAAAAAAAAATAAATAATGCTGAATTTGTAGTTTGTCATCTCTTTACAGGGCATTATGCTGCTGAAGCCAAAGCACAAGCGCCTGCCATTGGCACACCTAGAGGCAGGATTGTGGCAGTTATTGGTGCCGTAGTAGATGTACAATTTGATGAAGGTTTACCGCCAATTTTAAATGCTCTGGAAGTAAAAGGTCGTTCACCTCGTTTGGTGTTGGAGGTAGCTCAACATTTAGGTAAGATGCAAATTGCAAAATATGTTTCATTCTATTCATTTAATAAAAATTGTGGAATAGTAGAATCTGTAATACATGTACAGTGAACAGGGGTTGGGTTAGTGTTAGCTGTTTGCTAGATTATTAAATACCGGTAGCTAAAAAAAAAAGCATATATTTATAAACTGAATTGAACTTTTTTCTTTATTTTTTGCAGGAGAGAGCACAGTACGAACAATTGCTATGGATGGTACGGAAGGTTTGATTCGTGGCCAAGAATGTGTTGACGTTGGTACCCCAATTAGGATTCCAGTAGGTCCCAAAACTTTAGGTCGTATTATCAATGTCATTGGTGAACCCATTGATGAAAGGGGTCCAGTACAGACAGATAAGTAAGTATAAACAAACGAATGAGTCAGTTGACATATTTCTAGAAAACTGAGGAAGATGTCTTACAAAACCTCAGTATTATGTACTGAATAAAACTACCGGCACCAAAATTGAAATCGCCAAATACAATTAATGGCAGTAATGCGGGGCTAGAAATTATTCAGAGATTTGTAATGGTTTACTAAGAAACATCAAAAATATTTTTGAACACTAGCATACTGTTACGATACATTGGTCAAATAGACTATTAAGTTAATTAGTAGAATGCCTCGTGTAGATCTTCACTTAGTTTGTCACACCTTTTCAATAGTCTTAACATGATTTTAGCATTCAGCTATCTGTGCTATCCATATTGGTGACCAAAAAGAGAAAGATGAGAGCGTAAGCTGTCATGCTTTCTGAACATTTTGACTAATGTTATCTAAATTACAAAAAATTTGTTAAAAATCTTTCTAGTACTATCTTTAAAAGAACCAATCCGGAGTCACCGTTCTTGTTATCTTTCAATATCGTAAAAATAAACCATGAGCGACCAAGAAAATGCTGATATTGCAAAGGCAGATTATCTGTAATAATACAAGTTTCAATATTAACAGCCAACAGAAAGAAAAAGGCTTTCAGGAATCAATTTATTGGGATACATTCTATTTAAAGAAAAGTCTAAGAAATATTAATATCTTATTTGTATTCACAGATTCTCTGCCATTCATCAAGAAGCCCCTGAATTCGTTGAGATGAATGTACAACAAGAAATTTTAGAAACTGGAATTAAAGTTGTAGATCTTTTGGCTCCTTATGCAAAGGGTGGTAAAATTGGTAAGTGTTGATCTTGGAGTCTGCTCCAATATTTAGATTATGTATCTGGAGGTCATTTAGATTATTTCAATGAGAAATAAATGCATAAATATGTGCATTTTAGATCACAAGGTCTAATTTTTACCACAAGCCTATACATGATCAGGAGTAGGGTTTCCTCACACTGCCAAAGACCCCTAGCACAATCAGATTATTGAAATAATATAGAACCATGTTAGTCCCGAAACGACCTAGCATGTCCAGTAGACAGGAAACCCCGTTTCTCGCGATATGTTTCCAGGGATATCGCCCAGCTCTATTGTCAGCCTGACGACTTGGGGCTGTCTGCTCGTGTGACGTCAAAGGTTGCAGACAATAGATTTTCTGACATCTTTTCATTAAGAAGCACTTAGTGTAAGCTAATATGTTGATAAGCATGATAGTGGGAGGACATGCAGAGAGTGAGAGCCTTAAATGTATAACAGATTCTGAGTCTAAAGTGCGGAAAATGAAGTGGACAGGTGATAATTCCAGAATGTCAGTAAATTCACTTTAGATCCAATGTAGCTTGAAATTCACAGAAATTGACCAGATTGCTTTGCCACAATAATGTATGATAAAAGTATTTTTTATTGCATACAGTACACTTCAAGCGGAAGTACTAAATTTCCCCGAGGTCCGACCTGGGCGGAAATGAAAAATCGCGGACGTCAGTTAATCAATCCGCTCTGGCCACGCTCAAAATTCCGCTCTAAAATTCATACGCGAATTTAAATAAACCGCCGACCTCCGCGATTATTTTAAACCGCCGCCCACCGCGAAATTTTAAAAAGTCGGACTTTCCACGCATGTACAGTCGGCACATCCATAGCTGGTTTGAAATGGGTTTATTTATCGTGCGATTCCACGGCAGTGATATCGTAGTCGAATATCGGCATGCCAAAAGAAAGATTGTTAATTTAACACGGTTAGACACGCAGATTTTACTGGCTTATATTGAAAAATAACAAAAATCAAACAGGCTTTTAAATAATAAAATTAACAGAATTATGGCTGTACCGTACATTACTTCATCAATATGTTCGACATTTTTAAGACTTGCATCGATCTTCTATTTCAAACTCATTCAAATTACGAAAATTTCAAAATTTACACACATAGATGCTGGTCTTACCGTTAGCGAAAGTTTTGTCCATCGAAATAGCCATTTCCATTCGGACAAATATGTCACACAATGCATTTTAAATTGATAAATCACACCCGAACAAGTAATATATGCCTTCATCTTCTGTTTTCAAGCACACATAGCCAGAAGTCACCGTCAACCTTGCTGAACACATGTATCAGTCGGATAATACCTTGATTTCGGCACCAAAGAGTCTGGGTCAATGCATACTGTCAGTCAAGATTCCTAATTAATTACGTGAATTCACACGTGTCATCAAAAGGAATTGATAATTGACTAAAATAGAAGCCCCTTTAACAACAAATTGTTACCATGTTGTATTCTTGTAAACAATACTTTCTATTAATTTTATTTACGATAAAACTCGGGATTTAAAAATTTGGATATAAAAGATAATTCAATTTTTGAATCGGTACAGACTTAAAGGTTAGCGTATGCGCCGTGTGAAAAGAATACTTAATCATCATATTCGCAGGTGACATATTCTGTTAAAATCATTCGTTGAACCGGTGGTGATATTTTTTTTTAATTTGGCACAAAAACCATCCCTTATATCGCACCGTGCCCCTTTAAGTCGGACTTTCCATGCATGTACAGTCAGCACATCCGTACATGCAAATGTTTTAAAATAGCTAGGTTTATTTATAGTGCAATTGCACCGCAGTCATCATATCGTAGTCGAATATCAGCTAATACGGCATGCAAAAAAAAGATTGTTAATTTAACACGGTTAGACACGCAGATTTTGCTGTCTCACATTGAAAATATAACAAATATCAAAAATTGGCAGGCTTTTATATAATATAATAAACAGAGTTATGGCTGTACGATTCATTACTTCATCAATATGTTCGACATTTTTAAGACATTCAAACTCGTTCAAATTACGAAAATTTCAAAATTTATACACATAAATGTTGGTCTTACCGTGGGCAAAAGGTTTTGTCCATTAAAATATCCATTCCCATTCTGACAAATAAGTTTCACAATGCATTGTAAATCGGTAAATCACACCTGAAGTATTATATCTTCGGATTTAAATCACAAATGAATTAAATGCACACCTCGCCAGAAGTCAACGTCAACCTTGACGCAAACATGTACATAATACGATGATGACCTATTCATTTCGGCACCAAAGAGTCTGAGTCAATGCATACTGTCAATCAAGTTTCCAAATTGTGTGAATTCGCACGTGTCATCAAAGGGAATTGATAATTGACTATAATAGAAGCCCCTTTAACAACAAATTGTTACCATGTCGTAGTCTTGTAGACAATACTTTCATTCTGAATTGTCAGTAAGTAATCATTACCCAAAATAGTTGACCTCATTAATAAAGAATAATTACAATTGGGACGCGAACAAACTGGATTTTCACACTAAATAGGTGCGGTGACTAAATTACTAACAGGCTACGATGAATTAGGGTTAGGGTTCCGATATCTTTATTTAGGGTTAGGGTTCATTAGTCCACCGATATCTATCATTAGGGTTGAGTTAGGGTTAGGTTTATTGATACCCACATTATAGTATTTCTTATAGCGGCGGACTAGTGAACCCCTGTCGGTGATAATATTTTTAATTTGGCAGTTAAATCATCCCTTATAACTAACGCATGCTTTTTTGTGAGGCAATTTCCTTTGTTCTGTTTGATGTTCACTCTTTGATCAGTTACTATTAATCTAAGTTCTGTCCGGACAAGATCCCATTCATAAGATCTGGTTGTTAGGTGTTTTATTAAAGGTTCTTCGATATGTTCATTGATAATTATTGGAAAGAAACCGAACCGGATTATTATTTAGGATATTTATCGTCAACTGTATAAATACGGTAAGCAGTTTGTGTGTTGCATTTATAAGTTAAAGTATAAAAAGAAATATTTGAAGGGGCTATTTAAGACATGATATTTTTAAGCCTTATACCTGTAACTGAAACGATTTGACGTGTTGAACTGTTTTGCAATATGGGGAATCTGTAAAGTCAAATACGAAACTGAAATAAGTAAACAATCTTCCAGCTTCTATCCAATATGACTTTTAATTTTGGGGACATAAAGTACATGTATATATTGAACGTTGGGAGCCGAATCGTCATTTTAATTGTATTACCGTTAAAGGAGAAAATATTCCTTCCTAGCAATTTATGCTAATTCGTTTATTTCTACGAATATCGTTAAATTGTTGTTCATAATTAAAACGGATAATAAATCAGTATATAAAAAAACAGCATATTTTAAAACACCCACGTGCAAATCGCTGCCTTCTATATATGTTTATTGTCGTCCATTTTCAGACATTGTTATCAGAATTCACGAAACATGGTTTCATTGTCTGCTTGTCGGATCAACTAATGACATAGAAAATTGCTATGTGTCTGTGCTTTATGGTGTGATTCACGAATTAAATACCGATGTAGATGTACATTATAAATGAATAGAACATAACGGACATTTTAGGATATGAATACAATAATACATTGGTACACTTTAGTTAATAATCAAAACGGAATTTGAAAAGAGTATTATGAATATATGAATTACCGGTGAACTAAAACGACTAATATACTCGTGATATCGTTCCATTAAATATTTGTTTCTTTCTAATAACGTTGTGGCAATATGGACTAAATTACTCTATTTCAAATCAATTTGGACTATAATCTGCCGCGAATTTGATATTTCCACCGACTATAATCCGCCGCGAATTTAATATTTTTGCGGGCGATAATCCACCGCGAATTTTATATTTTCGCGGACTTTTTTTCGCCCAGAACGTCTCTAATTCCGCGGAGTGTATATGGGTAAAACACCGCGATTTTTGAGCGGAAAAAACGCCCACAAGGACTATTTTCATACTTCCGCCTGAAGCGTACTGTAATTCTCTTAATGCACTAATCACAATGTTGAATGTTCTGCAGGTTTATTTGGCGGTGCAGGTGTAGGAAAAACTGTACTTATTATGGAACTGATTAATAATGTAGCTAAAGCTCATGGTGGTTATTCTGTATTTGCTGGTGTTGGTGAACGAACACGTGAAGGAAATGATCTATACCATGAGATGATCACATCTAAAGTCATTAGTTTGACTGATGAAACATCCAAGGTATGTATCGAGTATTGTAATAAATTAAATAATCCCTCCAATGTATCCTGCATCATGAAGACTTGTTAGCCATGCAAATGGTTCTGATAAATCTGATTTTCCAAAGTGATATATAGAACATTTTGTATCAGAAATAATAGGAAGAAAATATTAGAGTTTTTATATTTGGCACATATTCCATTTTAGGTATCTCTAGTATACGGTCAGATGAATGAACCCCCAGGAGCCAGAGCTCGAGTAGCTTTGACTGGTTTGACTGTTGCTGAATATTTCCGTGATGAAGAGGGACAGGATGTGTTACTTTTCATTGATAACATCTTTAGATTTACACAGGCTGGTTCAGAGGTGAGGTTTTAACATAACTTTATATAGTAACTTGTTTAGTCTTAAAATTGTTATTCATGAAATCATGTATACAAGTCTATCTTGGATCCCTAATGGTTGTCATGTCATAAATATTTCAATGAATTATGAAACTGAGTTGATGTTATTTCAGGTATCTGCCTTGTTAGGTCGTATTCCATCTGCTGTAGGTTATCAACCAACATTAGCTACTGACATGGGTACTATGCAGGAGAGAATTACCACAACCAAGAAAGGTTCTATTACATCAGTACAGGTTAGTATCTTTAATGTCTATACTGTAAACGAGAATTTTGTGTTATGAAATCATTGAGATTTTAAAGGGATTGAAAGAAATAGGTATTGAAATTAATACCTGTTTTAGATGTAAAAAGATAAGTTTGCAAGTAATTAATGATTTTGCAATTGAAGTGGTGGACATTAGGTGGAGTGGGCTTCTTTCAGTTGTAATAGGTTGACACATTGATTTCTTACTCTCATTAAGAAATTCTCATTAACGTTATTCACAGTATTCGCATGTATCTGGTTATGAATGATTATTGTTTTTTTCTAGGCTATTTATGTGCCAGCTGATGATTTGACTGATCCTGCCCCAGCCACAACTTTCGCTCATTTGGATGCCACAACTGTATTGTCTCGTGGTATTGCTGAATTGGGTATCTACCCAGCTGTAGATCCTCTCGATTCCACATCCCGTATCTTGGACCCTAATGTTGTTGGTGATGAACATTATGCCATTGCTCGTGGTGTACAAAAAATTTTACAAGTAAGTTTGCTCTATTACTAAATGTAAAATGTATAAATAAAACAAATTTGTAATCAAACGTCATCGTCCACACATTCAGATTTTGAGTATCTTAAGGCCGTCGTTCGCACTTCATAAATTGAATTTCATAATAAAAATCGTTTTTGAGGTTTCATGATTTTCTGTCACATACACTATCTAAGAACACATCTCAGTCATTTTTTTTCAAAAAATTCTTGTATATTTCCACAAAATTTGGTTCTTAATGATCTCTCTCCTTTCTATTTCACCCGATTTCCATAAAAATTATTGATATAAGTTTAAAAACAATATGCACTTCACACGCAAAATACTCGGCTTCCGAATTGTAAACATCCGCAATGTTTGATACCGTTATAAAGCTGGGGACTTCCCGTATTGAAAGGAAAGAGGTAAAAATAGCATACCAGCCTTTACCTGTCAGAACTGGTTTTGAATACCTAATAAGGTTATTTTTAGACCACGTTATTTGATTGGTCAGTCAGGAAGGTCGGGTGTTGGTTTGTCCAATCAGAAACCAGCAACCCTCCAGGTCAGGCCATCACGCATGCGCATTAAGCCAATGCCCTAGATATCCGTCCTCGTGGCTATCACTATATTATTGATCACTTTACGTGATTGTTTATCGATATTTCTACAGAATTTCATATAAAATGCCTTTGAAAAAATTTAGATCACTAAATAAGTTTGGTAGACGGCGTCGGAGAACATCTACAGTGTCACAAGGAAGGCCAAATGACACAGTTTCATTTATAAATAATAATATACTGAATGCTAGTGCTACTGCTAGATCTACACCTAGTACCAGCACAGGTAGTAATACTATTAATAGTTCACGTGTAAATTTACACACTGCGACGAATTTAAATATAAATAATAATCAGGTTGATAATAACAATATTGTTATATCGCCTACTGCCAAAAAATTTAGTCACTTTGATTTTGATACCAGTTCATCTGTAGATGATGTTTCTACTAGTACTACTGGTAGTACTATAACTAGGTCTATGCCTGGTTCATTTGGATTCAGGATTGTAAGCACTGACTTCTTGCAGTCCTTAATTTAAAACTTATGCTGTCCTACATGTCACAGCAGTAATGTTGTTTTACATGAGGATAATTTTATTGGCCTTTCAAGCATATTTAATTTATATTGCAGTATTTGCGAGCAATCGCTGGGTCAAGCACCCACTTCCCCTAAAACTGAAAAGAAGGGTGCTCCTCTTGTCAACAGGAGAGTTGTTCTCGCCATGAAGGAGATGGGGCTTGGGAAGAGCTCTCTTGACACATTTGCCAAAGTCATGGATTTTCCATCTTTGGAGAAAGAAGCTTTTAGTAAGCATACTAAAGCCATAGGGGAAGCTAGCCTCTCCACCCTTGACCATCATCTTGAAGATGTGAAACAAAAAATACATCTTGCATATGGTCAATCTGATCCTTGTATAGCTCATGATAAAATTAAAAATATTGCTGTTTCAAGTGACGGCACGTGGCACAAAAGAGGTTTCAGTTCTCATTACGGAGTAGTGGCTATTGTTGATTTATTAACAAATTTAGTTATCGATTCTGAGGTTATGTCAAATTTCTGCACATTATGTTCACAAAACAAAATGGACAGATCTTCCGAGGAATATGTAACTTGGTATACCGCTCACAGACCAGTCTGTCAAATAAATCATCATGGCTCCGCAAAGAGTATGGAAACTGCTGCCACCTTGAAAATGTTTCAAAGATCTATTGAGAAATTTGGGTTTAGATACACAACACTTTTAAATGATGGCGGTAGCTCAGTTTTCAATCAGTTGTGCAAACTGAATGAAAATAATGGACCGTATGGTGCTGAATATCTAGTCGAAAACGAGGACTGTATTAACCATGTTAGTAAACGAATGAGGAACAATTTGGAAAATATTGTCCAAAAAAATAAAGCCAAAGGTTGCCCAATTGATGGTAAGGGAAGACTTACTAAGGAAAGAGTAGTTGCCATGCAAAATTATTATGGTAGAGCCATAAAAGATCATGTACACGATTTGTCCGGTATGATAAATGGCACATGGTCGATATTTTTTCATTATCTCGATGATGGTAAGCCACATCACAATCACTGTCCAAAGGGCAGTGATTCGTGGTGTTGGTATAACCGTCAGATCGCAGATGGTATTGCAGTTCCTGTAAGAGGTGAGCATACAACAACACTTCCTTGATATGTACTGGAAGCCATCAAGCCAGTCTTTGAGCGGTTATGTTCACCTCAGCTTCTAAAGAGGTGTTTACGGGGTGGCACACAGAATAACAATGAATGTTTAAACTCTGTGATTTGGACAAGGGCCCCCAAACACAAGAACACTTCACTAATATCTATTCAAAATGCTGTGGCTAGAGGAATTTTAGAATTCAATAAGGAGTCAACCACTATAATTGATATTATGGATAGGGCTTCGCTCAGTCCTGGCCCTAATGCAAAACGTTTTTTTGCCAAAAAAAAGGACAACCAGCGACTTAAAAAATCTGCTCATGAATCTTCTGAAAGATTCAAAAACATCAGAAAACAAAAAGAAAAAGAATCCTTGCGAAAATCAATTGAAAATAAAAAGAAAGAAGGCAAAACCTATGGAGCTGGCATGAGCTAAATAGTAACCTACATGTACAAACCAATTATAGACAATGGAAATGGGTCAAATTAATTCAAATATTGTATATTTATAAAAAATACTCATAGAAAATATAGGTAATAAAAGATAACTTATTAAAATAAAATATATGAATTGATTAAATTGGTGTTGGTTGTTCTAATAAAATACTTTAAACTTTGGTTGTCGATTTCTCAAAACGAGTTTTTTCTACCATTAACAATTTTAGTCATGCAGTATCTCGGAAAGTTATGGTAAGATTTTATTCAAATTTGGAACATAGGTTCATATATGATTACTTTGTGCAATAAGAGAATTTGATTGAAATCTGCTAAATGGTTGCGGATATATAGTTGCCATAGCAACCATGACACTTGGAAAAAATTATACATTGACACTAAAATGTTCATTACTTTCTCTCTAATTATTATTTTGTAATGAAACTTTCCTATTGCACAAAGAAGCATGTCAGTAGCCTCTCTGCAAAATTTGAATATATTCTGTTGAATAGTTCCTGAGAAATAGGATGACTAAATTAATAACCAGAAATCAAAGATGGCCGTCGTTTCCATAGCAACAGGTACCCCCAGGAAAATTTTTCGACCATTTTTGTATACTTCACATGATGTATTCTTAGATGTGTAAATATAGTAACATTACCCCAATTTTTAAAAAAAATGGAATTTTCTACTGTCCACCCCCTTAATACATGTGAAATTTGTCGTATGATTTTGGTAGCCAGATGGTCCTGACACTTATTTTTTATATCTAATGCATGTGAAATTTGTTTTGGTAGCCAGATGGTCCTGGCACTTATTTCTTATATCTATGCGAAACATCGGGCAGTAACACCTTGCACTGTCTATTAGAGGCTCTTGTTGATTATGGAAATTGGAGTACCGTTATTGAAAAAATGATATACCATGTGACCTGCAAATGTGTGGATTTTAAGTCCTTTGTATGTAATCAGATATTGGTAGTGAAAACATATTTCCAGATACATTTAGTTGCATATGTATTTTAAAGAACTTGAAACTTGTAATTTTAAAATATTAACCATCTAATAAAATCTAGTGATCATGACTTGTGTTATTTCAGGATTATAAATCATTACAAGATATCATTGCTATTTTGGGTATGGATGAATTGTCTGAAGAAGACAAACTGACCGTATCACGAGCTCGTAAGATCCAACGTTTCCTCTCCCAACCTTTCCAGGTTGCTGAGGTTTTCACAGGTTCCCCTGGTAAATATGTACCTCTGAAGGAGTGTATCAAGGGATTCCAGAGAATTTTAAAAGGTATATTTTCCAGTTGTTTACCTAATTGTATTGTATAAGGATATAGTTGTAAATGATACTTGAATATGGCACTATCCAGCCCTAATTTAATGTGTTTAATCTGGATTCTACTTTCCTTTCTGTTTCTAAAGCTTGGATTGCCTAGTCTTCTAAAATAAACAGTCATGTTGGGAGTTTCATAGTGTAGTGGGGATTAGAAGTAATTGATTAATATCAATGATTGTGTTTTGTAGCATATAGCAATAATAGGATATTCGTATTTCGTGTAGCATATAGCAGATCATGACTCATACTGGCATTACACAATGGTTTCTTTGGGCTGTATTCCCGATTGTTTTCAAATTTGAGTGAAGTCTGTGTCACTTCAGGCCCGGGACTGTACAGTGCAGTGGGTGCTTACGGCTAGCCCCTGGATCTGTTCACTTTTTGTTTAATTGTTTGTTTATTTGTGGTTTCTGAGTATGATGTCTTGTCCATGTATTTGTTTCTGTGTAAATTATGTGTGGTGCAGTCCCCATGCACTTACTACCGATCTTAATTATTTAAATTATTTCGTTTTCAGGAGAATTAGATCATTTACCAGAAATAGCTTTTTACATGGTAGGACCAATTGAAGAAGTTATGACTAAAGCAGAAAAACTTGCAGAAGACCAAAATTGAAAATAGTGCTAGTTAGGCTGTGTGATATGTGCAACTTTTTGATATAAATTATTCTCAAAAAGAACACCTGAAAGACATTTGTGTTATAAAAAATATTGTAGATATATTCTAAAATTGAAGAACGCTATTCTAAAATTGAATAACGTTATTATCAAACACACTTTTTGTGTGTGACTGTCGACAAAGGAATAAAAAATGTTAAAACCTCTGAGCTTATTTTATATGCATACGTACCTGCATGGATACAGAATGAAGTTAATGAAGTTTCATACCTTAGTCTGTATTTTACTTTCCACCTCTTTTATGGGTTTGTTCTTTTAGTTTGTGGGCAGCCCAAGATTTCTTTAAAAAAAAATGACTGTTAAAGTGACTTTTCAAACATGATACTGTTTACAAAAAAAACAGTAGGTGCCATGAAGGATACACCCACTTTTTCCAAGAGCTGGACTGAGAACCGAGGGGAAGTTAAGAGCACTCATCCTCTTATTGTCGAAGTGCTTTACATTGAATATGAAAAAAAATCTGTGTACTGTAGCCTCTATCACAGCACCATATTTACTTGAAAGGCTGGATAACTCCAGAAGGCTGAATAGGAGGCAGACCACCATTAAATTTCACCATCTCGGTACCAACAAATTGTTCTCCCCTTTTGTGTGCCCATTTTTGTTGATTGTTTGGTCTAGAATGGATAAAGAGGTTTTGAATTAACATTTTCTGCCAAGTTTTGGTAAATTTTCATGATTTTGAGGCGGAAGGATAACATGGTTATCAGGTTGGCTACGGTGATATGTACGGCAACTAGTTACATGTTTCTTCAAATTTGTGTATTTCAAAATTTTGGTTCAACGACATGACCATTTTGTTCCTCTGCCTCTAATGAGAAGCAATTCAGCCCAACGAAAAGTTGGAGGTGGGCGAAGAGGCCAGAATTAACATTAAAGTCAATGGGGAAATTAATGGTGGTCTGCCTCTGAATATGATTCCCATGACCACAATGCTTCACACTGCATTTAAAATAATTGTCTTTATTGCATTAACATTTTCGGTCATGGGGCATAACCCTGAAACGGTCAAAAATGGTTAACCCCATGCAATGCTTATACCATATTTGAACAAAAATGTTAAGTGGGGGATAACTCCAGAATAAGATTGTGGCATGCTGATTATGAATCTGGTTTCTACTTGAAGGATAGTTAGTCCAATGCACACCAGAAGCGATAAAAACAATATACATGTAATACCTTTTGCCTTCTAGGTGGCAAAATAAAGTGTCCGAAATCAAATGACTTTCTGGCCTGGAGGCACTCGGCAATTGTGGGACAGTTTCTTGGCATCCATCATATTTTGTTCCATCAATTTTTCGGGAATCGAGATATCTTTGACTAATGGGTAAAACATTTAAAATTGGTGTAATAAACCGTGTCTACTGCCACTTTCAGGGGATATCATTTTGTTGTCCCCCACCTTTCGAAGAAAGCAGGAACTATTAAAATGGGTTCGTCCATCTGTCTGTCCGTCACACTTTTTGGGACACAATAACTCTTTCTAATTGAGCTAGAATGTTCAAACTTGGTGTAGGTGTTTATTAGGTCAATGCCTTGATGGAGTTCGAAGATGAGCATTTTCTGCTTAGGGTAAGCAGAGATAAGCAATTTGATTGGTTGGTGCTTTGGGACACGATAACTTGAGTTCTAATTAAGTAAGAGTGATGAAACTTGGTGAATAGTTTCATTACGTCAATACCTTGACTAAGTTCGATAATGAGCATTTTCTGCTCAGGGTAAGCAGAGCGATAAGCAATTTGATTGGCTGAGACTTTGGAACACATTAACCCATCTTCTAATTGAGCTAGAATGTCCAAACTTGGTGTAGATGTTTATTAGGTCAATGCCTTGATAGAGTTCGAAGGTGAGCATATTCGGCTTAGGGTAAGCAAAGATAAGCAATTTGATTGGTTTATGCTTTGGGACACGATAACTTTGGTTCTAATTAAGTGAAAGTGATGAAATTTGGTGTATAGTTTTATTACAACAATACATTGACTAAGTTCGATAATGAGCATTTTCTGCTCAGGGTAAGCAGAGCGATAAGCATTTTGATTGGTTGAGACTTTGGATCACAATAACTCTCATTCTAATTGAGCTATAATGTTCCCACTTGGCGTAGGTGTTTATTAGGTGAATGCCTTGGTGGAGTTCGATGATAAACATTGTCTGCTTACGGTCAGCAGAGATAAGCAATCTGATTGGTTGATGCTTTGGGTCACGATAACTTTGGTTTTAATTAAGTGAGAGTGATGAAACTCTGAGTATAGATTCATTATATCATTACCTTGACTAAGAGAATTTTCTGCTTAGGCTAAGGATCGATAAGCAATTTGATTGTTAAAGACTTTTGAACTTAACAACTCTGCTTTTAATTGAGGTAGAATGTTTAAACTTAATGTAGATGTTCATTAGGTGAATGTCTTGACTTAGTTCAAATATTAACATTTCGAGCTAAAGCTAAGCAGAGCTTAGCAATTTCATTGGTCGATGCTTTGGGACAAGATAACTTTGATTCTATCTGATAGAGAGTGATGAAACTTAGTGGATAGGTGGTAATTTGTTTGATTGCTTGATACTTTTGAAAAAAATAAATGTGCGATTAATGGATATGTGTCATCTATTTATTTTGGGATTTCGGCTGGGGACATCAGCCTCACTGTTGGCTTGTTCATCTATTTTTCGGGAATTGAAATTTTTGATGTCCAGTAAATGCAGCTGCAACAGTAATTGATTGATTGGACGTCGGTTGGTTTGTCGGTTTCAAAACCACATGAATAAGGCTATATTGGGCCACTTTTAAGTTGTTGTACCCACAGGCTTCAATATCGGGCTTCGGTCAATTCATTTCTCCACCTCCCTCAAAATCTGGAATCGCCACCAGAGAGGAGAATTTATGACACCAAGCTGTTCTACAACAGTTTTTTGCTAGTTTTCGATTCTGGACAACAGTTACTATGTACAACCTATGTCCATCTTGCCTGAAGGAAATTATACCTCCAAATATCGCTACATTCTCCAGTTATAATGTGCGTAATGGTCGTAATTTAAGTGTACCATTTGCAAGAACAGCATCATTCCAAAATGCCATTAGCCCTCGTCCTTTAAGCATATGGAATGGTCTTGGTGAACAACTGAGGGATAGCTCAAGAATTTAGACATTCAAGAAAGGAATACAGCAATAGTTCATTTATCGAACGGTTTTAAATGTCAATGTGGTAACCCATGTGAAAACAATTTTCATTATTTCCTTGAATGTGAACAATGTAAAGATATTCAATCCTATCTGTTTAGGGATGTTATAAATTACGGAGGAAAAGTATATTTGAAAACAATTTTAAATGGGGATCCATATTTAAATCAGTGCAAACATTTATAAAATTAAGCAACAGATTTACCTAATACTAATATTGCTATATATTAAATAGAAAGAGGTAGCAGCATTTGTATATAGTTTGGATTGTAAATAGCACATTGTAACGATTATATTGTAATTGGTATAGTTTAAATGTAGAAAATAAACAGGCATTATAATCAGAAAGATAAAACGTAAATTATATATTTTAATTTTTTTGTAATTTTATAAATTTAATTATAATTAAAATTGCAATTATAATTATTCAAATTGTAGTTATAATTATTTAAATTGTAGGTATAATTATTAATATTGTAATTATGGTTATTGAAGTTGTAGTTATAAATAATAAAATTGAAGTTATAACTATATAGTTACAGCTATAATTATCAAATTTGTAGCTATAATTATAGAAGTATAGTTAGAATATAAAATATAGTTATGAATATAATAGAATAATATAAACTGGTATTTACTACATGTATAGTGTTTTAATAATAATTATTAGTATCACGTATTTGTAGGGAGAAGATCTTTGTAAGCAAATTCACTTATCTCTCATCCCTTTGATGATTTATGATCAATAAAATAATGTTTAATTTTTTTTTTTTAAAAATTGTTTGGGGACAAACACCGTGTGGTTCGAAATTGCTCTTGATGGTCACCAGGTCCTTGTAAATTAGTAAAACATTAATTTCTAGAAATATGGATCTCTAACTTAGTATACAATATGCCTTTGGACAACTGGGTTGCTTTGTGAGGGTTGGGGTCAATGCCTAATCTTGGCGGGAAATGTGATCAAAGACAGATTTTGCAGGGACGTGATAATGTTGATATCAGTGATGATTATCTTGATCTGTAAAAAGTGTCTTGTTACCCTTGGACAACTTATATAGTTCCTGGTTAAAGACAATTCAAATCTGATTAAAACACAGATCCTATTTCGTTTCGTTTTTATAGTTCAAAATTTCCCTTTACTCGTCTTTACTACATTAGGATCTGGAAGAGTTGTTATATAAAGCCAACTTTCCTATTGATGAAACGGTCTGTTGCGGCTAGTTTTTGGCGTGAGTTGCATGAGCCTGTGGGTAACCCACTAGAAATATCAACGCTGATTGGTTAATCAAATGTCTAACGGCATAGGGTCAAAAGCCGCTCGTATGATCTCTGACACGACCTCCCGTTTCAACTGGCCAGATCATCTTATAGAATTATTTCCTAGTAAGTGGAAGGCAGTGGCGGGGCCAGGGTTTAAAAAGTGTGTGTGTGTGTGTGTGGGGGGGGGGGGGTTGTAAGCGGGTCTGGGCAATCTGTTTCACAGAGGATTACAAAAGTATTCTAATATATCTGTAAAAGATGACTGCCTTCAACACTAAATAGGAAATAATTTTTACCTACAAATACGTCAAACGTCTTTATTTATTTTTCTAATACATCAAAAAAATGTTTTAGAATTTAATTTGTCGGTGAAAAAATTTTAATATTTGAGACTCATTAAGTTGCATTGATGTCATCCTTATCAGTGATTGTAGCGGCCAAGCGAATATTCACCGCTGATCAGTATGGGGTCTGGGTTGTTGAGCTCCGTGAAGGTTTTCAAATCTAGGTGCCTATATCTGCAATGAAATCAGGTCAATCTTTACTACAAAATTTCAAAAGCACCTTTATCGCCAGTCATTTATTATACCTCAGTTTTATAATATCGAACGTAGAAATATATATATTAGGAGAGAATTGGTACACTTTTCAGCTAGGTTGACTCCCTGGTCTATCAAACATCCGTGCACGAAATGAGGGATGGGGGGGACACTGCTGTTCCGACAATCGATTAGGGTTGCGGTAGGCCTGAGAAGCGTAGTATTACGAGAAACAAGGATCAATAAAAAGGAATATGCCATATATATGGAACTGACAAATAAACTGATGAGGATAATATCATAAACATTTTTAATCCCGAAAAACGTTTATTCTCGTTGTGATGGTGTATTTAAAAGAAAATGACAATAAAAAGGGTGCACATGTTCGATCCCTAGCTGCATTGGCCGAGAAAGTTCATCCAGATTTTTATGCGTGGTTCCCCCTTGTCAGTAATGCATTATTAAACCTCATTTCATTTCATTTCAAACCATAAAAGCGAAGTTTGTACAGTTTTCACCGACCCAGATGAAGGGAGATAAGCAAAGGTCTTTTGTGAATTGAAACCAGGAAAGTTGCTTCCGGAAAGCTGGCGCGAGGAGACTGAAAACGAGACACTCTTCATTTACAAATCTATCCAAATGTTGACTTCATTGACGGAAAAATTTCGTTCCTATATTTTTCCGTCTTCGAAGGAAGGTAATTTCGAAACCCCATCAAGGAAAAGAAAACGAACAGTTGATGAAACGTATGTAGAATTAAAGTTATACCCTAAGGCTAAATGCATTTAATTACGTGTGCAACTCGAATTATTTCAATGCCGGCACTGGGTGACTGGCACCAATTTGTACTACTCGGCTAGTACACTAACTACTGTCTGAAAAATCGTAAATTTCAAACGGATTTCTTCGATTATGAACAAACTACTTAAAGGAGCTAAGTCTCTAACTCAATATCCAAAATCTTCAACATTTAAAACACGAATTATTTGTCAATTTAAAACAACATTGATGCTGTGATCTTACCGGAAAAGGGTGGGCTTCTGATATCCAATATTTAAGACAACATAAATATTTTACCATTGGTACACGAATCATGTACCATAATGCGTTTCAGCCCCAGTTCTAGCAAGAGACTAGAGGAACGAGGCTAGACATATTGCACCAAACCAATCGGCTTATGTAGACTGGAATAACCAGACGCTAGGAATTTGCACTCGATTGAGACTGCTGGCTTATTTCACGGAACATAACTGATTTGAAATTAGAGTAAAAACGGAAACGATTGAATGTAATCAGTTTATATATTATTATTATTATTATTATTGTTCGATTTATATAGCGCTTCATTACACATGAGTGTTTCTAAGCGCATTCACAACAAAACGGTTCAAAAACATTTTTGAAATAAGTAGGTTTTTAAGTTAGTCTTAAAGCTTTGGATGGAAGAGGACTCTCTAAGAGTTTTTGGAAGATCATTCCACATTTTTGCTGCTTTGACGGAGAAAGCATATTCACCAGAACGCTTATTATATTTGGGGATCCTCAATATGCTACGATCACTTGAAGAACGAAGGTTGGATCGCTGGGGAGTATAGAAATCAAAGAGTTCTTTTAAATAACTGGGTGCGGTGTCAGAATAAATTGATTTAAACACATTCACAAGAGCTTTAAATTGAACCCTCGCTCGAACTGGAAGCCAATGGAGTTTCTGTAACTTAGCTGATATATGATCAAATTTTCGTGTTTTAGTTATAAGACGTGCAGCATTGTTTTGCGCTATTTGTAGTCTGTTTAAAGCTGTTTCTGGTGCTCCTAATAGAAGAGAATTTGCATAATCCATGTGCGATGTTACTAATGCTCTAACAACACTCTGGCACGCATCAGTATTAAGATTAGAGCGTATTCTCGAAATAGCTCTCATTTGATGATGCATTTTTCGTATGATACTATTGATTTGGGGAACTGGGGACATAAATTCATCAGTAACATAGCCAAGATTTTTAGCCTGCTTCTTGGGAGATATAGAGCAATCACCGATCTGAATGGAATATTACGGTATTATATGAGTTGCGACCCACTTGTGTCAATTTCTAGGTCCCAAATATTAGCGATTTAGCTCCTTTAACCTTGGTTAATATGTAACAGGCATTGCCTGAGGAGAGCGAAGCTGATGTGATTATTGTCAAATATAAAACCTTCATAATACAATAATTATAAGGCAGTGGATATTTAACCGTATATATACGGCACTTTACTTTATTTACTATTTTGCCGTACGCTTCCGTTTAACATGCGCAGTTCTCTGATACCTGGACTTAGCAGTTTTCGCTTTGGCATCTGACATTAACCCACAACCCAAACCCTAACCCTAACCCAAAACCTAACCCAACCAAAACCTAACCCAACAGTTCTATTCGTTCTTTGTCTAACATTGCTTCTTTTTCCGTTTCTTATAAAGGAACGAAATAGCCATACTTGAATTTCTATGGTAGAAACTGGAGAATTGGTTTTAAAAGAATATAAGATAATAAATGTAAATTGTTGAAAAGCATTTAGAATATTATTCTATTTTGGTCGAGGGCGCATTTCTGCGGATTTTGGTTTTAATTTAAGTACCAAGACTGTCAGTGGTTTATGTTTTTCCCGTAAAATCGTGCTTCTGCGCCGAAACGATGTACGGTAAAATAGCGGAAGTAGATACTTTGCCGTATACGGTTCAATATCCACTTCGTAATTATAAATAATTTCGTTTTTCCAAATTTATTTTAGATCTGAATTGTATGATTAATTTTGTTTAAAAAATTGTAAGAATTTTTGTTGACGTCAAAAATATGTGACATAATTGATTTGGGTGAGATTTGGTAAGTTGACATGCACATTGCCAGTTTTTCCCAGTGTATCTGATTCCGGTCTGAATTTTTTTTAAGCCAACAGTCTGTGGGTGACAGTTTTAGTTACGCTCCTGTGTTGTTTGAATTAAAGATACATTATGGGAGATTCGATAACGAGTTGGCAGTTCTCACTATAATAATTAAAAACTAGATAACGGAAAGGCAATTTGCTGAAAATTTCATTCAAATTGATCCACTATGAACCGAGAACTATGCGAATAAAATTGCTGCCTAGCCTCGGTCATCATTACTAAAGTCAGTACGTTAAACAGCCTAGTCTCGATTATCCATTTAATCGTTTAATCGAGAAGGAAAGTTATGCAGTAAATCGGATCACAATCCACTTAAGATCACAGGCTAGCGATGCCATCTAGAGTTGATTATGGTCTGGATAAGTTAATTAATGTCTAATTAATAATTTAGATAACATTTCAGGCCTAAAGAAAGACCTGCAATAGACTGATTTAGCTCTGGCATAATGTATGTTTAAAGAATTAAAAATTTGTATTTAAAATTAACACTTTGCTCATTGATATTAGCATAAGGTCAAGGACATACCAGATATTCGGACACGAAAGCTATCTACGAAACATTGTTTACATTTATACAACAGTGTAATCTGTTATTTCTAAAGGGAATACTACATAATTGTATGTATGGTGATGTAAATGAAACCTTTGCATATCTATACAATGTTCCGCTAAGCGTTGTCAGTTTAACGATTATTCGCATCACTCGTCTAAAGATACATGTATGAAGGGTCATTTTCAAGATTGAAAAAGAAAATGGCAGATCCCAAACCCGTGGTAGCAAGACATGGAAATCTCCACACTACGTAGTACGTAGTACAAGGAAATAGGAAAGCAACTCGAAAATCTAAGACTCGACTACTGTACTACATAGATCAGAGTATAGATAGAGAGATAATAGCTGTCCCCAAGTTTTATTGTTTTGTCTGTAGGTGTAACCGCGATTGGGCAAGAAAGTGATGAAACTGAAATTTTCATATACGTGATAACACACGAATGTACGAATTAAAGGGGTATTGCAGGGTATATGATAAGAAAAATAAATTGATTAGCAGTTATTGGATGTTTTAAAATAAAGTGCTAATCAATCTGAAAATTGATCAGCAAACTGCGATGCGATACCGCTTATAATATACTCTGGGGTATGGACAGTGAAATAGTGTATTGTGAGTAATAGAGTTTATTTTGGACGTTTGTATCCAAGGGCCACTATTCTGTGTTGGGAAATAATATCTTCAGCCTTGTTGGTGTTGAGACTACTATGCAACAAGATGGTGTCACTTTACCTTGCCCTTAAGTAGAGCAAAGCAAATAAAAAAATTTTTTATTATTTTATGGATTTTACTAATTTTAGATAACTACAAATATTTCAGCTCCTTACCACTCAAATTAATGATATTCCAGCATTTACCTCTTGTTACAATGAAAGTGGAAACTAATTTCTTTAGACATCTGAATTATTCAGTGTTTATCAAACATTTCTTGTAGTAGTACATGTTTGGATTGCTATTAATAGCATTTTTTGATTATTATATAGGGAATCTAGAACAGAAGATCCTGACGTTGAAATCGTGTCTGTAAAACGTCCAAGAAACGGTGAGATATTGATAATAACTACTAGTACTAGTCAGTTATGAAGATTCTGTCTTCAAGCAATGGCTTGACTTTCAAATGCACAGAATGAAGGTGAAAAAGCCTCCTTCTGTGCAAAATTATGCTTAGAAAGTAAAACACAATTAACATACTGAGTGACACATGTATCGGGTAGGTTAGTCTTACAGACAATCTGATTAAAATACAGATATATATATTTCATTTTGTTGTTTTATACTTTCGATGGCCAACACTACATGAAGATCTGACCATTTGTACTGGAAGGTCGTGTCAGGAGTCGTACAAGCAGCTTTTGACCCTATGACGTCAGACATGATTAATCAATCAGCGTTGAAATTTCTATGGGTTTACCCACAGTTCCGAGCAGAGCATGTTTCATTGGCTAATTCCTCACATCAACTCTTCCAGATCCTAGTGTGGTGAAGACAAGTAAAACGAAATTTTGAACTATAAAAAACGAAACCAAATGGGATCTTTATTTTAATCTGATTGCCTTAACAGATGACCTACTAGATGGTATACAGACAAGACATTAAATGTCAATTCCATTCCATTATTTTTAATGCACTGAAAATGGTGAAAATTAAAACTACCCAAGTTCTATTAAAGAACAATATTGACATGATATTATTTTAATCCCATTATATATACTATGTACTGTATGTTAATTTGTTTCAATGGTATTTATTAATTGAACCGGCATATACTGGTCACACTTTATTTAAGGTCAAAAGTTAGGAAATTAGTTACACTAGTGTTACAATACATGTACGTCATATCTACATCTTATTACTGATGAACGTTTCGACTAGTCTTCTCCTTTCTCTAGTCATTATCAAGCAATGATAAAATATAACTAGACAGTATATACATACCATGTATTACATGTCTGGCCAGCATTAACCAAGTGTTATTTCTTACATGTATGTTATATTATTGACTAGAGAAGCCTAGTCGAGACATCGCTCAATAATAAGCAGTAATTGTATTCCAAAGCTAACATTACCATACATTTAATTCAATCAATTTGTTTAATTTTATAAATGGGAATTTAATTGATTAGAAATTGGTATGTCTGGAAATGATTATTTTAGTTGAACATAGTGAAATACTGATGTGTCTATAACATCTGGCACTTTGAATTTTACTTTGCAGTATTGGATATTGTGACCGCACCTATAAATACAATGGCCAACTGGATGAGACAAAAGACTTCTTTCTCCAGAGATTATTTCTTTAAACCATTGGAAGACCAACCAACATTGGGTGTACCTCCAGATACTTCCTATCACAGATCTTATCCTAATCTTCCAAATGCAAATGGAAGAAACTGGAATACAGATCCTCATGTAAGGCCATTTACGGTAATATTTGTATTTTAATATATTTTAGAAATTAATAAAGGTTAGGTGTATATTAATACAGGGATAAAGTGAAAACAATCAAAACTTGGATTGAACATGCAACTGTTTTTGTCAAAAATCGAGTAACTACACAATATAGACTAAACAAGTTTGACTACGACTAGAACATCCCTGTAGTTAACAGTGAGCTTTGTCTAATTGCTGTCATGAATGGTTGATATTGGTCATAACTGGTGACAAACAAATTGTCTACAAGAACAGAAGAGAACACATGCGAACCTCACATTCCACATTGATATACATATAGCTGTCTATTTGACTATTTTCAGGGCATACAGAAAACAGTACCCAGTTCAAGACCAAGTACTTTTCCACCACAAAAGGCAAAACGAAGCTTCAGGGGTAAATAGATTTAATTGAGCGTTCTGTAATTAAAGACAACTAATTTCATTTTAGACAGTACTTGGATCATTTGCTGCAAAATATGAATTTAACTTATGCATGTCCTGTATTTTTATTGTCTGACAGATGCAAACAAATTTCTCTTTCTATTCATAGATGTGGTAGCACCTCCCATACATTCAAATGGACATACAGATGAAAATGTCCAGGCGTCTAAAAAGCCATCTATTTCTAAAGACCAATCAATATTTACTAAAGGTTTTAATGGCAGCACTGTTATGGGTAATCAGTGTACAGCACAGTTGGTAAGATAATGTTTACATAGGAAATTGATTTACCACACTGTATTAAAGTGTTTATATTTTATTTATTATCAAATATTAGAATTGTCTTAAAAATGGACAACCTAAAATATGAATCTTTACAACTTCAATTGGCAAAAATATTAAGACTGAGAGATATCAGTCTATAGACAATGAGATGCATGCACTGGTCGAATCAACAAGTTTCTTAATATGTATTCACACCCCCACAAGTTTATAACAAGAAACAAAATAACTGTCAACAATTAGTTAGCAGTGCGAAACAGTTTTTAATAAATTTAACAGTTTACTTTTTATTTGCCATAATAGCCCATTTACAGTATGGTAGCTATGGCTATTGAAATTTGGCAGTTATTGACATTTTGGAAAATATTTTTTTTTTTTTGTATTCATATTTTGTGCATAACTTGCAAGTTACTGATCTCACACGACATGAATTGTATTGTGGATGGTATTTTCAACACCAATCGTTTACGATCTTTTACGAGTGCTAAACAAATTCCAACTGCAGACGACATATTTCATGTTGATGCCACATGATCTGAATTCCTTTGGTGTAATTTTGTCCACCTTGGTTATATAAATCCACAACTCTAAAATCACATGTAATTAATTGAAAATGTATGTAAATATAGCCCATTTCATTTAACTTGTTCTGAACATACACAATAGTATTTAGTAATGTTTAATTGTGCAGAAATTGCTGTGAATACGAGACCAACGGAAGCGCACGATGTCAAACTTTCAGTTTTGCAAATCGGAAGCTTCCGATTAATTACATGTACGTAAAATATTTCAAACATCGAACATTGTTTTGATCGTTGTAAAAGTTATTTAACATCAAAGATCATTATTACTATCAGACTAAGCAGAAATCACGTTTTCCAGATGCATGACCAATATTTCCATGCATTTATTATGTCTGGATAAGCGCAACCGAATACAGGCTCCTGAAATGAACGTTGTCTTGTAGAATAGAAGGGATAGGTTCACGTTTTAGAGTAACCGTTAAAGGATTTCTTATTGCCAAGTGAATTTTGAAACAGTAAATGTTGAAATATAAGGTACTATATCTGATAAATATGATTCGCAACTTTATAGATTCCCAAGTAAAATTTTGCCAATCAATTTTTCCATTGACTCGCAATGATGCGAACCGGGTTATTTTGTTCCCTGGTTTATAGATTATGGCGTACAGCAAGAGATATAGGTTTCTTTAGTCATAACTCTCGGGCAGTGCATTTATTAAACAATTTAGATACTAGTTTAGATAATAAATAACAAGACGATAAGAGGATACTTGTTGAAACGTCATGCTTTTAGAATAAAACTAGGGATTGTTCCCATAAAAACTGTGTTCTTTTCATGAAAAAAGATCCAAGTTTGCCTTACATAGTATTTTGTTCGTATTATGTCCCAATATTGAAAATTTAAGAAATTATGTTTTCTGGAATTATTTTAGGTTAAACATTGAGGTATTTGATTATAATTTAGAACACTGTTTTACATAGTCCCAGACCAATTCAGTGAAAATTAAATAAGCCTATTCACTGTACAGTGTATCAACCTATTATTGATACATGCATTTTAAAATGCATGTATATAGAATCCAGTAGGGTACATCTATTGATTCACAAACATTCTCAAATGCCTGTTTATATTTAAAATAATAATCGAATAAATTTTGAATATAATTCACATAAGTCAGTCAGTGCTCATTATAACAACTGAATAAAGTTAACCTAACATTATATTATATTACTGTAATAATGGTAATAGTTTATTTTATTAACAGTGTGTAAGACTGGATGAGAAAGAAAAGTATCGTCAATTGTTACAGCAATTTACAACAGTTCCTCTTGATTCAAGTCAACAACGAAAAAGAACTCCACCTAAACTTAGCCTCTTTAAAAATGCATCAACAAACAGGTACTCATTATCAATTATTTTTTAATAAAGCTCGAAATTGTTTTAAATTGTAGAGGTTGAAAATTTTATGTTCAGAGCCTGTTGTGATTATCTTATTTTTATTATGTAGCGTTTATCATATGACTAGTTGTTTGTATCAAAAGATAGAATCCTTATCTGCTACTTCCATTTGCAAGATTTGATTTCTTGTATCAATTGACTATATGATTATGGAAAAAAGAGGGTGCAGATGTTGGGTAAGAATTTATAAAACAGATCCCCAGGATCTTGATAAATATTAGAGACTGGAAAACATGAAATTGTAACACCATTCAACATAGTATAACAGACTACCTCTTAATGTAGGACTGCTGGGTCCCATTTCATAGACTTCCATACACATTTTACTACACAACATAACTGAGTTTATTTAGATATCTAAATTTAAATATGTTTCTTGACTAAAATGGCTGATGTCATTAAGGCTGACCTTAAAAATATCTTTGTTTAACCAAACCCGTCCCACAATTGAGGAGAAGGGTCGGTAGGTCGGTTTTTTTTTTCAGAGAAATCAATACAGAAAAATTATTAGCTGTATACTACAGATTCATTAATTTTGTTTAATGAATTTTGGGTCTGACGTAAAAAGTAACGAACTTAAAGTTTTTATTAAACTTAAGAGCTAATTTGACAGCTTGATAATTTTCCGGGTGGAAACATTCGTCGTCTTTATTGGCAAACAAATCAATGACATCAGGATTTTTCTTGATGCACGACTCGCACACAATTTGCCACGAACTTGAAGTGTGAAACTCCTTTAACACGTTTTTAACGATCGTGCGGGTTGTGCCTTCATTTTTCTCGAAAACGGATATTGAAAATATCGTCATGTTTAAAACGACGCACCACAGACATAGAGGCAGAATCATTTCGTGGGAATGGACGTGCTTTCGTCTGCAACCATTTTGATGAGAAGCGACACCTATGACGTTTTCGTCTTGATCAACCAGTTTCAATAATGAATCAAACCATAGCCATAGTAAAGGGAAATAACTCTCGTGATATATTTCAGGTTGACAAACAAAATAAAATAAAACATCGTGGAAAAGTGCAATAAAATAATTTAAGTCGGGGGTGGTTTTAGTTAGTCGGTCGCGTTAGGCGAAACAAAGATATTTTTAAAGTAAGCCTAATGTAGTATATTAATGTTTGATGTAAATGATTCAGATAGATTCAAATTGGCTTGATGTTGGCATAATTTTCGTTAGAATGGTTCTCATAAATGTAGAAAACCTGATAACTTTGTAAACCTTTTAATACATTAAAATGTAATGTTCCTCACTTTTCAGATCCCAAAACTCAAGTTTTTTCAACAAATCTTCACGAGAAGAGCCTACGTTAAACAATAGTTTTAAAAAACGACCAAAATCTCAAAGGGTTATAGCACAGGCTGTAGATCCATTAAATGTATCGTCATCTTATTTAACTAAACATCACAAAGTAGCAGTTGATTTATTGTCGTCTGCACCAAGTTTACATGTCATCAATATCAGTAGACACAGAACTGTAGAATCACCATCAAAACAAGGTTAGTCTACATATTATAAATTCTACTGTCTTTATGGATTTTAAAATCTGTGTTGAAAAAGTATGTTTTATTTAGATCAGCTTTGTAATTATCCAAAATGAACTGAACAGTCCTCCTGCTGTTCTGCTCCGATTTGGCCAATGAAAATGGGGCAGGTATGCCACACAATGTGCTGGGATGGAAATTTTGCCCAGACAGCGGCACTACAGCTTACTTTTCTATTAAATTCCAACTTCAATTTGTACACAGGACCTTGCTTTTTCATCCCATCCAATCAACTACATGTTGTTGCTTGCCAGACTCTATCCTGCACGGGGGGTTGGATGGCCGAATGGTTAGCATGCGCGCACTGTATCATATGGTCTTGTCATTGAGTCAACTGGCTGGGTTTCGATTCCCCGGTTGTACGTGACAAGGAGTAGGGTCACCTGTCCAACCTTGTGGGTTTTCTCTGGGTCCTCCGGTTTCCTCCCACTGCTAAAGACCCCTACACGAAAGCGAAATTTTGAAATAAAATTGAACCATGTGTTAGCCCCGAAATGACCCTAGTTTGTGTCGAGTGGAGCTTAAACCCCATTTCTCTCTCTCTCTCTCTCTCTCTCTCTCTCTCTCTCACTATGGCGGAACTACAGGAACCATGCCAGAAAATCCTAATGAACTTTCTCCAGGTTAGCGAGCCAACTTCTGAATCACTGAGCCACCACAGTTATTTGTAATCATCCAAGTTTGAGAGGGGGGGGGGGGTAGATTAGGTTTTGTTCAAGTTGTACATCCGATTACAAGTCTTGGCTTCTATGCCTAAACTGTGGGCTTTCCAGTCCTGTATGTGAAAATTGCTGAACTCTAATTCACAAATTACTATATTATTGTATACTTCATATACAAATACTGTCCAATCTCTTGGGTTTTCTCTGAGTCCTCTGGTTTCCTCCCACTGCTTAAGAACCCTATGCGCAAGTGAATTATTGAAATAAAATTGAACCATATGTTAGTCCTGAAATTACCTAGTTTATGTCTAGTGGATGTTAAACCTCTCTCTTACATATACAAATAATGTTCAAATTATATTATTGGAAGAAGTTTTATATAATATGAGAATACTTGTGTATTTTAGAAGATACTACATGTAGTAATACAGAAAGAATATCGTCACCTGCATTAAAGTCAGAAAAAAGGTAAATTTATTGTACATATATTATGTGACATGTTATTCTGAATTTTGGGCCACAGATTATTTAATGTTAATCATTGATTGTTTCATACTTTTATTAAATTCACTTTGATCCCCAACATCTTTGTTTTTTTTAAGAAAGTAAACTTTTGTTAGTCTTTAAATGACATATACAGGGTTGATAAAAAGTGATGAATCATCATTTGAGTCACCGGGAGGTTGCCATTCATAGAACATGGGCAGAGGACCCTTTGTTCCTTGTGTAATTTGGATTGCTTTTCATATATAACAAGGCAGACTGCGGAAGAGATTTTCATGTAATACTTGATGACGCAATTTTACTCCTTCGGCAGCCCCACAACAAACCAAAACGCGAAACAGCGTTGAAGATGTTTCTATTATGGGACGTTATGTTTAAAGTGGACGATGGCAATGAACTGACCTGTAAAATATGTAGTACACACTACACTGAAGTATGACACAAGGCAACTTTATGCAATGTGGTGGGTCAAAGTATTGACTTGTTCAGTCGTAGCTTGCGTATATTGAAGGAGTGAACATGAAACCTCTAATGGTCTGCATAATGAATAAGAACAGTTTGCTGGACCCACAGCTAGTAATGAGAAATTTTGAAAATAATTTATTCATATTCATATAAAGATCGCAACGACACAGAAAAAAGATATCGCGATATCTCACGATAATGGTAAAATTAATTATCACAATATCATTGATTATCGCCTGGAGTAAATTATCATGATAATTAGAATTATCGTGCTTCAAAAATTCATTATTGTGATAATAATATTGATATAATTTGTGGTGTATAAATGGATTAATGTATCTAGTGTATTGATTTGGTATTTAGCAATGTATGCGAGTTGTATTGATGAATTGAGAAGTATATACATGTATATATGCTGGGGTAAGAATATTCATGTAGGTACCGTCAGCTGGAATGGAATACTGAATAAATATTCATTATTCATTAACTCAGACTTTGTCCGATGTTCTTTTTAAACCAAAATATTCCCACAGAATAAGTGTACTTTTTCTTGTCAGCAGCAGTGTGTTTTCGCAGTTCGTCGAACTGTCATTGGAAAATCTGATTTTACAATGAAATTGGCCGCTTCAAGCTAGGGTGCCATTTTCTCCAAAGAATAAATGAAATATTATCCAGACGATTTTTCAATGTAATTTTCAACGGACTGGGTAATCAACGATAAACCACTACTTTGTGTTACACAGCTGTGTTCATGTTCAATATTAGATCTATATGTCTTACATCTTCATTTCACAATTTTATTAAATTATGACCTTTTACTCCACAATTCCTACATGTTACTATAAACCTTCTTATTAATAATACACTACATAGCAGAAAAACAGATGGGTGACCATGAATCATTTTCTAGTAACCCGTGTGGCAACCTGTTAGGTTACCATCCTGTATTTAGTGGTAACCTGTTACAAGGTTACAACATCCAGCCATTATTTCAACCCTGCATATAATGGTGTTTATTATACAATCTATTTTTTTTTTTCTTTACAGTTTTACAAGTTTATCATCACCTACATTTGAGAAGTTAGAAGAGTCTATATATATGAAAAATGCTTGGTTTAATGATTTGTAAGTCTAATATTGATGTTAAATATTATGTATGATTAAAAGAATTATATTATCATTTGATGAAGTATGTGTTGATTAGATTTCTCCCTACCTATAATCATCTGTAAATGTTTTAGTTGAATTGTTACCTATTTTATACTGAATCACTTTCTTTAACATTCCTGGATTCCTTTTAAGTGGGGGGGGGTGAGTGGCTGAATAGTTAGTGCATGCGCGTTGGATCCGACGGTCTGTCATTGAGTCAAGAGGCATGCTTTTGAATCCCCACTTGTGCGTGACATGGAGTAGGGTCCCCTGTCCCAACCTCATGGGTTTTCTTCAGGTCCTCCAGTTTCCACCCACTGCTAAAGACCCCTATGCGCAAGCGAATTATTAAAATAAAATCGAACCATATATTAGTCCCGAAATGACATAGTTTGTGTCGAGTGGACGTTAAACCCTCTCCTTTTAAGTCGAATGAATATTGTAAACATCCTCTCAACAAAGAACACAGATTTATATGATCAGAAGGCACCTGTCACAAATTAATCACACAATGTACGTATTATAATGTATATGTTGTGCGATAATTTGTGTCTATGATGTGACATGTGCCTTATGTCCTGACTTGTGTATATCATGTATAACTGGACAGTGGGCAGCTTTTACAACTCAGTTATTATAAAGTATCACAGAGCATCACAGGACTAAAATTACATAACTTTTTGGAAAGATCTTTCACACAGAATTAACCTGTTTTATTCACTGAAATGTATCCAGGACCTCTCCTATATGTTTCACACAAGTAAAAATATGACTACCATATTTTGATTTTTCTGCAGAAAAAGAAGCCATGACTTAGATAAACAAGAAAGAGATAGAAAGATAAATGAAGCAGAACTAACACTCCAAACACTTACTGAGTTGGTATGTATACAAACAATTTCATCAATTGTCACCCAAAATACAGTCATAATTTGTGTTCGGATGAGACTAAAAACCGAGGTCCTGTGTACACATTGGTGTGCACGTAATAGATCCCTTGACAGAATTCGATATAAGAGTAGGCCGGAGTGCTGCTGTCCGGGCAAAATTTCCCTCATAGCACACTGTATGGCGTATGGCCGTCTTCATTAGCCCAGTTCGGAGCAAAACAGTAGGACGTTAAACCCCACTTCATTTCATTTCATTTGTGTTTTCTCCAGTAACCCAGAATTCAGTGGCATTGGCAGGATGGGTGGGACTGAGGGTCCAATAGATTTAAAATGATTTAAATTAATATTTATTATGGAGCTGATTCTTTTGATTAAGTTCGTTATTAGGAGTAAATGAAAAGATTTTTTCAGGTCTAAACCCCAATATCATGTGGGGGATTGGGTGGCCGAATGATTAACGTGTGCGCGTTGGATCAGAAGGTCTGTCATTGAGTCAAGTGGTGTGATTTAGATTCTTCGCTTGTTCGTGACAAGGAGTAGGGTCACCTGTCCAACTTCGTTGGTTGCCTTCTGGTCCTGTGCTTTCCTATCACTGCTAAATTACCCCTATGCGCAAACAAATAATGAAATTAAATTGAACCGTATGTTAGTCCCAAAATGACTTAGTTTGTGTGAGTGAACGTTGAACCCCATTTCTCTCTCTCTCTCTCTCCAATAACACATACCAGAATAATGTTGTCAAATATAGTGAAGAACTAGCAAATTAAGTGACTGGATCCAAGGGTCCACTACACTCTAGATAATTAAAAACATTAGTTTAGTTATTCGTATGTTAATATTGATATTAGAGCTTACAATAATATATGTTCTATTTTATTACAGAGAAGAAGAAGGTATGATGAGATGGAGAAAAATGTAAGTCCACTACATTTTCTTTCAGCAAGAACACTTAATTTAGTTGATATATAAAACATAACAGTTTTTAAATGAATACATTGGCACAATTTTATGATTAGATTATTTAAAATTATCTCCATAATGTTTTCTATTTATATTATTTATAGCTGCGAGAGCAGATGCGGGCTCTGGAACCTTTTACACAAGATATAAGAGAAGGAAAAGAAGTTAGAAAAATAGAAACAGAAAAAGAAACTAAACTAGTTGGTAAATATAAATATATATACTTACCAAAATAATAACATTTTAATCCATTTCCAGTTTATTTATTACTACTCATGAAGTATTTAGCGTTTTCACCCAATGGGGAGCCACCTCGATTCAATGAGTAAGACGTTGGCACACTAACCAGGAGGTCCCGTTGGCCCAAAAAGGTCATTGGGATTTACTGGCGTGGTTCCACCTGGTCAGTGGTGCAGGTTGGAAGACCTGGCAAAGGACAACTAATAGTCATTTGGGTGGTACGAAAAAACTGAGGTCTCGTGTACACATTGGGAGTTGAAATTTGATATAAGAGTAGGCAATAGCGCCACTGTCCTGGCAAAATTTCCCTCAATGCATACTGTATAGCATATGCCCGTCTTCATTAGCTCAGCCAGAGCAGAACCATAGGTTAAACCCAATTTTATTTCGTTTCACCCAATGGTATAGGGTTTTAGTGACAGGCTGGTCTAACACAAGCACTTTAGATTAAAGTGCCGGTCATCAATTTAAATGATGTGGATTTGATCCAATATTAGCATGACAAGGAGTAGTATCTTCTACCTGTTTGTCTACAGTTTCCTCCAACTGGTATGAGCCTCCTGCACAAATAAGATACACCATATGTTAGTCCTAAATTTGTGAATTTTGTTTTTTCTCTCTCTCTCACACACACAAACACACAATGGTCTTAAGCAATAAAAGATTAAGTGTCTATATATTAAGCAATAAAAGATTAAGTGTCTATTAAATAAATGAACTATCAATATACATGTATATATAGGATTAGAAACCTTTTGTGTAATTACTAATAGATTAATGGATTAATAAAAAAAATTATCAGTTAATCCTTTTTAAGCTATTTATGAAACAAATGGCATTGATTCCGCCTTTTAATCTCAAAACTATTAAGGTTATAGCAAGTATCTGTTTTTGATTCACTTCATTTGTAAACATGACTATCTCCAGTATAGAAGATCCTCAGGTTTCTACCGGTAATAGTTTAAAATATGTTTCTTTAGATGTGATGGCTTCGATGTAAGAATCAAAGTGCCAGAACTCGCTCACCTGGATTAAATGGCTTTTCTCCTGACTTTGTGTCATACCAAAACTTTCATTTTCAACTGACTTCATCTTCTTTTATGTCTTGCTATCTTACAAGCATCATTCAGTTTGATTTTTTAACTGAACTACAAACTCTGTATTTTTATTTGGTTCCATATTCAAATGAAATTATATATCTTACTCCAACAGGAATCAAAATCAAATCTACACACCACTTTATATTGACGTAAATATTATGTATACTCTTTTAACCCCAACTAAAAATGTTTGATGGGTAAAATTTGGAAATAGCATCCCTGATCTTACTATTATAATATAATTGATGTTTTTCAGAGTTAACACCAGAGATGAATAAAGTAATAGATGATGCAATAGGTCCTGGTTCTCTAAGAACTGTAGTATCTGAAGGGTTTAAAATACAGATTACAAAAGAAGATATTCAGACGTTAAAAGGTTTAAATTGGTTAAATGACGAGGTATAAACTTATATTTTTTGTTATCAAATGACTGGGGTAAGAAAGACGAGCGTATGCCATGCAGTGTGCTATGAGGGACATTTTGCCCTGACAGTGGCGCTACAGCCTACTCTTCTTTCGAATTCCAGCTATCAATGGTTCTTTTACTTGCACGTCAATCTGTACACAGGACCTTGTTTTTTGTCCCATCCAAACAGCTATATGTTGTCCCTTGCTAGGCCCTTGGTCCTGCACCACTGACAAGGCTGAACCACATTGCAAAATTTTGATGAACTTACTTGACCAATACTGGGATTAAACACAAAACCTCCAGGTTAGTGAGCCAACGTTGTACTCACTGAGCCACTGTCTCTCCCAAATATCTGGCTTGGACACTAGTTTCATTGACAGTGGTAGCCAAGTGTAACCTTCTGAGATGTAACCCCCAAAAAAGAGGCCATGTGTAGAAATTTGTAGTGTATGTAAAAGATCCCTTGACAGTTGGCATAATTCTCCTCCTTGCTTATGAGTACAACATAACCCAGGTAAACTTAAAACTAAGTTAAAATCTTACTAATGATAATAGTTGTATCATGTCATGTTATGTCATGATTATAATTATAAATGTTACATTATCAAACATGTATACAATTAAATTAGTTTTTCTTGTTTTACCAGGTGATCAACTTTTATATGAATATGTTAATGGAAAGAGGTGATGAAGACAATATGGCTAGAGTTCATGCGTTTAATACATTCTTTTATCCTAAATTGGCTGGTTCTGGTCATTCAGTAGTTAGACGTTGGACTAAAAGAGTAGATGTATTAAATGTTGATTATATATTAGTACCTGTACATTTAGGTGTACATTGGTGTCTAGCAGTAAGTATTTACAACTTTGACAATCCGTTGACTGGGGAGGGGGCTTTAGATCATAAGGTCTGTCATTGTTTTAATCCAAAGCTTGTATGCGACAATGAGTAGGGTCGTCTTTCCAACCTTTCGGGTTTTTCTCTGGGTACTCTTGTTTCCTTCCACAGCAAATGAAAGATATATTATCGGTGAATTAAACATATTAATTCTGTGTAAAAGATTTATTTTGAGTTGAAAGTTTCAAACCAAGTTAACATGCCATCTCATGGAGATGAATTTATATAAGCTTTGGCTTGTTTTCAAATCCATTATAACAATATTGTAAATACTCATGTTGTACTCGAAATAAAAATATTGTTTAAACTAACTTGCCATTTGATGAGATGTCATTCATATGATTAAAGACATTTGTAGAGATGAATACCCTGTAAATCAGATTCTAATTGCAAGGGTTTTGCAAATGCCCTTTCTGTTTCCTAGTTTCAAATTATCTGAATTAAAGTCTAGTTTATAAATTATTGTTGTGTCATCAAATGCTAGTATGTATAATTATGTGACAGATTGGAAAAGAAATCACAGCTCCAGCTAGACCGTAAAATTTGTTTATAACCACTAAGTATTGAATGTTCAGTGAAAGACCACAAAGTCAAGAGATAATAGTTATAGTCAACAATTGGCCTATGTTACTCCCCAGCTCAAGCTGCCCTTACACCCCAAATTTCTTAGTAGCTCTAGTGTAGCTGCCAACCCTAAACAGTCATAAATATATATATATATATATATATATATCAATATGGTATTCAATAGTTATATTATAATATTTTATATTGTAGATAATAGATTTTATAAAAAAATCTATCAGATATTATGATTCTATGGGTGGCAATAACGATACATGTTTAAATGCATTAAAGTGAGTGTTCTAATTATATTTTAATAATTATTATTTTACTTTTGCGTGTTTGAACCACTAAGTCCTGTGAATCTGTGTTAAATTTAAGGAAACCTAGAACAAATTGTAACAGAAAGTTTCTTGGTATCGTTGTGTTAGTGTGATCATCTTCTAAAACATGTCCAAAGTTTTCTGTTTTTCGGGGCGGGGAAAGGGCATTATTTACATAAATTCAAAATGGCCACCAAATGTACCCTTGGAGTCTCATAACCCGTTTTATATATGGAGTTTTCACCTTATAAAATTATTACAGATAGAAAAATGACAGTTGTAGTTCATATATGTATGATTCATTCAGTGATAGTACTTGTTGATGGCAAAACTTTGTTTCAACCTAATTGATCTATGTTTTTCAGACTTAGAACTTTTCAGCCATCCCTTGTATTTATTTACAGGCTAATATTAGGACTGTTTGCAGTTTCTAGTCATTTCACTATGTTCTCTTGTTTTACTTTCATTTCTTTGTGAATATGAAGGTGTAATAAAGACATGCATTATAAATAGGAGGATGTAACAATAAATCACAACAAAAATTCTTTAATGAATGAGAAGTGATATGAGATGTTCTTGGAAAGATTAATTAAACCTAGATATGCGTACATTATCCATCAATACTATATTATATAACTTTCTATCTGTGTTTTATTTTCAGACAATATTTGATAGATGAGTGTTTAGATAAGAAAAAACAAAAATTTGATTTAACGGGTTGGAGTACAGTAGCTGTCAAAGTATGTAGAAATAACTTGTAATTATAGTTAATATAACTTTCATGTACAATATATACATTTAGAGACACATAATATCACATTTAGATCACAAGGTCTGTCATTGAGTCAAGTGGCCTGGTTTCAATTCCCAGCTTGTACGTGAATAGGGTCCTCTGAACAACCTGGTTGGTTATCTCTGGTTTCCTCACAATACTAAATTCCCCAATCCACATTATTGAAATGAAATTGAACAATATGTTAATCTTGAATTGAGCTAGTTTGCGTTGTGTGGACGTTGAACCACATTTCTTTCTGTGTATCTTTGACTTCATCTGAGTTGCATGTAAATAACGAACACCAAAGTGGCTTTGCATCTTTCTCCGTTTTATGGAGCTTGTGAAACCTTCTCCCAGGTCATAGAAAATCGTAGTTTTTGCAGAAAGTTGATATTCATCTGACAGAATGTTCCAACATTTTTTATTCTAAAGAAAAATTATATTTTAATTAAAAAAAAACCATTGACTTCAAATTTGACAATAGTAAAGTTCAGAAGAAAATGATGAAATCTAATTGGTTGATGCCATGTTTATACATCCTACTCATTGACTTCGGAGATGCGTTAATTCAATTGATAGTGTATTGTAGAAGTAGAAGTAGTCTTGTGAAACCTCCCTTAGGATGGATTTAATAATTAAGCAGCTATCATTGAGTATCATGCCTGCAATAGATCATATGTCCTGTTAATCTATGCACGTCGTTGGATCCCATGCATGTAGGTGACAATGAGTAGGATCACTTAACTAACCTTGTATGATTTCTCTGGTTTCTTGCCTCTTCTAAAGACCCCTGTACACAAGAGAATTATTGAAATAAAATTGTACCATATTTTTCTCCCAAAGTTAACTGGTTAGGGTTGTATGTATATTAAACTGAATTTCTGTGTCAGTGTTGTATGTATATTAAACTGAATTTCTGTGTCTAGTATTGGAAGGCAGTATTTATACTAAGTGACTTGTGTAAAATTATATTCTCATTATTTCAGGATATACCTCAACAAATGAATGGTAGTGATTGTGGTATGTTCTCCTGTGTATTTGCTGAATACGTAACTCGTGGTGCAAAAATAACATTTACTCAGGTAAAAAGAAAGAACATATCATTCCAGAGTTATAGGATGTGGTCTAAATACTGTTAGGATTTTATGTTGACTGGGTTGGCAGGGAAACAGCACTCTCTGTATGAGACTTTGTTCTCTAGTTTCATATGCATGAAATCAATTCAACTTTTGTGTGCCAAAAATATATATATATATCAATTCATGAGCAAAATTGGATATTAGAAATAAAATAAGGCTTAATGTTCTACTGTTTTCCACCATTTGGGCTAATGGAAATGCCATGCTCTAGGAGTGAAATTTTGCACGGGCAGCAGTGCTACAGTCTATATTTCATTTTAAATTCCAATAGATTTTTACATCCACGTGTACGTACACAGGACCTTGGTTTTTGTATCTCATCCAAACGACTCAACACTGTTCCTTGCCAGGCTCTCTGTCTGCACCACTGACAAGAGAAAACCACGATGGAAAATCTTGAGGTTGACGATCATTTTCCAAACCTACTGGTTAGTGAGCCAGCACCTTAATCACTGCGCTAAGCTTGAATATTAAACTATAAAAAAAATTAAATTAAATTTTTCGCATCAATTTTCTTTTTACAGGACGATATGCCTTATTTTAGAAGAAAAATGGTTTATGAAATTGTTACAAAGAAATTATTACAACGATGAACAGTAACATAGAATTAAAATAACCTACTCATTATTTATTACATCATTAATCATCTCATTATCATGTATACAAATCAAAACATTCATCTATCCTCCAATCCCATTCAAATATGAAAAAAACATTGTTTAAAAAAAAAATTCATTTAATGAAAAAAGATTTTATTTTTGTATGGAAGAAGAGACTGTGGTATTTACTAGTAGTTAAAACTTGTACAAGTTATCAATAGAAAATAAATGAACTCCTATAAAAGACAACTAAATCTGTGAATCAATGAGGAAATCATACAAATTCGATGGTGTTGTGAGAAGTATAAATGAATATTCTTCCTGAACCAATTTAAAGATTCACATTATTGCTTGAACTATTTTCTAGTGCTATTATTATACATCAAATGACATTGTAAATCAATATTGTAAATAAATATACCCGGTATTCATAATTTGACTTTGTTTGGTATAATTGTCCCCCACCTATCGAAGAAAGGTAGGGGACTATTAAAATGGGTCTGTCTGTATGTTCGAAGATGAGCATTTTCTGCTTGGGCTAAGCAGAGATAAGAAATTTGATTGGTTGATGCTGCCTGGGACACGATAACTTTGTGTATAGTTTCATTCCATTAATACCTTGACAAGTTCGATGATGGACATTTTCTGCTTAGGCTAAGTAAAGACTTCAATCTGATTGGTAAAGATTTTGGAACATTAACTCCCCTTCTAAATGAGGTAGAATGTTCAAACTTAGTGTAGGTGTCTATTAGGTGATGCACATTTTCCCTAAGACTAAGCAGAGATAAACAATTTAATTAATACTTTGGGACATAAAAACTCTGCTTTTAATTGAGGTAGAATGTTTAAACTTGCTGTAGATCTTCATTAGGTGAATGACTTGACTGAGTTAAATGATTAACATTTTTTGCTAAAGCCAAGGTAAGCAATATCATTGGTCGATGCTTTGGGACAGGATAATTTTGATTCTAACTTATGGAGAGTGATGAAACTTAGTGTATAGTTCCACTGCCAGGTACTTCAAAACCTTGACTGATTTCGATCGTCAACATTTTCTGTTTAGACTGTGTAGTTAATCAGCTCAATCCTTTTTCAAAAAGATAAATGTGCAATTAGTCAATGTGTCATCTATTTATTTTGGGAATTTGGCAGGGGACATCAGCCTTAGTTGGCTTGTTACATTGTAACTGGGAATAACAGAATACATTTTGAGAGAGAGAAATGGTGTTTAACATCCACTCAACACAAAGTAGGTCATTTTGGGACTAACATATGGTTCAATTTTATTTCAATTATTCGCTTGTGCGTAGGGGTCTTTAGTTGTGGGAGGTCCTGGAGAAAACCCACTAGAGTGGACATTCCACCCTACTCTTTGTCACGTACAACTGGGGAATCGAAAATACGCCAGTTGACTCAATGACAGACCTTATGATGCAGCACACACACACATCATTCGGCCATCCAACCACCCCCTTCTCATTTTAAAACATCAGTGTGCAATTTTAGACAATCTGTAACAGGCGTCTCAGTAAGGTGATGACTCACAAACCAGGAGAAAATTCATCAAGATTTTCCCCCTTGTCAAGGAAAGGTGTCTAGTCATTTAGATGGACAAAAAAACCAAGGTCATATAAATACACATAAAAGAACCCCTTGGCATTTAGAATTAAGTTATCCCACATTTACCTTTGGAAGAAATAACAGCAATATTGTGTTCATTATATAATTATAAGCATGTTCATAAGAAAGAACCTCATTGAATGTTGATGGCATTTTACCCAATGAGTAACCCAATTGAAATTCTGATTGTACATTTGGAATTTATGTGACGGCCATAGGAGGATAGAATTCTTGATAGAATATTTTAAAATTTGGTGCGATTATAACTAACCACCTATTGTGAATGCAGTATAGAACAACATTCTCGATTTAATTTATTAAAACTAGCTCATCAGCTGGTCTATTTCTATCAGGGTATATCACTGCTTCATTTATTCCCTTCTCTATATGGATGGGGGAGGTATTTACAGTTACGTCTTAAAACTTTCATTATAATTTATTTCTTGATAAATTTATAATACACAAATGTAAGTTACATGTCAAATATCTGACATACAGTTTGTCTTAAATTGACAGTACAAAATGATAAGTGATGAATTCAATTATAGATTGTACACAAAATATTAATCCCATTAAAACATTTTACAATGAACAATACAATTCTACAACAAACTCTTCAGATACATTTAGCACTTTACTTTATGCACTTTATGTTGTTAGCACTAAAATAATTTTGATACCACTTTAAAGATGATACAAACAATGAAGACTGAACAACAGATGGGCGTAATTACGATCACAAAGAAAACACAACAAAGAAGTCCAGTAATTCTACAGATTTCTGGTATGAAATATATCTCTCACTTTCCTCTAAGGAAAAGGCGTGGTCAGTATTTACACATTCTTTATGGTAAATATAAAACATCATAAAAACAAGCATATATCCTTATCTCCATATCAATTCATCGTTAATTTCAATATATTTTCATGGGTAAAAAACAACCAGCAGCAAGAAAACAAGAATGTCAAATATTCCACGAGCTGAACCTTTCACGAACACAACTAAACATTACAACAGCATAATGCCAATGAAATCATTTTCACGATACTGTTAAATGAAAATACCCACTATCTACATATTTATGACCCTCCTGTCTTATCAATGCAAAATAAATCACTGATGAGCCTTAACTTAAAGTTGGTATCAATCATTTCATTTTTAATTAGGTGGTAGAGGTGGTTTCGGTGCATCATGTGTTGGAAGAGGGGGGTTGGTAGGCCATGAAGTATTGCTATTACCTAGGAAGTTAGCATACTCCTCAGGAATACCTTGATAGAAAATAGTATTAGCTGGATATGATGTCAGATAATTATTTGAAGTATAAAGTGGGGTATTTGAAGTAGGTGGAGGTGGAGCTGGCACGGCCTCGGATTGAGTACCACCATTCCATTTTAACAAATTATTCTGAAAACTTTCAATCCTGGCATCCATGCTTATGTTATTATAGGACCAATCATTAGGACTATCCTGACTAACAACATCAGATTTAGAATGACTTCCGTTTTTGTTAGAAGGACTGGATTCTGTTACTTGATTCCATTGTTGAAGATGCTGTTGTTGGTTCCATGAAACAGGTTGATTCTGTAATGGAGACTGGTCATATATTGATGTATCTTGGTTCCAATGTGAAGATCTGTCACCACTTCCACCAGATATATGAGATCTGGATGATGGTAGTGGAACTGGTCTAGGAGGAAAGTTACCTTGGTTATCAATTCCAGACAACTGGAGTTCTGTAGCATTTGGAATAACCTGTTTTAACATCTGTAAAGCAATCAAAGAAATAATTGTACATTTTTTGTCAGCTGAATATTACCACTGGCTGTTTGTAAATTCCATCCACGATAAAATTGGGCAGACTCTTGTAACATGAAAGATTTAGCAGAAATGGACATTGTCTCTTTAGGGAATCGGGGGAGGTATGAATGAAATGAAATATGATGTGTGTCCTACTGCTGAGTTATGGGGAAATGAAATCACATGGCCAAAGTTATCTGTGTGTTTACAACCAGGATATATATCTTATAATAATATACACCAGACAACCCAATTTATACCCATCATTAACATATTGATGGTTGACTTCAGGTTTGGGGGATCTTGGTCTATTACTATGCATACAAGTCACAGGAATTCTGATACTGTGATGGGTCAAACAATTCTGACAAAATGGATTGTCAAAGTCTGAATTTTGATTGGGTTCCTCTTTATGATTAGCCAAACAATCCAACTTTTATACAAGTGGTTGTCATGCCAGTTTGCAACAGATGGACAGAGAAATGGGAAATATTGGTCATTATCTCATTGCTGAAATGCTTTATATCAATTTAGGAATAAACCTGTTTAAAACTGTAGCCTCTATCACAAGGTTTTCCTAAAAGGGCAGTAAACTTCGGAACTGAGAGAGAGAGAGGCGACCCTATTCCTTGTCATGTACAAAAGGGGAATCGAAACCACGCCAGTTGATTCAATGACAGACCTTATGATACAGCGCGCACGTGCTAACCATTCGGCCATCCAACCCCCCAATTTCAGAACAGAATTTCAAGGAGCGCTGACTATTGATAGGGTTAGTCCTCTCACAGATTTTTGTCAAAAATTTATATTTTTAAGAAAGCTTCTAGTGGGAATTTTATATTTTTCAATCAAATTTTATGATTAATTTATGATGTTTTTATCAAATTTTATGATATTTTTACAATGTTTTTATCACATTTCATGGCTTTTTATGTTTTTGTCAAAATGATTTTTTATATAAGTGCACTGACAGTAAATAACTTATCTTCGGTCCATGAAGTAGTGTTCAGCCAGTGGTATGTATGCCTTATAAATAGCCATACATACGTAGCAAAAACTTGAAATAATTATATCAAAAACTCTGCCCTCTTTGAGTGTTCAGAAGAAATGTGAGCAGACAGAACAATGAGTTGGGGTGCCAACAATATACATGCAGATGAAATTTTGGGTGTGGAATAAAAGTGACTTTACAGAACTTGTTTAGAATTAAAAAAAAAGCTAAAGGAATTTACCTCTGGAGAGAGAGTTTTCATTCTATAATGTAATAAGGCTTGAGTTAATGCATTAGATACTTGTAGAGCCATTTCTGCCTCATCTTCATTAGATATCAGTGAATCAGACTGTAAATAAAACATTTATTTATAATAATAAATTTAAAAGATTAGGCTGCAGAAGCAGGATAAAATTATAATACAAAAGATGACAGCACCAAAAAAGAGACCCACAACTTACAAAATGTACGATTAATGCAAAGCAATGGAAAATTACCTATATATTTATATGGACATAGAGGGTACCAGTATTATTCTTTGACAGTAAGAGAATTTAAAAAGTTGTTTCTTGAAACAATTGAAGTTAATGGTCAGTCTTATAGAAGCTGGTAGAGCATTCCATATGTTTGAGCCTTTAAAATGGATCTGTTTTTAAAAACATTAAGTTTTGGTCGCAGAGTATTTAGTTTATTATTAATGTTGGTGTACGGAGTTTCAAAGAAAGACAAACGATCGAACAGATAATCAGGACATTGCTTATATAAAATTTTGGAGATAAAGTTACATAAATTGTAGGCATGACGGTTTTCTATTGTTAAAATTTTTTAGAGTATTTAGTGTTGGGTACAATTCAGCGGTATGATCGACATTAAGCATTAGTTTAATAGGTTGGCAGGAAAATAAATATACATCCAAGCAGACCATCAATGTTGTTGCATATTCATTTTGTAGGTAAAGGGGAGCATTTACAAGACACTATAAATTGATCAAGAGTAACAACCCATGAAATAATTATCTGAGGAACTGTTTTGATTAACACCCAAGATAAAACTTGGGCACTCCTGCTAGTGAGCCAGCTGTTATGATCTCCAAGCAATAAAATGAATTCGAAACTTACTAAGGATTGCATTAACACACTCATACTACTCATTCCTGCTGCTTGTTTCTGAAAAGACAAAATGTAATGGCTTTTAAAAACTGAACTTGTTTTATGTATTGATTGTGACGACTTTTAATAAATGAACTTTTTAATTCTAAAAATTTTCCGTTATTATATTTATAATTCATATTGATTTTATTGTGCTTCTACCATTTTTACAAGATGCAATAGTGCCGTGGAGCAGTAATCTTTACTGGAATGCAGGCGCTCTATAAATTCATTATATCATTACTAATCAAACACCAACATGTAAAGTTTGCATCCACACACAGCCTGTCACTAACTTTCCCAAGATTCAAGAATACTGCTCACCGAATTAACCTATTTGTTTCATTAAAATATGGCATTGCTCTTTTAATGTAAAATAAAGATTTTACCTTTGTCTTTCTGTACTCTCCAGAATCTTCAGGTTTTTTCATACTTAAAATCTTCTGTAATCGAGCTTGTACTTCTTTCTCTATTTTTTCTTCTACTAATTTTTCTTCCTGAGCTTTTATAGCTTCTTGTTCTTCTATAGAAATACTAGGCTGACTCATGAGGGATAGGGGTGACTGATGACTTCCATAGGGAGGCTGCTGTTGACTTAAGAGAGGTGATTGTTGACTGATGAGCGGGGACTGATGACCACTGAGTGAACGTTGTTGACTTGTAAGTAGAGGTTGATGACTACTGAGTGCTGCTTGATGACTGCCAGGGGATGACTGATGACTGGTGATGGATGATTGATTACCAAAGAGGGCTGGTTTATTACCAAGAAGGGATGGTTGATTACCAAGGAGGGATGGCTGATTACCAAGTAGCGGTGGTTGATTACCAAGGAGGGATGGCTGATTACCAAGGAGCGATGGTTTATTACCACGGCTGGATCGTTGATCATCATGAATGAAGGGTTGATTTCCAAGGATGGAAGGTGGACGACTATCTGAGTGTGATAATTTTTCATGCTGAGGATAAGATCTACCAGATTGTGGAAACAAATCTTTGCCAGCTGGTGGATATGTGTCATCTTTGCCAGTTGGTGGATATGTGTTCATGTTCTGTTGCCCAATGTCGATATCCTGCTCATCATCACCATATAAATAAGGATTATCTACAAAAGTAAATCACAATTATTTAAATATTCATTTGGTTATAACATATTGAAATGATGTATCCTTCATATAAGGTTTAGTAGTTCAAAGCAAATTCATTGAACAAATTTTAGTATGTGTTAGGGGCCTGTGGTAGTTGACCAGTAAGGGCAATTGACTCTCGAACTAGAATGTACTAGGTACAAATCCTGACCTGGATCTAGTAGTTTGTAGGCTTGGATCAAAAGAACTGAGGTGTACGTACACAGTAGAGTGTGTATATATAAAGTCTGAGACGGTTTGATCACACGGTGTCAGTGTTATAATGTTATTCAATATTCACTTATAAAATCACTGAGATACACAGTTATATTATGTATCATAGAACAGTCAAAACAGACTTACCGTGGTTCCAACAATACATCCACAGGTCACAATTCTATGTAATACTGTTTATTACTGGTACTGGATAAAGAATAGAGAAGCTCAGTAACTGTATTCTATAGAATTGTGACCTATATATTATAGTTCAATTACTAAATGCCATTGAAACAATTTAACACATGAATACAGTACAGACAACCCTAAATGAGAAAAATCAATCGTTCTGTTTTACCTGAATATTCATCATAATGATCTTGATAACCTGTATATTGTTGTTGATCCTGTTCTATAGTTTCTCTATTCCCATCATATCTACAAAATATTCCTCCTTGTAAATAACACTTCTCTTATTGATCTATTATCAATAAAATTTTATTAAACAAGGCTGATTCTTTGTATGTCACTATACAATTACCCATGGCTCGAAATGTTCGCATGTCTACTTGTCGCCGACAGGCGATTTTTTCGTCTGACAGGTAGCAAATAAAACTACCTGTCACTTGAGACAGGTGGACAAAATTTTACTTGATGTTCAGTAAATTGACCACAATACTCACGTCCACGTCACGTACATTTAATTATTTGTTTCTAAATGCAAGAATTAAGCACGGAAATACCGCGAAAAGCTGCCATTTGCACTGTTTACATTTCGCTCTGTGGTAGGCTACAGTTACTCACACAGTTTGGAAGTAGACAATTTTATATCAATGAATTTCACACCATCTGCTTGACACTAGTTTATAGCATTATGGAGTATTATATCTAAATAAATTAAAACGCACCCCCAAGTCACCTGAAATAATTCTACCGTAACGACTCCACAGTAAATATAGTAGTGGTTGGAATGGAAATGCACAAGGCCTGTTGCTTGGTGTATTTAATCATTTAAAATGTTTTAAACAATTTCCATAAATAAAGCTATGAATAATTTATAAGACAATTTGACAAAATCAAAAAATCAGGTCGGAAAAATATTTCATATATAAATATAATTTGTAGCGTAAATATAGTCTGGATATGTGAGAAGGGAATTCCAGGTGGCATTATCTGTCCTTCGCACGCGGTAGATGTAAATACGGTGCCATGCACAGGTGTGATTTGTGTTTTGATATTCAATTTATTACGGATATTTTAAAATCTGAATTCTACAACAACGGTGAAGTATTCGATTTAGTACGGAAGTGTGGTACCATGATACTTTGCGGAATTCACTTGGATACGGATGATAGAATTGTACGAATCTTCGAGTCGTTGAGCCAAAGCAGATTCGCCGACTTTGAAGAACTTTTAGGCAATCCGATGTCGAAGAAATAAAAAGGTTTCATATTACGATATTTATATAGAGCAATGTACCTCAAAGACCTAACCACGTGCGTGTGTACCTACATGTATGGATATGTGTGATGTGATTAGTCTTTGAGTTTGATAATTGAGAGTGACGGGTTATTTACTGAAGCAACAGGTATGAAGAAAAGCTTTTTTTAAACATTTCGAGGCCTGAATTACCTGTCGACCTCTGAACGATAATTCATTTCTATGCAAAATCATCGCAGCAAAGTTGGTATCTAAACTATTTTACTTTCGTTTTTAATTGTCTAAATTACTGTCTTAAATAGCATTATAATTTTCTTTTCAAATATAAATATGAGATAGGAATTTCAAGCAAGAGGATTAACTAACTGACTATATAGTAACATACATAACTAGAACTCAGGTGTCATGTAGTTGTTTTAGCAGGAGTCTGTGTATTTAATGTTTAGTTTCAAACCATTGTTCACTGAAAATCATCGAAAAATATTGGGTTCCTACTGTTTAAAATGGTCCGTCTAGATTGGATAAAGAGTGTTGGGTTTACAACTGTTTACTTTCTTGAGCGATGTTGAGTAATTAACAAACTGATTAACTACTCACTAAAACTCGGAAAAGTAAACAGTGCATGTTATGTAGTCATTACAATCTGTAACATGGTGTAAAACAATTTAAACTCATATCTAACAATAATCTGATTACCTATCATCTTCATCATACATATCTTGAGTTTCATCTGTAATTACAAATTAAAGCACATAAAATATTTCCACATATGTTGTATTAGAATTTAAATGTAACAACAATCTAACACTTAATAATAATAAATGTCTATTTGTAATGAGCTAGATTCCACAAAACGAGCTCAAAGTTAATTATGCTCTTCATATAGACCTATAATAAACTAAAGGTAATACGAAAAAGACAAAGGTGTATTAAGACAGGGTAGGTATCAAATGAAGTTTTAAAGACACAAATATGGAAAGGCTTTGTTTTATACATACACCCATGACAAGAAGTGGTCAACGATAAATTACCCAGTATATATATTGATATATAAACATATTGGGCAAGTTTTATTGTTTACAGTTTTCATCATTGAATATTGATAATATGAGTATATGTAACTACCTTTATAATTACTGTATCTGCCTTTTTTACTTCCTGAAACAAAACACACATTGAATTATATAAAACACATTAAACAATGATTCTCAGATTAACTATAACATGAACAATGTTTATATCACTAGTATGTTTGAGAGCAGGATTCTTTTTAAGTGGGTAGAATCAAGATAACCCAAAGAAAGTTCACAAGGTTAGACGTCAACCAAACCCAGAACTAAGACCTAGCCTACAATATCAAAACTTTATGCCCCAAGACCAATTAAATGACCTTTCCAGAATCAGATACTTATTACCCTAAAAAACTGTGGATTTTCTTATTTTCTTGTTATTTGTACATTCAAGTACATCAGTATATTCAAAATGATTCCATATATCGATTAATTATAACCCTGAATAAAATCAAATTACTTACTTACTGTGGTAAGTAACACCTCAGTATGCTACAGTACGACTGCTATACATAGTAAAAACAATCACTGGTTTTATAAGTATAACCACAACGTTTTGACAAGTATTCTCTTACCGTTAAGATTGTACTTGATAAAGATAAGAGGATACTTGTCTAAACATTGTGCTTATATAATAAAAGCAGTCATAGTTTCCCATATATATTGTGTTCTGTTAATCTGTTTCTTAAGCTCTAAATGCCACTTAAAGATTTTGGTATGCTAAATGCTAACCATAAATTATTTTATGAATCAATACAATTTATTTATATCTTTAATAAACTTATTCAAACCTGGATCAGTCTCTGTAGGATTAATTGATCGTTTTAATGGTGTGGGTAGAATGGCACGACCCTTTAATAATGCTTGAAATTCTAATTCTTCCTCTACTTCTTCTTCTACAATGATTTTAACCACTGGTACCCCTTTACCATCTGCCTTCTCTATATCTTGTGTTAAAGTTTCTACAAATGTCTGTTGATTCTTCTTTCCACCAAACTTCTTAGAATGGTTAAAATAATCAGTGTGATGTTCTTTCTGTACAATGTAAAGTGAAATTGAAATGAAATGGGGTTTAATGTGAAAAGAAATTGGGTTTAACATCCTACTGTCCTGCTGCGACTGGGCTAATGACGACAGGCATATGCAATATACATGTTGTGTGCTTATATGCTGTGAGGTAAATTTTTCCCAGGCAGCTGCGCTACAGCCTACTTATATCACATTTCAACTGTGAGGAGGGGATCTTTTATGTGCACCCCAATGTGTACACGGTACCTTTTTTTTCGTCCATTGCCAAACCCTCTATCCTGCACCACTAACAAGGGGGAACCACACCAGAAAATCCTGATGAACTTTTTACGGCTAAAACACTGGGAACAAACACAGGATCTCCAGGTTAGCGAGCCAACGTCTTCCTCACTGAGCCACTGCTGTTCCCAATGTAAAGTGATCTTGATACTATAAACTAGGATTTATGTGTGCTCAAGTTACCATTGTGGAAATGGAAGTAAATTTCTATGGCATGGTATGTAAATTAAGCCGATCAGCAGTGTTTATTCTATGTGCACAACTATTTTATGCAATGATTATTGGTCTTGTTTCTGACCAGAACAACTAGACAAATTTTCTAGTTACGATTGTGCACAGCCACCACAATAGGGAAAGGAATCTTGTTTTAGTGCAAGCTAATTTCAAAATGACTTGACACATACACCAAAATTTAATCTAAAATGGATTTGCCTCTATGATAGGAGTGAAAAATAAAATTGTTGATTTCACTGGATTTATGTGTTGTTTTGTTTAATAACAGCCACAGATAAATCCGATGCTGAGATATAATGGACTGTGTGTTCAAGCGTTGATTTCCACTTATTCTTTTAAAACACAAGATGTACATAAGACCTTGGTTTTTTAAGTGCCATTTGAACAACTAAATACTCTTCCTTTCCAGACCCTTTGTCCTGTACCACTGATAAGAATAACCACATCAGAAAATCCTAAGGAACTGTCAACATTGGATCAAACCCAAGACCTCCTGGTTAACAAGCTAGCACATTACTCTCTGATGAGTAGATATATCTTACCATATAATTAAGACGATGTCTGGTACCCAGTAAATGTGATACAACTGTATGTTCATCACATTTTGATTCACATAGATTACAAACACATGTCATGATAGCTTTAGGATCTTGTTTGTGAAATTCTGTTATATAATCTAAACCTGAAAATATCATATACAAACTATAGTTTAAATACATATTCTTGCATTATTATATGGCTAGAAGAAAGATGTATTTGGAAATATTATGTAGAAACTGAGAAGAATATCATTCAAACAGAAAAAAGCTCTGATAATATGAGAGTGCCTTAGTGCTACACAATGACATATAAACATACAATGGAACCCCACAAGATGGTTTGCTACAAGGCAGGTTTTAATATTGCTCCCAATACATAGGGGACAAGATACATTGGTGCAATTAATGAACCCCAACGACTGGGTTATAGTGAAACCTTTCAGTATAATATATAGGGGACTAGGATACATGGATACAATTTATGGACCCCTACCAATAGTGTTATAGTGAGACGTTTCAGTATAATGAGGTGACTAGATACATGGATACAATTAGTGGATCCCTATCAACAGCGTTATAGTGAAATGTTTCAGTATATGAGGTGACTAGATACATGGATACAATTAGTGGATCCCTATCAACAGCGTTATAGTGAAACCTTTCAGTATAATGAGGTGACAAGATACATGGATACAATTAGTGGATCCTTATCAACAGTGCTATAGTGAAACCTTTCAGTATAATGAGGTGACTAGATGGATACAATTAGTGGATCCCTACCAAAAGTGCTATAGTGAAGTTTTAGTGCACTTTTTGAATAAGACCTTGTTTTTATCTCTCTAATTTAAAGAGTTTAAAACAGTGTTATCAAGTTACTGCAGGTAAAATCCTGTAGGATTTCGGTTCTTAAATTCTGAATAAGCATTCTATTTTTAAGACCATTAACGATTTGGGAGCTTGAGTTGAAAAGTTAAAAGTTAGAATATACAAACTAACCAATGATAGGTTCTGTAACAAGTTTTATCAGTTCTAGTGTCAATGATTTACGTTGACTGGCAACTAATTTAATTTGTGTTTTCTTTACAGTAGATTTACCTGAAAAATACGTAAATGTTTTTCTTAAAAAATCATTTTTCAATTACTAAAGGCACAGATTCTTTGAGATGTGTGTAAAACAAATGTCTTTGTAATTTGATAGGATTCCTAGTAGCCTGAGGCTACATGTATTAGAATAGTCTGTGAAAACTCAAGATTCGACAATAAAGTCTTATTTAAGAGATGACCAGGGTTATTCATGTAGTTGATCATGCTTAATAAACAACCAATATAGAACCGGTCTAGTTAGATATATCATGTCCTTTTACATCAAAGTAAAAAGGTAGGCCAAAATTTCTTTCGATTTTTTAATTCATTTTTATTTCAAAAACAAATATTTCAAGCCTTGTATAGTCTACCCATTAACTACTTTATTTTGTTTTTGTTTTAAGTTAAATTTTGCAACATTGATAGAAAGATCTCTACATCATTTCACCAAATGATTTTTCTAAAAAATACTAATAGACGAAGCAACAAAACAATTTTTAATAAATTTCTTTGTCTATGATCACCTTTAATATAAAGATATATCACAAAGAATCTGACCATTTAGTACATGTTTATACAATCAACATTCTATTATCACATAATGTTTTATACATGTTTTTAATTTTGTATTTTTATACTGATTATTTGTATATTTACACTCAAGTCATACAACATCTTTTAGAAATGTGTGTTCAGTTCACCTGACTAGATATCTCATTTACCCAATAAACAGTTGTTTAGGTTTCAACAAAAATGGCTTAACCAATCACAGTAGCTGCAGCTTGAATCCAAATAATAAAGAATTACTAATGGTGCTCTTTAGTGAAGAGAGTGTAGACCAAACAAAATTACTAAGGAAGTATTTAGATGTTCATGTAGTGTAGAGGGGGTAGGCTAAACAAAATTACTAAGGAAGTATTTAGATGTTCATTTAGTGTAGGTAGAGTAGGCTAAACAAAATTACTAAGGAAGTATTTAGATGTTCATTTAGTGTAGGTAGAGTAGGCTAAACAAAATTACTAAGGAAGTATTTAGATGTTCATGTAGTGTAGGTAGAGTAGGCTAAACAAAATTACTAAGGAAGTATTTAGATGTTCATGTAGTGTAGAGGGGGTAGGCTAAACAAAATTACTAAGGAAGTATTTAGATGTTCATTTAGTGTAGGTAGAGTAGGCTAAACAAAATTACTAAGGAAGTATTTAGATGTTCATGTAGTGTAGGTAGAGTAGGCTAAACAAAATTACTAAGGAAGTATTTAGATGTTCATGTAGTGTAGGTAGAGTAGGCTAAACAAAATTACTAAGGAAGTATTTAGATGTTCATGTAGTGTAGAGGGGGTAGGCTAAACAAAATTACTAAGGAAGTATTTAGATGTTCATTTAGTGTAGGTAGAGTAGGCTAAACAAAATTACTAAGGAAGTATTTAGATGTTCATTTTGTGTAGGTAGAGTAGGCTAAACAAAATTACTAAGGAAGTATTTAGATGTACATGTAGTGTTGGTAGAGTAGGCTAAACAAAATTACTAAGGAAGTATTTAGATGTTCATTTAGTGTAGGTAGAGTAGGCTAAACGAAATTACTAGGGAAGTATTTGGATGTTCATTTAGTGTAGGTATAATAGGCTAAACAAAATTACTAAGGAAGTATTTAGATGTACATGTAGTGTTGGTAGAGTAGGCTAAACAAAATTACTAGGGAAGTATTTAGATGTTCATTTAGTGTAGGTATAGTAGGCTAAACAAAATTACTAACGGAAGTATTTAGATGTACATGTAGTGTTGGTAGAGTAGGCTAAACAAAATTACTAAGGAAGTATTTAGATGTTCATTTAGTGTAGGTAGAGTAGGCTAAACAAAATTACTAGGGAAGTATTTAGATGTTCATTTAGTGTAGGTAGAGTAGGCTAAACAAAATTACTAAGGAAGTATTTAGATGTTCATGTAGTGTAGGGAGAGTAGGCTAAACAAAATTACCAAGGAAGTATTTAGATGTTCATGTAATTTAGGGAGAGTGGGCTAAACAAAAAAATACCAAGGAAGTATTTAGATGTTCATGTAGTGTAGAGAGGGTAGGCTAAACAGAATAACTTGGGAAGTATTTAGATGTTCATGTAGTGTAGGGAGAGTAGGCTAAACAAAATTACCAAGTAAGTATTTAGATGTTCATGTAGTGTAGAGAAAGTAGGCTAAACAGAATTACTTAGGAAGTATTTAGATGTTTATTATATGTAGTGTAGGGAGAGTAGGCTAAACAAAATTTCTAAGGAAGTATTTAGATGTTTATATGTAGTGTAGGGAGAGTAGGCTAAACAAAATTTCTAAGGAAGTATTTAGATGTGCATGTAGTGAAGAGAGAGTAAGCTAAACAAAATTATTTAGGAAGTATTTAGATGTTCATGTTCATGTAGTGCAGGGAGGGTAGGCTAAACAAAATTTATTAAAATATGATGAATCTTTTAAAGATTTTTTTTTTTGTGTATAAATGATAATGTTTTTATCAAATTGTTGTTCCATTCCTCACTGTTAATCTTCATAATTATAAAATAAAATTTAGAATCATGAAGTTTAATCATTTCTTTAGGGAACAGTTTGTAAGTGTAAAATCATTGAATATAAATTATGTGCTATCACTGTATCACCATTGGTCTGGTAAATAAAATATAATCATTTCTTGTGTACTGATTGAGTATGTGAAAAACAATTGAAATATTCTTGCAATTCTTTTCACATATTTACATCTTGTGTCTATTTGATGAAAAATTATTTTAATCATGGTATTATAGGTACATAAATTCGATAAATAGTTGACATTTTTAACAAACCAACAACACAACTTTGTATACCTTAAATTCTACAATTTGCTGCCATGTGTTAAAAGTTATAAATATGAAGCTGGTCAGTCACATAGCCTCACTCTTTCTGTAGCTTAATAAGAGGGGAGATAATTTGATAGGTGACGAGTAATGTTTACAGGTCTTCATCTTTTCAGTGATAAGAAAATTGTGTGTTCCTTTTCAAGAGATGTTTTTAATTGATTGCTGAAGGTTTGTTCAGGCTTGATGGATTAAAATGAATGAAATATGGATAAATTAAATGTACCATTCTGTTCAATGTGTAATGCAAGTGCAAACAATCTATGTGTGTCTATACATATAGACACAGATTGGAATCTGGAGGATATTCTCAAATGGACATTTATTCAGTGGTAATTTAAAAGAAGGTGGGAGTGGTGAGAAGCTGTCCATCATACTTTGTTTTTTTCTGGCCATGATAGTTGCTGAAAAGGAGACATAGTCATTAGGCTTTTGGGGATCACGTGGCTAAGTGGGTAAGACGCTAGCTCGCTAGCCTGGAGGTCGGGTGTTCGATCCTTGCATTGGCCGAGAAAGTTCATCCAGATTTTCCGCCGTGGTTCTCCCTTGTCAGTGATGCAGGACGGAGGGGCTGACAAGGAAAGCTGTCTAGTCGTTCGGATGGGACGAAAAACCGAGGTCCTGTGTACACATTGGCGTGCACGTAAAAGATCCCTTGGCAGTTGGAATTCGATATAAGAGTAGGCCGTAGTGCCGCTGTCCGGGCAAAATTTCCCTCATAGCACACTGTATGGCGTATGCCCGTCTTCATTAGCCCAGGTTAGGAGCAGAACAGTAGGACGTTAAACTCCATTTCATTTCATTTGGCTTTCTGTTGCTTTTGTTAACAACCCTGAGAACAAATTTTTGGGTTGAGGTTTTTTTTAAAACTTCAAAAAATTTATGTGGTCCAAGTGTATGCCCATATAATGTTTAATTTCTGGGAATTTGAACTTTGATTTCATAGGAGTTCATTAAGAATTCTCCCAAAATGTAGGATTCTAAATTTATAAAATATAAACCTTAACTGTCTTAATGATGCAGTCCTTTTGTGCGCCCAACCACCTTCCCCTTTACAAATTCTGCATAATTCTATTTATAAAATGTAACATATCTAAAGTATAATTAAATAATGAAATTTCACATGCAATATATTTGCAGATAATTTGTATTCCATTATTTACTCAAAACCATAAATTTTTGTTCCACCTTCCATATTTGTTCATTTTCAAATCTGAATGTTATCAGCAAATTCAATATAAATCCCTGAATGTATTTTATCTCTTAACATGAATCCTGTTACTATGAAATTACTTCAGTACTGAAAACCCCCATTCAATTATTTACGAATGTAAATCCCTGTTCCTCAATGGGTTTTGTCAGTGCCTATGTTAGATTTCCTTTATATTTCAATAAAAGTCAAGAACAATTGATCTTAACCATTAATCAAAATCAAAAAAAAATATATGAGATAGCAAGTGTACTGTAACAGTAACAATTTTCCTAATATGTAAAGATCTGTATATGCATGTTCTTTACAATTCTATAAGCACTTGCCCCTACATCCTCGGTATCCCCAGTTTCATTGTTCCGTTCTACTCCACTAAGCCCTGGGTCCATTCACAGTGTTTTCATGAATTCAAATTATGTGCCCTTGATCATAGGTTGATTCTACGAACCAATCAAACCAACAATTTAAATACCACCAGTCTTAGCGTCATTGTTTACGTTAACCACAATAAAGTAGTTTGTATGCTCGATTTAGTTGCAATAAAATTCAAATTACTTTGAATTTATTGATTGCTTGATAAAAATAGTACAATTATCAAGGGCAGATAATTTGTCTTTATGTCTCCCAAGTGAATGGACCCAGGGTTTAGTGGAGAAGAATGGAATGATACCACTGGGGATACCGAGGATGTTGCCCCTATTACATGTAGGATAGCGTTATTGTAAACCCTACAGTCTCCAGTAATATTTCACAATAATGTTACTGCCTGTCAGGGTCCCATTCTTGTTTTCAAAATATATAAAACCTTGTAAAGCATACTCCTTTTTTATATATTTTGTAAACCCATGCAGGCCCCTCACCTCCCCTTTCTGTCCGATGAATATTGTAAACCATTGAACATAAATGAATATCTTTTTACTTAAGCACTGTGATATTTCTAGAAGTCATCTTTGTATCTAGATATACTTCTTGTGATTTTTGTCTCTTCTATTCTTGACTGGTATTTCATCTTCATAGCTTCAAAATCAACAAGAAGCATCTTTCTGGTGCTTGATACGGTGTGCGTTGTATACTTACGAAATAGATATAGACAGGCTACTTACCACGGCTACAGTAATTCTCAACACTCTGAAAAGCATAAATAAGTTTCACACAATAAATAACAGAAATCACAAACATTTAAAGCTAGAGTACTTACCTGTTAATTATATTGTATAACATGTCCATTAATACTATTCGACACCCATCAGGTTTAATTAAATGTATCAATTCAGTGAAGATTAATATTACAAATGATACCTGATAGATCACTCACCACTTTTAATCACTAAACATGTTTTTCCAGCACAGCAATCAATCCCTTGTCACCATGAGCATTTATCCTCTTAGTCTTATTGACATTTTGTTTTCCCGGCAGAAGTCAATTAAATTGTTTTGTAGATTTTCAATATTTATGTTGCATTATAAAACCTCTTTTCAAAGTTCAAATGCTTAAAACTAATCTCCACAATATATTTTAAAACAAATTTTTGTGTATTTTCCAGTAAATTTCTCCTTTTCTGATAATTCTGCATGTCTTAATTTGTGTAGCATATTTCATAAATATTTTTTAAGAAATTGTGAAAAGATATCACTTTTTGAATAAAACTAAATATAGATGTGATGCATAGATTGCATGTCTTAACACACAGGTTTATTTTGTATAGCACATTTCATAAATACGTTTTATGAAAAGACATCTAAGTATAGATGGGATTTCCTTTTTTAAAATTCAACAAAATATTACATGTACTAATCGCGTCGAATATAAGTATAACACACAAATGAAATGCACGCTCTTTGTATGAATATATAAATAAACCTTACCACCCTCGTTCTATAAAATAACATAATAAATATGTTGTTAAACAACACGCATTAAATGTCTTCAAAGACATTTCAGTATATTTTGTGAAGTGTTATTCCAGGGTTATGACATTAATTGACACTTCAACATGTTTTAAAAATCTATTAAAGATTTTCAAATGTTGATTTTCATATCATTTCCCTCGATTAACTACTATAATTTCAGCATAGATAACCTTATATTGATGAACATATATCCATTTATATGTCATCAGTGTCTTGCATATCATTGCAGTACTGAAGTGAAAATTAGAACAATCCTATATCTGGAAACCCTTTTTGAAAATGTGCTTCTAATATACATGTAGAGTGTTTTATTGTGTTTTGTACAGATTTATGTAATGATGATGGTAATGAATACATGTGTGTGTTATTGCTGAAATTGATATTCTTTAAACTGTTTTTAATTAGACTTTAAAGATGAAGTAAGATGGCCTTACCAACCATAATGTCAGTAGGAGTTTAATTGTAAAAAAATAAAATTTAAATACTTACAAATGAATGCTTAGCTCCAGATAGATGAGCTTGGAAACTCTGTGGACCAGTACACTTTATATCACATAACTGAAGAAAAATAATTACATTCTAAAGTTAACTTTTCCTGATATGGCAACCACAGTCAAAATAGCCATTCAACTAGATGGCTATTAAAAATGTGCACATGTATTCTCCTTTAACAGTAAGATGGATTCGGCGAACGTCATAAAACCTTACGTCATAATGTCAATAGTGGTAAAATATACATATTTATCTTAAAGTCATCTCATTAAAAAAAAAAACCACTATCATTCAATATGGATGGTAATAGGCTATTAGAAGAAAAATTTTCGTTCAGATATATCATCATTTTACCATAATTTTAGAAGAAGAAACAGGTGCATGTGGCAACTATATTCAAGACTAACCTAACTTCACCCAAGCTACACATTCATAACCCACCTCACCATTTACTTTAAAAGTAAGGGTCCAATAAATGTTTTGACTTACACTTATCCCTCCTTATGGCTAACAGTAGGGATGGGTGTGATGACCAAGGGGGGGCATGCTTAATTTCTAGAATACCTAATAACGTTTGAGAAGTTCAAAGCACATTTGCAATGTGTCTTTAAGAGTTCAAAGCACATTTGCAATGTGTCTTTGAGAAGTTCAAAGCACATTTTCATTGTACTTTTGAGAAGTTCAAAGCACGTTTTCATTGTACTTTATTGATAATTATTTTCAGTGTAAAATTGTAACAATAACATAATTCATACCTTACACTGGAAGTCATTTGGAAATTGTTTTTTACCAACATCTTCAGGTCCTAAATCTCTTTCTCTAACTGGAGTATTTTTTGGAAGTAAGCTAGCTTCTGCTAACATCTCTTTTGTGATACCATACTTAGCTAATTCCTCAGCATTAAATTCTTTTTCTTGTCCTGGAGGTTTTTCTTTAGGTATTGCTTCAGAATAATCTCCTCTCTTTTCAAAACCCCGATCATAACTACCTTCATTATATCTATTATCCTCATCATAATAGTCCTGTTCATGTTCCCAATCTCGTCTATAATTGTCATTACCATGTCCATAATTTTCATTATAATGTCCATAATTCTCATTATCGTGTCCATGATACTCCTCATGCCCATGATACTCCTCATGTCCATGATACTCCTCGTGTCCATAATACTCCTCTTTCTGTCCATAGTACCGATCCCTGTTATCATATCTATCCAGTTTTGGTTTTCCAGAATCTTCGAACCCTTTAGTGTGTAAGGGATTTGAGTAGTCTTTTTCTGGTTTATTTGACATATCTCTAACCACACTGTCCACATTTGATGATTGATTAGCATCATCAGACTCTGGAAAAAAAAAGACAATACATATAGATATCATTCATATGTCTTCTCTCTTCTTCAATATGAATTAAACAAAAAAAACAGAAATGATTGTGTAATCAATGCACGTTGGTATTTGCCGATAATTGGCCATTTTGATCAACATTTTGACCGATACTCAGAAGTCTATATTCACAAATGCAAATTTATAAACAGAAATGAAAAATGGGTGCAATGAAAAATTCTTTAATTTTGTTCCTTTTTCTGAAATATTGACATAACCACTGCATTATGGTGGCTATGGCAAAGAAGTTCATTCAAATTAAAACAAAATCTCAAAACACTGATATATCTAGTAACCTATTTATCACATACTCTTTTCTTACCATTTTCTGGATTAGACTGATTTTCTACTTGCATAGTTTTTTGTGTGTGCATCAGACCTCTTGTGTGCTTAACAAATGCCTGAAATAAAAGAGTTATTAAAGTTCAAGAATGTAATTTGATGAAATGTGACCATTTTGAGACCAATATATACTCTTCCAAAAAAGTAGGGGATATTCAGAAACAATACAAAACTGCGGAAATGCACTGCTGTTTTTATTAGAGGTAACCAGTGTATGTTAATAACAGGCCAATTGCCTACACATGAACATAAAGGGTTCATATGGGCAGCTTATCTGACGGCCCCATTTCACTCGCAAAGATATACACCATTAAAAGTGAAAATGGATGTTTTTCATTATTGTCTTAATAATGAGTAATTGCTCCACCAATCCTCAGACATTCAGCAATTCTTCGTAGCATGCTCCTAATCAACCGTCCAATCACGATTTGGGGCAACCTGACCCAATCCTCTTGCAGTGCCACAGCCAATTCTTGCAGTGTTGTCGATTGACATTGATGAACACGTCTCCCAATCAAATTAAACGTAACACACTAAAGCAAACATATGCTAAACAGTAAATCTTATGCAAGAACCGATAGGAATGCTAACAACATGGATAGATAAACCAGCACGCGGCAGTTTTCATCAACCCTTCCTTGAAGTGTCACATTTGACAATGAATTCCTCCCACGTGTAAGGCGCTATTGCGTGTCGCATGTGCACCTCAGTGGTTCTGTTGGGGCGATAAGTTCTTCATCTGTGAACATACCCTCAAAGCATGTCAAGTGTCCATGACTATTTATCATATTACAACCTGCATAGGTATTTGCATTTCAATATCCCCTACTTTTTTTAAAGAGTATATATGTTGTTACATGTACATGTATCAAGCTGTTAAGAATTTTACAAAGTCAGTAGTTCTACATTTATCTTCCAACTTCCAGCCACAGTGCCTGGATTATCATATATATTCACCACTAAGATTATTTTAAAAAAGAAAGATGTTATCTGTTGAATCGAAGATTCAAAAGGTAAAATGTCTTTTTTGTTCAGATTTAAGTTTAACCAAATTACCTCAGATGAAGTAAAACTGATTTTACAGTATTTACAATAACCTGTATCGTCACTGTCATCTTCACTTTCATTCTTTTGGGCTTCTGGTTGTATTACTGCTGGTTTATTAGTCTTCAATATTACTGCCGGTTTATTATTCTTCAATATTCCTGTTCGTGGTTTTGGTGAACTCTGAGTGTTCTTTGTAACATCTGAACAATAAATGACAAAATATAACCACAATAAATATGGAATTACACATCATCATTTATATGATCAATAGTTTTATAAAGAAAGTTACAGTTCACGATAATTCCTATAAATGTGATAAAATTACACTGTAATGAACAGGTTTTTTGAAAAATTAATTGAAATAAAAGTCAAAATGTACTCGATTTTTCCACTAATTTGACAAATTTGAGAGTGAGTTTACCTTTATTTGGTGAAGGAAGCAGTGGTGGTGGACTTTCTTTAGATTTCTCTACTGCTTTTGCTTTTATTATTTCTGTGGTTGGTTTAGTACTAGTAGTAGTACTATCTGCACAGGTAGGAGTTGGAAGCAAGCCTGGCTTTCCAGTCCCAACAGGTTTGCCTTCATCTTGACTCTTCAAGCTGGATTTTTTCAGCGCAGACTTTTGTGGCATCACAGGATCTGGCAAAAGGCCTGGTGGCTTTACTGGTGTTTTCTCTGATGCATCTTGTGTTTTCTCTTTCGAGCTATCAGATGATGAGTCTCCTGTTTTGGTCTTGGTCTCTGTTGCTTTTAATGCGTCATCACCAGGTGCTTTATCTGTCTTTGTTTTTGTTTGTTCTTTGTCTTCTGACTTATTTTGAGATGGTGGCTGATCTTTTGATCTAGACACGGGAAGTGGATGCCGTGGTGGAGGTGTTCCTAATAATCCTGGTTTGGGATCTAATAATCCGGGTTTGGGATCTAATAATCCGGGTTTGGGATTATTTGGTCTTGCCCCGGGAAATCTTGATCTTGGGCCATCTGAGAAGCTTCCACCTCTACCACGCCCTCCATGATGTGAATCTGGAAACCTGGGTCTAGGACCTCTTGGCACAGAGGATCTGCCTCTGTAATTGTTTATTCCTGAAGGATAAGTCTGTCTGGATCTTGGACCTTGAATAGGTTCCTCATACTGGTCGTAATCGTCGTGTCTCCTTCTGTTCCCACCATAATCATTGAAGGACGGCTGATATCGTGGGTATGCACCTCTGGGCCACGCCATTGCAATTAACTGTTTAATGTTTCATACAATTTAATATTTGTGTTGTGTGAGCTTTGCGGCCATATAATTGTCAACCTGCCGCCTAGCGTGAATTTGTAAATTTCACAGAGTGGCTATGGACTACGGATCAGATTTTACAACCCTGCAGTTTACCTCTTGTTTGCATATTTTTATTATTATTATTATTTTTTGGCGGCTTGTACTCTTGTAGCATTGATATATTGATTTCTTCGTCTGTACAAAACCGTTTTGACAACTAACTTTGCTGTGAAATGAAAGAGAATAAAATAGCGCTAAGGCAAGAGTTATCCCCCTTCCATCACAACATCATCATGTTTACAAATGGCTGCCAAAAATTCTATTTCCTTTTAGTTTGTTTATATTTTTAGCTTTATATTGTAAAATATTAATTTTTTTTTGTTCACTAATAACATGTCAGCGAAAAGAGATGTCAGGAATTTGGTAAATCAACCGAAGAATAGCAGAGGAAATACACCCGTCTCTGAAAAAGTGATTATTTATTATTATAGCCTGTATTAGATTAGTATTTTGATATTTTTGGCAATTACATGTGACAAAGTACCGAACTAAATCTATGATACTGTGGCCCTTGGATTTCCAAGTGCCTTCAATAAAAAAAAAACTGTTTTCGCATTGCACTTTTTAGCTTTGAACATTCTTCAAACTTTACTGTTAAGCGGCGGTGGGGATCAAATCAAAGTTGTGCATACTAACTTAACTATAATATTATATAGCTTACTGAACTGTATATAAAACAGTTTGTGATACGCATGGTATATACTTATTTCCATAACATGATTCAAGGCAATATTGTGAGTACGATTTCTCACCAAGGCTTGATCAATTTACAGGGCCATTTACGATCTTGTATAACAAAGCACATATGATCATTGCACAATAGGCCTCTACTATTATGTTTTATACAATATTTTATGTTTATACGGTAGAGCTTATTATATTGGCTGTTCAGTGCCGTAGTAGGCCTACTAATACTATAGTAGTCTGTTTTATATAATATTTCATGTTTATACGGTAGAGCTTATTATATTGACTGTTCAGTGCCGTAGTAGGCCTACTAATACTATAGTACAGTCTGTTTTATATAATATTTTATGATTTTACTGTATAGCTTATTATATTGGCTGTTCAGTGCCGTAGTAGGCCTACTAATACTATAGTACAGAAATTGCATGGTTATTATGTCCTAACAAAAGACAATTAAGACGAGGTAAAAAAAAAAAATTCTTAAACTAAAAATTAAATTATTAATATTATTGCCTTCCAAATGAAAGTTCAAGATTTGTTTGGGTAAGTTTAGTATTATGAATATGAGAACCCTTGAAATGGGGATATTGAGAGTTACAGTATTGACAAATAAATTGGTGAGAATTGTTACGTGATATAACGATAACATTGCAGTCTCAACTTATAACCCTGTGTGTCATTTCAAATCAGAAAATGATGCCTAAAAATGATACAAGTTTTGATATTATAATATATAGTATAATCATTTATATATACACTTTACAAATGTAAGAAGTCATGTTTTGTCAACCATCGATGGGTGACATCACATCACAGCACAGCATGTGCATTGTTTACATAAGATTATGTAGTAACACAAACTGGTCCAGGAAATATTTTCTACCAAGACTTACTCCCAACACCATTATTTTTTTCTTAATGAAGAAAATTGTTTTAGAATTTAATTTGCAGGAGAAAAAAGTTAATGTTGAGAGCTAATTAACTCGTCCTGATGTCATCCCTTTCAGTAATAGTAGCAGCAAATATTTACTCCTCATTAATTTGGACATACCTTTGTTAATCTCATATATTCCTTCATTAGCTTCATTTGTCATTGATCAGAGATGGGTTCCGTCAAACATAGTTTAAACTGCTACATGCAGTAGTTTGTACAATCTTTGATTCGTGAATGAACCAATCTTTATATAAAGCAATTAGAATATATTTATTAGGCTTAAATAGTTATAGACAGTCTAGATTTTGCAAAAAAACGTTTTTGTTTTATGTTGATATTTTTTTTTATCTATACTTTAAGGTCAAAGAAATTAAAAAGCGTCAGGAAAATTGGATGAAACAGAGAGCCGATCATATTACACAAGACGATTTTGTCATAAAAGAAAATAATTTAGATGTGAAGCAGTCTACAGGTATTAAAGATAAGTTTAAACATTGGTTAAAGAAACAATCTAATGAACAAGATTTTGATACACTTTCTCAATTAACACAGAGTGAACATTTCAAAGGTTCAGCTTCAGAGCTGGATGGCTATGGAGACGAATCTACTTATGATTATGAAGATGATGAAGAGGAGGAGGATGTTGACATTGATAAACTAAAAGAAAAACTTTTGTCAACAAAAGATTTTGATGCCAAAGCAGACAGTATTGTTGAGAAAGTGAGAAAAGATTTAAATCTGTATTCCAAAGACATTGATCGCATTCCCAACCGAAGTAGATCATGTTTTGAAAGTAGAGGACAGAAGTCAAATAATTTCTCAAATCATCATTGTCCATCCTGTTCCCTGTCAATGGTAAGAAGAATATTTAAATTATAAAGTAGAAAATAATGCTGTTTTTCTCCTGACCCTCAAATCCAAAGTCATAGGGGGACTCACAGTGGCTCAATAAGTAAGACACTGGCTTGCTCCCGGGTTTGGCAGAGGAAGTTTCCTTTAGGATTTTCCGGCGCCATTTGTTCCCCACTTCCAAATCCAAAATTATGAGGGGGACCCATGGTGGCTCAGTGAGTAAGATGCTGGTTTGTTCCCAGTATTGGCAGAGGAAGTTCCTTAGGATTTTCCGGAGTAGTTTCACTGTTGTTAGTGATGTAAGACAGAGGGCCTGGCTAATTCATTTCCCTCTTAAGCGGTGGATGTGTTTATATTCACCTAGTGTGTCCACTTTGCTGAAGCGTGCACCCAATTGTAGAATTCATTAGCTAATCACCACTGAATTCAAGAAAGTAACTTGATTTTCTGAAGACAAAATGGCGACTATCACTGAAACGTGAAATTTCGAGAAAGAATCAGAGCATATTATATTTTGGGAGGAGACAAATACAGCTTAAAATTAAAAAGATTCAATCAGCTGCAGCTATTTTTTTTCTTTTTCTTGGTCACTGACATGGTTAATCATGTGACTTATCCTGTGAAAGGTTATGCAGTTGACTGGTGAATCAGGCAAAGAATTCACCAAGTGTGTCCACTCATTCAGCCTAAAGAATTCAGCTGCAATTCGGCAGCCATGATTTTGCCGAATGATTTGGACGCTTTAGTAAACTGTATAGTGTGTATACCGTCTTCATTAGACCAGTCGGTGCAGAAAAGTAGGACGTTAAATCCCATTTTCTTTCATTTCATTTCCAAAATCATAAGATCATGTCCAATTTACAATGTATACTGTAAAATCAAGTTTTAAAGAATTATTTGTGCATGTCTGCATTTATGGCGGAAATGATAATTACACCTTTTAAGATTACACTTTACATGCAGGCAGGTGAAATCTGTACAGTGGAAAGTTAATGGAACTTCTGAAAATGGTTTTGTTCCAATCAAAAGTCTTAAGTACAGTGGAATTGTTTCATTACAAGACCTGCAGAAGGGACTAAATAACTTATCACAAACATCACATATTTTCAAGGCACTACATTTATCTCATCATGCTGTTTATAAGAATGTATGATTATCCAGCATCATTTATGATTGCCAGTTACATATTTTTTTCAATTGCCTTTTTAACTATACCTGTAATTTTATATTCTAGGTAACAGTAGAAAATACTCCTATGTTAATGATACCGTGCGGCCATTCAGTTTGCCGAGTGTGTTGTGAAGGGAGAAAACTCTGTGTTGTTTGTGATTGTCGTATAACTAGTGTTACCAGTAACATAATGTTACAACAAATTATACATGAATACAGCCAACGTCAACCAGCTGTTGCACGACATCAATCAGCAAAGGTCCAGTCTCATTATTCATCTCACAAATATGATGATTCTCCACCATATAACATAACATCACCAGGTAATAGGCTATATAACAATCTTAGCAAAAAATGGCGATGACATCATGCACACTTAATCCAGGCAACTTTCAGCGGTACAGTTTCTGGTACAGGCCTACGCCACATTGGCTGATATTTTTATTTCTAAACAAAAACAGTTGATTAAAATTTTTCGTCAATCGTGTGCCATAGCTGCTTGTGAAGAAAAGACTATCTCGGAAAATGGCGGTGACCTACTTATTATTTCTAATCACTTCGGTGAAAGTGTTTCTGGTACTTTAAATGGTCCGAAATCTAATTTATTGTTACTGATAATTGGCCGACTTGGTTTATTGTTTGGCCAAATAACGTCTCCAATTACTATTCGTGGAATTGTTGTTGGCAACTTTCTTTTTTCTCCGTCAAAAAAATGTCTACAACAAATTGCAACGTGATCACCTAGCACATTTTGGTCTTTCATTGTTTCCAAGATTTTTTGTTTCCATGCCTTTGAAGTTCCAAAGATAAAAAATTTAACACATTGTGAATGTATGTTTTTCTTCACAAGCATCTAGAGCACACGATTGACAAATCATTCTGTACTGCTGAAAGTTGCCCTGATCAAATGCAGGTGATGTCACACCATCTTTTTCTAAGATGGCTGTAATTTTCTAATGTTGAACATTATTATTACAATTTTATCAGATTCCAAAACACCAAGTTCATGTCAACTTTTATGTTGAATTCACTCAGAAGATGACATTGCTTAATACTAAGTAGTGTGTCTTTAGCAACTACAGTACCAGAAAAAAAGCCATATTTATTGATGTTATAATGGCTATTTTCTCTTCGAAATGGTTTAGTAGCATATAATTTTTTGTTGAAAAAGATTGTCAATGAGTGAGAAAGGATAAATCAAACATTTATGAGATAAATGGCCTTGTGCAAAGCTCCCTATCTTGGGATAGCTATAGTTTATAGATATATCATGCTGAAACAAAAAAGCAATATAAAGGCTTGCATCTCAACAATTCTGTTCGATTTTTAATGGTTATTATTGCTATGAAACCATGGTGGCTCGCAAAGCTGGAATTCTCAGGTTTGATCCCGGTCAAGAAAGATCCTTAGGAGTTTCCTGCATGGTTTACCTATGTAAGTGGTGGAGGAATGAAGGATCAAGGTCCTGATGACATGTATGACTCCACATATGCTGTAGTCTAGGGCAGGGCTTCCACGTCAAAATTTTTGCCAGCCGGTTATTTTTCACATGGTGAAAGTGGTGCTGTTTTTAGCACATAATAAAAAGCCACAAAACAACATGCTATTGAAATGTCAATCGGGTTTAATTGGCTCAAAAACAGTCACATGAAATTCAATGTTGTCAAATTAACATTTATACCAACCCACCCCCATGATAAATACAGGAACATGTGTAATCATTTATCATCATTTATTTATTTATTTATACATTCATAAAATATAACAAGAGACATTCATCCATTCATTCATCGCAAGTACACTATTTTCTTACTTTCTTTACAACATCACCTGTATATAATCGTGGGAACTCTGATGGAACTGTTGTGGTAAAACATCTTTAAATAGTCGATCTTCGTGTTCAAGGCAAAATTTCCCTCATAGAGTGCGTGTGCCCATCTTTATTAGCTCGGATAGAGCAGAAAACCCGATTTCATTTTGCTATGAGACTAAGACTGGTCATGCTTGAGGAGGAATCAGTGACTAAATAGAATTTAGAATACACATTCGGTTATTTTGAAGAGTTTTATCTGTTTATGTTTTAATCTGCGGTGCTGGTGTATATTTCAGATAACTCAACTTTGAATAAAAGAAAGTACCATGAACAATTAAATAATTTACAAACTAGAATAGACATAATGAGCAGTGAACAGCATTCTTTACAGGAAGACATTAATGTTATACAGACAAAATTAACCACCGAAGAACGCCAGAAAAGAAATATCCAAAAACAAAAAGAGAACATTGAATCTAAAATATCAGACCTAAGGGAGAAATTAAAATTGTTGACAATACATGAAGATGAATATAATGAAAAATGTGATATTTTGATTGAAGAAAAAGATGTTCTAACAGAAAAACTATCTCTGCTGAATAACACATTAACATCCCTCAATCAGGAGGTAGAAAAGGTACATCTAGTTTTGTTATGTAATTCTAATTTTTCTGGCTAGCCTCAGTTTTTATTTAAGAAAAATGGTCATTTATGTATATAAAATTAAAATACTTGACTGGTAGGAGAATAGACAGTAATTCTGATCACAATTTCTGGATTATTTATTAATGCTGTTTTTATTAGTCTTTACATATCAAAAATTGAACCAGAAATTAATTCATGTTTTTTGATACTCAGAAAATAATTATTGACATTAAGAATCTGAATTATTGGTATCAAGAATCTGAATTATTAATATCAAAAAGTCTGAATTATTATTTTTGTCTGATCAAGAATTTTAATTAGCGATAGTAAGATTTTTAAAATTTTGTATTAATATGTATCAAGAAACATGTAATTTACTGATAAATTGTAGAACATTGCCTCTTTTATATTCATCATTTAAGTGTAAATGATTAGTTGTGCAGACAAATATTGTCTATATCCAACAGACACAAATGATTGCTCTTGATAGCAGATCAAAACAAAAGGCAATATTTCATTGAACCTGCCTAAAGCCATTAGACCTGAAGTAGACAAATTTCTAGAAGATAAAAGAAATGTCTCCATGATGTTTATATAACCGTTTAATCTGTAATTCTTTTTATCTTCCATTGAAGGGTCCCTTTTAATTAGACTCCATTTGATTAAACTTAACACCTCTTTAACCCCCTACTTAAAGGCTATTTATATACTAAGTATGTAGATTTTAATATACAAAGAAGTCTGTTGAAGTATAAAGAGATATATCAGACGCCCATCAGAAGTATACTTTAATATGATTTATAGGATGTGATTTTGTTAGTTAAATATTAAAGTGCTTATAAAGATAACCTTTAAATGATATCTTTATTTTGATTTATTAAAGAAAATAATGGATTTTTGATATAAAAGAATTTTGACAAATATATATGAGTACATACTAATAATTAATTGGGAAGGTAAATGATAATCCTTACAATACAATATCACCAAATGATAATATGGTTAAATTTGTAGTACCTGTGTTTAAAAAGAAATAATTTAAAATTGGTCTATAAATTGAAACAATAAAAATAGTCATTTATACTTGATAACAATAAGAGAACATCTGTCGCAACATTGTGCTATATATAATGTGTACAAATAAACCAGTGATTGTTTTCCAGAGAAATTGTGTTTTTTTAAAAATAGTTGTGTTATAAATTAAGGCCTGGAAGTGGGGAGTAAATCTTATTTGTCTTTATTTTACAGATTCTTTTTCTAGTAGAAGCAGATGATGTCTGAGGATGAAACAAGGGAGAAAAATAAGACTACAATCAAATGACAGTGATATTTTTTTAAAAAACAATTAGATTGTTGTAATATATCAGTACATTATGTGATTAAAAAATGAACAGGAAGGATACTATAAAGAGGATTTTATTCAATTTGTATTTTTTAAAAAAATATTTATTACTATTTTCTTTAATTTATATTATATTTTGTTTTTAAATAAATCTTTAGCTAAAGTTGCAAAAAAAGGCCTACTTTTACTGGTAGACTCCTAAACAGAATTCAATAAATTGGATGTATTATTCATTTATCAGTTATGAAGGGCATTGCCGATGTGACTACTTCACAAAGCCGTTGGTAATTATGAACAACAGATTAATTAGCTATTAGCGCTGGTCAACTCAAAGACTCAATTTTGAATTCATCAGGAGACCAGCTTATATTTAGCTTACCCCAATCAATAGGAGATTGTAATTTACTTAGAGAGACGGATTATAGATATAAAATTAAAGAAGAATACTATATATTCATCAATCTTGTTTTGTTTTTTGAAAAAAAAATCATAGTTCATAAAACCTTATTATATTTGAGTTGCCGGATAGTTCAAAAAGAACTTTATTATTTGCTGGTGTCAGTCTGTTTGTTGGAAATTATGGAGTTGCCTCCCTTAGAGCACCTGCTCGATTTGTTTTCATTTGATGCATGATGGGAAGGACGCGAAATTTGAAATGGCGGACAATGTGTTGATGTATGAAAAATGATCAAATAAATGATGAAAACAAGCAAAATTATGGAGGACTGGGGAAGGTAAAATGTATTTTATAAACTATTCTATATATTACATGTACATTTATCATGATTTTTGATATATATGTGAAGAATTTAACGATGGATTGGTCATGAAAACCGACGAATGAAATAATTCAATTTCCAGTAGTGGACGACGGACGTGTCGTGTGTTGTATTCTTCATGATCACGCTGGTACAGTTTTCATAAACCTTGATAAGGCAAAGCATATATGATCATTTATGAAAATAATTCCACGAAAATTCCTTATTCTGACGTGATATTTAGTAACATAGCGACATTTTGATTTACATCATCATCATATCCTGTCCTGATCAAAAAACAAAATTCATATTTTTATAATAATGGTCGCCTGTGAGTCTTAAGTTCCATTTTGCACATTACTGCCACCATCCTATTAGTATTTACATTAAACTTTAGACAAGGACTTAGATACTTTTATTCAATTATTTTATTTAGATTATGTCTGGAGTTTATGTCTATAATAGGTTTGCATTTTTTCTTTATTGGAATCTTTATATGCCAGATCATTAAATCACTTGCAGCAACAATCAACAGAGAACATTTTCCATTGTATAAAAATCAAGCCTTTTTCATTACTAATAAATGATTTATGACATAGACGTCTAAATAAATAAAATATGAACTGAACTTGAAATCTTGGATGCTTTAAAGTTTAATATTGAATTTCGGATTAATTATAGCTTGTATGATTTTCCACTTAACCAATTTATTGCAGTACACCTGTGAAGTATTTATTTAAAATGCTTATAAAAGGCATTTATTCTAATGTGCCCGTCTTATATACAGCCTATGTACATGTTAATTGTTTACAAATGAATATAATCCCTTTATTGTTATCTTTAGGTACGACAGTGACAGTTCTTCATCGTCTGATGATGATGTGTACTTTGGTGATTATCGACAAAAACAACCAAGACAATGTGGTTCATCAGTTCAGTATAAAACAAATGGTGGTAAAACAAAGAACAAATCACATCTGCAACCTGATCAGACAACACAGAAAATTGGATCTGAACAAAAAACAAGAGATGCACATGATTCATTTTCTAGTACCAGCAGTAGTGAAAGTCCAACTTATGAACTCAATCGTGATTTCTCTGGCAGTGACTCATCTTTTGATGATTCAAGTTCCCCTCTTGACCTTACAACTCCAAAAAGTTGGAAAAAATCCCAAACAGTTATAAAAAGCTGTCCGAACAGAACTCAAGTTATAGATGATTCAAAACAAAATACTTACAGTAATTGTGGAAGTCTAAAATGGCCAACACAAAGAGTTATAATATCTTGTCAAAAAGAATCAAAACAAAAAACTGATGAGATAACTAACTCTGCACCGAATCAGTTAAACAGAAATAGTACAGGGCAGCAGTCTACTTCTAGTTTTAGTAGTATAAAAGGGGAAATTGGCGAATCTCCCGATTTTTCAAATCTTGACACCCCTTCACCATATGATGATGACTGTAGCCCTGGTTATCAAAACATGATGAAAGGCAAAAGACTATTTGATGTGAGACAGAAAACTAAGGCACCTGAAACAGTTGCACCTAATGGAAAATCTTCAATTTCTTCATTTCCTAGTTTAGCATCACTAAACGCTTTCGGTTTTGAGGGAAAGGAAGGTTTAGCAAGTTATACATCTTTGCCCTATACCTCGTATCTTGACGAATCAGTTGCTAGGTTTCAGAAGAAATCTTTAAGTCATCTACCATCATCATCAAGCATTATGTCAAATTTTAATGAAACTGTAAATGAACGAGAGGGAATGGCTAGTATGTCGAACTATAGCTCAATGAGTTCTGTTATGTTAAAATCAACTGGGATAAAAGGTGTCACAAATTCTGATTTGTCACCAGTTAGCCTTATTTCAAATTTCACAGAACCTTTAGGCGAACCACGTGAAGGGTTAGCTAGTTATAATAGTTTATCATCCCTGTATAAGTCACCTTCTGAGAGTAACTATAAAGAGAACGATCATTTTTTACCGTCCACATCTCAATTGAGCTCTGCAGATTATATCGATATGAACAGACGATGCGGTGAAGCATTAGCAAGTTGTTACTCTAGTTTTAAATCCGAGCCAAGTTCTGAGGAAACAAGTTTACTTTTGAATTCAACTGTTGTTGATAATGGACAATCAGACTATGTTGATATGAATAGGCTGGATGAAACTAGTGACCATGTCCCTCAAACTACAAACAATACATATACCTACATTGATCCAAAAACGATTTCAACCAGCGCGCCATCTGATAGAGATAGCAGGAAAGGCAATAGGAAAACTGTTAAAAACACTAGTAACTCAGCAATGTTAGCTATCCCAGAACATTTTTTTACCTCTGAAGATCTGTCGGGCGATTATGTGGAATTATCTAAGTGTCAAGCTTATCTGGCAGCAATGCGAGAAAAGGAAAAAGAAAAAATTCCATCCCATGTAACAAATCATGAAAGCAGAACAATCTCACCCTCGCCAGTTATAAATTTGTCACTTCCCAAATCGGACAAACAGATTGATTCACATCCTAATACTAACATTTCCTTTTCTTACAATAAAAGTACAACAAGTTTAGTTAGTTTTCGTGGTAATGCTAGTGTGATGGAAAATGATTTGACTATTGGTGAATCTTTGTGTGAAAGAAGGGAGGCATTGGCTAGCTGTGCTTCTCTCTCAGAATTTGATTTTGATTCAGAAATCTCTTCGTTAGAATCTCCTAAAAATTCTGCAAATATGTTTATGAACTCTGAATCAAATACTGTTAAACCTAACATTGTGTGTACAAATGAAAATTTAAAACTTACTAGTCCACCACACGAATATGTGAAAGTCAAAACTGCAATAAACAAAACAGTTCTACCCCCAAAACTATGTCCAAGGAAAGGAACATTTTCAGACAGTGGGGTGGATTGTAGCTCAACGTCTAGTCCTTTAGCTACTGATGATCAGGTGTTTATGCAAACAAAACAAACCACTGTAGTTCCAAACATTCCTACATTGCAAGAAATTCCAGAAGTTTTTACTGATAGTAACACTTGTAGTTCTCTAAATACCTCAAGTTCGGTACATGATAGCGGAAGTGCAAGTTTTGCTCAAAGTTTTAGTCAAAGCTCAGTTTCTAGTGAAACCTCTTCAATTTCCAACTGTGAAAAAAGCGTTTTACATGTGATTGAAAAAATTAGTGAAGTAGTTGGTGCTTGTTCTGAGTGTCCGTCAGAGAGTGCCAATTCAACTAGTTCTGTAAATGAAAGTGCTAGTCAAACTTCCAACACATCCTCAAACTATGCTTTGTGTTCGAACACATCCAATGGCCATATTGCAAACAATGATACCGAGGTTAAAAGCATCCAAAGTGAAACAAATTCATCAAATTTAACTGATTTACAACATAAACAATTAGATGGCTCAAAACACTCAATTAACAGTGAGACAAACAATGCTTCTTTGCTTTCATTATATGGAAATGGTGCAAGTACTCCCAGAGCTTCTGCTTCTGCAGCAGTTTCGTTCCCTAGTCATTTACTAGTCAGCCCAATATCCACTTATTCTAGAGTTCAATCGAGGGCTCCTGGTGGGGGCCGAGTTGTTACAAGTCCCTGTGTTAAACCATCTATGCTTAATCTGAAAGAACCAAATAGCAAAGGAGCTTTCTTGAACTATAAAACTAACACCGGTGAAAGTAAAGCTAAAAGAACTCTTGATAATAGTGCTAATGTGAATTCAGACAATGTGAAATGTGTAAAAGATAAACAAATTCTTGTGGATAGTTTAATTCTTCATAGTGGAAACTCTGCAATTTCGACAGATGATTTGATAAATTCGGCAGGTGGATTTGTTGAAGAAGAGGAAGAAGTACAAATGGTTTATGCCAACGCTTTCAGACGGATTGATGTAGGCACAAGTAATACTCCTACTAATGTTGTTGTCAAATCAACAATTAAAAGAGTTCCGTCTTTAAGTGGACCAAAACAAACAGTACCTTGTACACAACGTAAACCTGAAAGTAACTATTTCCAAAGTAGTAATGTGAATTCGTACAGTAACAGTTTAGGAAGTTTAAATTCACAAAATGTGCCTGTCAAATCTCAGATGGTAAAAATGAGATCTAAAACTGCTTCTATCCAAGCAACAAGACCCCAGTCAGCAATGGGTCGTATGCAAGTTGATCCAGCCACCCTATCTAGATCAACAAATTCTCGTAACCAGTATAGTATTAGTCGAGTTGTTCGTTTGACAACAGCTAATGGACGCATGGGGGCTGATTTAAGCCCACAACGAGGAATGTTACCAGATATTATTCCTGTAGACCAACAAGATCAGGAAGAAGATATTTTATTACCAGCACCGGAAATCTTTTACCAGGTTCCTACAACAAGACAGCCAACGTCTGCTCCACAATTACCTCCCCTTCCACCCGTCCCCATTCCCCAAACCACGTTTGCTTCATCCAATTCAGCAACAGCTTCTAATTACATGACAATGTCCAGTTCCAGTATTCACTCACATACCAAAGGACCAAACTCGAATAATCCCCAAAATTATGACACTGTATCTGTCTCAAGTCTCTTCCAACATGCCCCGGAAGGACATTATGAACTTGATAGCTCAAATTCATCTTTAGACTGTGATAACTTCTCATTTGATTTTAACCAACCCGAAGATTCGTCGACGTCCGTAATGTTTACAAGTGCTGTTGATTTACAGCAGTTGGAACAGACGGCTGAAACTGGTGTTTATCAAGATATAGATGATGTAGGAGCTTATGGTGGACAAGAATTTAACTTCAAACATCGTAGACCCAGAGAAAAAAGTAGGTTAATAAATTATCATACAAGTGCATTTTATTATTGGTGTATTTGAGAAAAATGCTGTAGATTGTGGACATAAAGTTTCCGCCATCATGTCAAGGTAGCATGGAATGGAAGCCATTGAAGACTATCACAGTATCGTCTTGTGTCTGCTAAATGACATTTACTATCAATTAGAATTTTTATAGTCATTCCCCATTTTTCAAGGTAATCGTGATTTGTACACATAGTAATTTGATGATCATATAATTTCTTTTCAGTAAAACCATATGAACATTGGGAGCAGCGCTCACCAAAAATAGCTAGAAAATTTGAAAGAGAAAATAAAGAAAACAGTCCAGATAGGCGAAATTATCCAAAGGTATGAGAACTAAAACGTGTTATTGGCAGTAAACATAAAAGTATTGCAGAAACTTAGGAGTACATGTAGTTGTATTTTACAAGGTCTGGATTAATTGAATCACGCTACATTAACTGAATTCCTCATATATCTGATGCCATATATTATTTTAATTTTAGAAGGTGGTTGGATGGCGGAATTGTTAACACGTGTGCGCTGTATCATAAGGTCTGTCATTGAGTCAGCAGGCATGGTTTTGATTCCCCGATTGTACGTGACAAGGAGTAGGGTCGCCTGTCCAACCTCATGGGTTTTCTCCGGGTCCTCTGGTTTCCTCCCATTGCTAAAGACCCCTATGCGCAACCATGTGTTTGTCTCGAAATGACCTAGTTTGTGTTGAGTGGATGTCAAACCCCATTTCTCTCTCTCTCTTTTAATTTTAGAAGGAACTTTTTAAAATCTGCTTCTAAACTTTGAATAGTTCATTAAGATTAAACCGGACAATATTATTTTAACAGTAATCAGAGGAGAGAAGAAAAACAAGTGCCACAGTGCTTATAATACATGCTTTAATATGGTAAAATCAAATCGGCACAATAAATGAATAATACCAATACATGTATTGATCTCTGAGTTCACAATTAAACAAAAACTCATTTTATTTTTTTTCAGTCCCCATTACCAGGCAACTCAAGTTACAGTTCTAAAGAGAAAAAGCCAGAGGCATCTCCGCCAAAGAAAAGTTCAAGATTTTTTACTTGGCCTCATAAAGGAGATTCATCGCCTACCAAATCTAAATTATTTGGATTAAAGAAGAAAGACAAAAAGGAGGGTTCTAAGAGTAAGAGAAAGAAAGAGACATACATGTATGAACCTGTACCTGTTGTAAGTATCCTGCTTACTCTTTTTAAAACACCCGATACCAATTCTGATTTCTCTTTTGTTGTAAATATTTTCTAAAATATACCACAATCTGCATCTAAAATTGGAAAATAAAGACTTAGTAAAAAAAATTCTATAAAAAAAAGGTTGTGTACAGGTATCTGAAAACTGGAAGTGTGTCTGTTCCAATCAGACCAAATTCATTAGCCCAGTTTGTGCAGAAAAGTAGGTAGTTAAATCTCATTTGATTTTATATCCCAGTTTGTGCAGAAAAGTAGGCAGTTAAACCCCATTTGATTTCTGTTCCAATCCAAACTGCTGTCTGTACATCAACTTCAATATTTGAAAAATCTATTAGTTTGAGTTTTAGATATCTGTATCTCTGTCAGTAATATATTTCTGTGTATTACATTGTAAAACTACTGGAAAGACAGATTGAATGGTTGTATGTATATATGTATATGAAATATCTGGTTGTTGTTTTTTTAGTTTGATCATGATACAGATTGGAAGACTAAACTACATACATTATGTAATGGCCGTAGAGTAGTCAGATATTTAAACTATTCAGAATCACCTATGATAATTAAACATTATCCTCGTAAGTGTATACTGATTCTTGATAAAACCCTGCTTTCTTCATATTGGCATGTTTATCTTTAGTATTTTTAAAATAAAAGTATAATGATCTCAAGGATTTAATGATTATGCAAGAGCTAAATCTGCCTATTAGTGGTCTTTCATTAGGCCTTCATCTATATAAATTATTAATTGGACATTAATTAACTTATATGTACTAAGACGATAATAATTTCCCAATGCCATCGGATGGCTCTGATATTAAGTAGATTTAAATATGTTTTGCGGTTGATTCAGTTACCATAAAAAAAAATGGATAATCGAGACTTTGTTTATTATCGTAACAATGGTAGAAATGATGATCAAGGCTAGGCTATAATTGTATCACCGATACCTCATCTCAGAGTGAAGTAATTTGCCTGAAATTTTCAACATATTCCCTGTTCATTATCTATTTAACTATTATAACGAGAACTGTAAGCTCTTTATCTATTCTTACCCAATGCTTTATTGTAAAATAATCTTGTTTTACAGCACCAAAAGAAAGTACCAGAATAAAATGGAATTCTAATTTAGTACAATTGACTGAAGAATCAGATGATAGTAATGATTATGCTGTAATTCATCCTAAATCCATATTATCTAAGGTGAGTTTCTTTAATATTTTACACAGTTCCTTCAATTTAATTCAATTTGTAGGTGCTGCACTACAATATGTCTTTTTCGTTAACAATGCAATTGTGCATAAGTTCTCAAGATGGGGTTTTCTGCTCTTACTTCCCACGTTTTGTCTTCAATCAACATTCAACCCACTCTCCCTATTTCAAACTCGCAATCTTATCATTTAAAAACATAAAGATGCTTGACTTCTCCTTTAATGGCTTTAATAAAATATGCATCATTGATGTTATATAATATTATAATCAATAATAACTTGTAGTCTATAATATCTACAACTCGTAATATATCCTATCTATATCCAACAGCGCATTGACAGATCTGTATACAATCTAATTGTTACACTACCGATGGACAATATTTGGTCATTTGTACCCATTGATAAAGATCTCCAAACTGCTAATGTCTCTTTATATATTGTGATCAGAATATATTTCTGAGGAGCATAACAATAATATTATTACTGGTACAAAGATAAGGGTGTAAATGTTTTCATATTCTTATATTACATGTTTTTATTTACATAAAGAATCATGTCAGCAGGATAGATATACACTGTATAGGATACAGGTGTCATAATTCTCATTCTTGTTATTGTAAAAAAAAAAATATATATATTCTGAGAAATTCGCAGTCTTTAGAATTGCACTAAAAAAATAATATCTCAATCCTCTTATATTTCCAGAAATCAAAAGAATACAAGTTTGATGGAGATGTGCCATCCCCTATTATTATAACTAAAACAAGACAAATGACCTCCTCAGGTAGACGAAGCTCACGTAAATAACTTTGTCATTGTTTATATTGAAAACTATCATTGTTTATACTGGTTGCCACCATTGTTTATATCCAAACATTCATCAAATCATATTGTATATAAACTTCATACATATTAAAATTCACAAACCTGTAGATATGTAAATAAATTGAAGTTCACCAAAGAGTATTATCAAGAATATGAGTGGGGAGTTCCCACATTTCATTTCATTTTTTTTCTTCTTATCTATCCATCAGTTTTATTGTTACTGTGTGAATATTTCATTGTTATATTACATTCTATTTATTATCATAATTTTGTCACTATTTATAAAAAGTTCTTCACTTTAAGTGTCATTTATGTTATTTCATTCTTTAATGTTTATTCTACTAGAAATGTCTTTTTCAACCACCTGTTTTATTTATAAGAATTCTCTTGGCTGTACTAAAAACCAAGAGAACTTCTGTTTGGTTTTTTTTTGATATATATATATATGAAATTACATGCATATATGAAGAAAAAAGATGTTTTTCTATTTTTGATTACAGTTATTTTGGTAAACTATATCTTGAAGTTTATATTTCTGTGTTTTCTAATTGATATAAAATTTAAATGTTTGTACATTGTAACCTTCTTCTCTACCTTGAAAAAAGACTACAAATCAGTTTCTTTAAATGTAATTTTGAATTTTGGAACTTTTTTATGTTGTAGAAAATAAAGCAATGTTGTATAAAACAGACACTCTTTTTTGTGGAATTAAAATAGTGTCTTATATATATTTTTGAATTCATACCTGTAGTTTGGAATTGATATTTTGATAAATCATTTACATCTTTGTATTTTAACCAGCTCAGTTTGTATTTGGCTCAATGTCTTGCCTTGAATGTTACTCCTGTGGATTATTTTTGATAAATACAATATATGTATATGAAATCTATAAGGTATGACGTAAAAATTATTGTCATAAAATGCATATATTATGTATAACTTTTGTATTTATTTTTTCTAAAACTTTTTTGTATATTATATTTCTCCATAAATTAATCTGTTTTTTGTCATTGTTTATATATAAATATACTTTCCTTCTATTAAGGAATTTTCTCTCTGAAAATGAATCATATCATTGTAATAAAAGAAAACAGCTCAATGATAATCAGCCTCTGTATTTTTAAATCATTTATACTGATAAATTGTGTAATCCTTGAGCAGCACTTAGCAATTGACTTATATATATACTTGGTATATGAACATGGAACTAGTAGCATATGTAGGATTTCCAAAAAGCTCAACCACAAAGTTTTAATTATACCAAAGTTTTATTTAAAAAACCCAAAACAGCAATATTTTCGTTAAATGAGTTATTTTGACAGCCATAGTATATACACCCTAAATAAACTTTGCTGGTAAATTTCTAGCAGCAATATTGTAACGTCCACGTGGTGGTGTCAATGGCCGAAGTTATTAATAGAGCAACAATTTTGACAGCCATAGATAGTATAACCACGCAGAATAAACTTTGCTGATAAGTTTCTAGCTGCAATAGTGTAACGTCAACGTGGTGTCAATGACCGAAGTTATCAGTGGTGCAACAATTTCTAATAATACTTGGGATGTTTTTCAGCATCTGCATGTTAAATGATAAGTGTGGTTCACAAAACACCACATGGCTTTTGTTTGAGAGAACTTGAAGTCTCCTACATTCCGGCTTAAACCATTAATTATGAGGATTCAATGCGTAATTAATAGATCAATCACAAGCATTTAGAGTCACGACAGATCGTTCCTACAAACCATTAATAGTTCTATTGCATGTCTCTAAGTAACTTTAGAGCATGTCATGACCTTTTTATACAAAATAAATTGGCTAGTTGCGGATACCTGCCTACGCCAGTAAACAATATCAAATATCCTTTACTGTACACCACCCGAACAACTAGATGTCGTTCCTTGCCAGCCAGAGACTTCCCTGATCTTGCATCACTGACAATGGAAATCATGCCGGAAAATTCAGAGGAACTTTCTCGGCCAACATCGGGATCTCAAATCCAAAAATCTCCATGTTAGATAGCCCCTGGAATGCAGTTGTTGATACTTATAACCCTAAGAATGATTTCAGATCTTTGAAACAACTCTTTTGCGTGGTACTGTCGATTGAAAATAAACCGGAGAAGCTTTAAATGGGTCAGTTCCAAAAAGTTCCAACTCACTATCAACAAATGTCTATAGCTATCGGCCAATACTGACATTTTAAAAATAGACCGAATATTTAAATACGTCATATTATTTTTTTGCGTCCATCACTCTCCTTCTCATACACTGGTATAACAAAAAGCCAAAATTAGATTATTTAGGTTGACGCTGTCGAGCATCAGTATCTGTCTTTGGGAAAATTACACAACTGTCTGCCGATGTTCGGGTTTATCCGATGTGTCAATTCTTTAAACAGATTATCGAATAAAGAGTTGGCTGAAACTTGCGTCTTGTAGTAGACAAGGTGTTCAGATTTAACGACGTTATCTAAATGAAACGTCACTTAACCCTCTGTTCCCCGCCTCTAATGAACACCGCCCATCAAATTGGTCGTACCTGATCGATACGAATAATCGATTATGTCAATCAAACGATATCTGATCAGCTGGTAATGAAATCAATGATTGTTGAATCAAGTGACTTGCTTCGTATTAAATAGAACAAAATGTAGAAAGTAAACTAAACTTGGTATTGACATTATTTACACATGTTGTAAAGAATCTACCAAGCAATGAAATTGGTTCCAGAATTAGGACTTTATTTTCACTTGTGACGAAAACAACCCAAGAAGGACGTCTTTCTGACTATTCTGTTGTATTTATTAAATTAGCTTGTATTCATGAACTATTTAGACAACAGTTTCTTTCTCCCTTTACGAGGCTAGAACAGAGTTGTTCCTATTGTTAAATTCCGTAGGTTCCCCTTTGAGTGCAGAATAATTTCGTCGATTTTTCTACCTTAAAATACAGATCTGACGCCATCCTTTGATGTTGGCTTACCATTAATTCAAACTTGCCTACACACAGTACATTATCACAGATAGCTCAACACATTAAACGATATTTAAGAAAACCTTTATTTTTGGCATAATGTGACCACGGTTGTAACCAAATAACCCAATCAATTCAAATTCAACTGTGTTAAATAATTTAACAATGTTTACCTCCCGAACATGGGCATTGGGCAAACCAAATAAATCAACTGAAAGTTTATCACCCGAAATTGGACTTTGGGCAAACCTTAAAAATCAACTGAAAGTTTACCACCCGAAATTAGGCTTTGGGCAAACCTTAAATAAATCAACTGAAAGTTTACCACCCGATCCTGGTCTTTGGACAAACCTTGAAGGGACTATCCCGATTTGAACGGAGTCTAAAAAATAAAAGTCCGAGTATGTTTGAAATTTAAGCGCCAAAATATAGAGGCATGGTGTATTTACCTTGTCTCAAAGTTTCAGCTCAAAATATTGAGTCGTTTGGACGTGAATGTCAAAACTGCTTATCCGGGCACGTAACTCTTTTAAGATTTCGTGTCAATTTTTACGTTGGGTGACCTAATAATCGATTCCCGTTCCTTGAGGGGTCTATACAGTGAATGACCCATGTGCTGTACTTTATAACAAAAGGTAAATTTCACCTACATATTATTTTTATTTAAACAATTTCTGGTTTTATCCAGACACCGCATAATACAGCTGGGGACACAGATCTCCATTTCCAGATGAAGACCGACGGGTTTAAGTTGTTTGAAAACGTGTCACAAATACTGAGTTAGTTGCTCGGCCCTTAGGTTGGGGATTTTAAGGGGTTTTTAACACAAAATTAAGCAGTTTTATTCTCCAAAAGATTACCGGGATTAGCCCTTTAAATCAAATCAAACAGCCAGTCATATAGTTAAACTTTCAAAATTTGTCACAACATCACATTTCATTCCGAAAAAAATTAATTCAAATTAAAACTTGCCAAAAATTGTCACAATTACAAATTCCATTCAGATAAAATAATTCTTATGAAAATTTGTCCGAACTTCAAACCCCGGGAACAGCTGTTCGTTCATGCACTAATGAAATTTAATGAAGGCAAATGAAATGAAAATCATCATCATCACTAACTAATTTACGCCTATTAACTACGTATAGTAGTGGTGTTGCCTATAATCCGCCACATGGAAAGATCAAGAAAGGAAATCTTGACACCGTCAACACTGCTTTCCTATTAAATTAATTAGCAGCCGTGACCCTATAGAACAAATTACTAATAATAACTGGATAAATAGCTGTCCAGATATACTTGAATAGCAGATAAAATTATATAATAGCCCAAAGGTGCTAAATGGTTACCATCGCTGCGGGAAAGGTAGGGATTAGAATGACATATTTCAGGGTAACTTATATAACCCCTCCCACGAGTTTGAAACAAACCTAGCCAACTCCCTATTCACCCTTAAACGGGCCTTTTATTGGTCGCGGTAAAATTTGCGACCACGCAATAAATGTATCCGGAAGAAGCAGGTTAATTTGCCTAATGGTTTGAAACAATGTTGGAGCGAATTATCTTCAGCTATGTCATTTCCAGCACAGTATCACAAGATATTCAGGTGCACCACCTTCCAGCTAAGTAAAAATTGAAGGTGTTTTTATGGACCATTCCTCTCTTTCCCTGCCACCATACGAAAGCACGAATACGACACAGGCCTAGCTGACTGTTTTGGTAAGAGGAGCCAGTGTTCGGAATCGGTAAAATATGCATGATTCGCTTAGACTTGGAGGACTTGGTGTTTAAAATAGACTAAAATTAATGTAAAATTAATTTCGGGTGAAAATAAGCAGCACAACCTAAGTCGGGGCTTCCAGCAATGTCTGTATACAAATGCAAAGTAATGTCAGACTCCCAGCTAGCTCAGGAAAAAGAAACTTGTTCCATTATAGGCTTCTAAAAATATCAACCAGAGCCGAAGGTCTTCTTTTAACGCTGATGTTACCCTCACATGATGTCTGGGGTTCGTTAAGACGGCCATCGCGTCGTAAAATCGTCGATTAAAAACCCTGGCAGCCGGTATAGCTCGAGAACAAAAATTTAAAATACCCGTGAGAGACTAATTTCTTGAGGGTTTCCTTTGTCTTATTTAAGATCAACACTAGGTTTGAACGAAGTTCTAATAATTTTGCCGCCTGGATTCTAACCGTCATAGGGGGTTGGATGGCCGAATGATTAGCACGTGCGTGCTGTATCATAAAGCCTGTCATTGAGTTAACTGGCGTGGTTTCGAATCCCCGGTTGTACGTGACAAGGAGTAGGGTCGCCTGTCCAGCCTCGGGGGTTTTCTCCGTGTCTTCCGGTTTCCTCCCACTTCTAAAATCCCCTACGCGCAAGCAAGT